AACACCTACCTGCCTGCTAGAGCCCTGCTGCGTCCCAGGCTGGGAAGCTGAGGCAGGGCCTCCAAGAATGCTGCTGGCTCATCTCTCTGTACAGAGTCCCAATGTGGGTGGGAATCCTTCCCCATGCTGGAGTCCGTCTTGCTCCCAACCCCTCAGTCCTAGAACGAGGGTCCAATGAGGATCCAGGGGTCCACTGTTAGTGGTGGAAGTTGTATGGGGGACAGCAGGAAGGGAACTCCTAGTCTAGGTGGAAAGGCCTACAGCAACACTAAGTACAACCTTCTGGTGTCCATGGTCAGTCTGGATTTGGTATGAATTTGTGTTTACGCGGTTATCTGCTCTCACACAGTGCACTATAAACTTAATGAGGGCAGGACCTGTCTCCTGCAGGAGGGTTTAGGGCAGGTGTATATTTGGTACATGAATGCATGCTCTCTCCTCACTTCCTCGACGTGATTTAATTAAAGCTGTTGCCTTATAAGATTATTTCTGTTTGTTTGCCCCTTTGCCTCCCGAACTATGGAACTGTGAGCTCCCCCAAGGCACAGATTGGATTTTGTCTGGGCTTGCACTCCCAGCATATAGCCAATGCTTGGCACATGACAGGCCTGGCGACTCAGGCAAGGCGCAAGTGAAGGAGTTATGCTTTTTTCTCCTGCGCAAGTATATCTTTTGATTCAGTACATTTTGAAGCTGCCTTTTGTAAACTTGAAAGTATGAAGGCTTTAGAAAGTTTACATCATGGAAAATGTGAGAGAAAGGGAAAATAGGTTAAAATGGATGCCCTGAGAATCTTGTCCCTCCTTTTTTAACTTCTTAGAGATTTTTTTTTTAATTGAACACTTGCTTATTATATCTCACAAACAGAATGGCATCATTCCCTCTCTAAGGTGATCTACCACCATTCTGATGTGACAGCCTTTTGGAACAAGAGAGGGTAGCTCAAGTTGTTTTTTAAAAAGATGCTAGCCTTCCATAGTGCATGTACCAGGCAGTCTCATAGGAAGCTATTTGACTTAATCTAAACTGGAAAGGCCCAGGTAATACTCCCTAGTTAAGTTTCTTCTCCAGACTTGCTTCTTGAGATGGCAGTAGACTCTTCTGCTATTAAGTCTGTTGAGGAGGGAAAGCATTCTAGAACTCTGGGAAGAATGATGGGCAAGGCTCTGTGAATGATTGAAAGATTTGCTGAACATGGTCCCTGCTCTTGGGGACCTTCGGATGAAGTTAAAGAGATTATTTATTCACAAGTAACTATGACATAAGACAGAACAAGGTAAGTGACACATGAGACATCCAGAAAAGCTACTAAAGGTGTCCAGAGGTGGAGGAGGGATGGCTTTCAACAAGAGCAGAAGGTCTCAACTCTGGCTGCATGTTAGAATCAAATGGGAAAGAGTCCCACGTCCAGAGCAGAGCCCAGAATCTCCAGGGATGGGCCTCAGACATCAGTTTTTGTCTTAAAGCATGCCCAGAAGATTCTGTTGTGCAGCCAAGATGAAGAACCCTTGAACCAGAATTATCAGTGGCTGCTTCACAGAGGTGCTAGGACTGGTTGAGAAATGATAGGTAGGACTTCAGAAGGTGGAGACAGACATAGTGGGTGATGTTACAAGCTGACAAAACCACAGAAGGCACAGACACTGGTGGGAAAATAAGGTATGTCAGTCCCTGTCCTGGGGGACTTGTGCAGTGTATGAATGACTCAGAGTTATTTGCACATTTGAAGAGATTTGGAGTCAGCAGGCAGGTGGGAACCTTTGTAAGAGCTGAGTAATGAGTTTGCTGCCTTGCTCCTTACAGAAGATCCATGGTTACCTTGCCCTGGGGATTCTCAGTTGCCCCATTACCTCACTAGAATGGGACTGAGGCCACAGCAGGGGGTAAAAAAGCAGATAGCAGCACAGATTTTGTAGAACTCTCTCCCAATAACCTCCTTTGGGCCACATCTTTGGCAAAAATATACCCTACCAACTCACACCAGTAGCTTTAGTGTAAACTCAGAGCCATGTGATCCTGAGGAGGTGGCTGCTCCTGACCCTGAACAAAGCTGGTGGTGGTGGTGGTGATGAGTGTGAGGTCAGCACACTAGGTCTCCACCTGACCCTCCCAATGCAAATGACCACAGCCTCAAACCCATCCTGGTAGGGTGTGGAGGAGGCTGCCTCAAGCCTTAGCCACTCCAGGACCACATGTGTAAATAAGTTGTCTAAAAACTATTTTTTGTGCACTTTCTTGTGTAAAAGAATTTGAGCATGTACCCCCATATATTTATTTATAAGTTATAGTATATACTACTGTCCTGCATATTATGGGCATAGAAATATACACAAATATATAACTTTTAAAGGGATAAGAGGCAAAGTGAACACGATTAAATTTTGTCAATATACTAATGGTACAACATATATTGTACCAACATACACTGTTTTTAAAAGAAAACCATGTGATTGAGTCTACATCTCACTTATAAAATGGTGAAATATTTGTCCCAGCATTTAAAGGTCTGGTTCTGTGTCCTGTTTATTTCAGTTCCTGGTTTTTGTAGTATGTGGTGTTCACAGGTAAATACAACACACCTCATGAAAACACAGACTGCACTATGAGTCCAGTACTTGTTTTTCTTTTACTTTTTTAACTAATGTATTTCTTTTTGTTACAGATGTTTCTCCTTTCCCCCCATTGACATCCTCTTCCCTGCTCCTGTCCCCTCCCCTCTTCACAGTATTCCTATCTGTGTTCATTGGTTATGCATATATGCATATACCAGTACTTGTTTTTCAATCCCACTTACTAGTCATGCAAGGGATCTTGAATTTGGGCTGATAAATGTTCATGGGCTATCAGGCAAGCTGGAAATCTGGTTCCCAAAGTTTTTGGTGTGCAGGTGTAGGTGTTTGTGAAATGGTACTCTTGCAGCATCCTTGGTAACACAATCATACAATTGTGGAAACATCTTCAAACATCCATTTTCATAAATGCTCTGTTCTTGGCACAGATTATTCGGAAAGGACATAACTCATGCATTGTCACCTTTTCCTTGAAGGGACTGATTTGAGTATGTTGGCTTGAAAGAAATAAGCAAGCTGACACACTGCTGCAGTCATTTGCCCTTGAAAAAAGGAAAGAAAAAGTATCCAGATTTTGAACTTTTCATGAAAAAAAAATGTGAATTTCCTCCTTAAGTTCTAAGTCACAAGATATCAATGAACCTCTGTGTCACAAAGATCTTCACAGGTATTCCTGAGTCACTATAAAGTATTATAATACTTTGGCTGTTTAAGAGTCTGGTTTTGGTTTTTTATTTTAATTGACTACAACCATGATATCTTGAAGCATGTAAACTCCAACATATCTGAGAGGCTTAAAGTACACTAGTGGGCAAGGGCCCACCATCACCCCCATGTCACAGAACCTCTCCTCCATCAGGATTCCATGGCTGCTGACACACACCCAACAAGGGTACCAGGGTCTGCCCATGTATTACATACATTAGTAAAGCCAATTTTTCTCATTTTTAAAGAAAAATACTGCCCTGGCCGATTTGGCTCAGCGGTTAGAGCATCGGCCTGCGGTCTGGAGAGACCCGGGTTCGGTTCCCGCTAAGGGCACATACTTCGGTTGCAGTTTGTCCCCGGCCCTGGTTGGTCATGCGGGTGGCAGCCACTCGATGTGTCCCTTCACGTCAATGTTTCTCTCTCTCTCTCCCTTCCTCTCTCTCCATCCCACTCTATCTGTACAAAAAAAAAAATGGAAAAGTGTCCTCGGGTGAGGATAAAAAAAAAAAAGAAAAATACTTATAAGTAAAATTTCTCACCATTCCATTACTCCAGCAGATCATCTTATCTTGCTCACCCCGCTTGGAGATTAATAGTGGGGTTCCCTGGTGGGGACCATACTCTATAAATGTGTCTGCTAGTTTCAGCTTGATTTTGACAGTGTTTATTGGTATTTGGACATTTCATCTGCAGAATCCATCGAATTAGACATTTTCACAAATTTACTGTGCACTCCGCCCCCAGAAAAAGATCACATACTGGGTAAAAGATTAAGCAAAACACAACACCCGCGAGCAGCATTACTGAATATTTTGACAACCCTCTACCTCCATGCCCCACCCCAACTCCCTTCTTGACATAGCATCCAAGCCCTTGTTGGCTTCCCTTTCTGGCTTATTCCCTGCCGTTCCCTCTTTACCACTCTGAACTACTTGCTGTTCCCCACACACCCTCTTTCAGTTCTCTGTGATCTAGTAATGTCTTCTCACCTCAACTTGAAACTTGAGACCAGTCTCTCATGTAACCTCCTCCTGGGAGCCTTCCCAGAGCTCTCTCAAACACACACACACACCAAATTCAGTCTTCTCCAGAATCTTGTGATGCTTTTATTTGGCTTCAGTTTTAGCAATTACAGTACATGCAAACATTCATAGACTGAACCCCTTGGATTGAGAACACTGGGATTTTCATTTCCAAATCCTTTACATGATAAAAGTGCCCATTACACAGTGAGCACTTGGAAAATGTTTGTTGGATTAATAAACGCTTTTTTGTCTTGTGTATCCTAAAAGGCCACAGATTCTACCAGCAAACATTAACTAAGTACCTGTCATGCCTTCTTCAGTGTATGTACACGTAGACCTTTAATACTGCTGACTGTTATGGACTCCTGTGTTGATAAAGAAGAGCTTTCTGGTGTGGCTCAGTGGGTTAAACATTGCCCCATGGCCTGAGTGGTCCTAGTTTGATTCCTGGTCAGGGCACATGCCTGGGTTGTGGGCTCAATCCCCGGTTGCGGGGGAGAATGCAGGAGGCAGTCGATTGATGTTTCTCTCTTACATCAATGTTTCTCTCTCTCTCTCCCTTCCTCTCTAAAAAAATCAATAAACATATATTAAAAAAATAAAAAGAAGAAGAAGAAAGAAAGAAAAAGAAGTGCTTTCATAGCTGAGATGGATCCTCACCCACCTCAGTCCTCAGGAAAAATGCCAAGTCCTGGCCAGCACCACCAGCCAGGGCATCTCTATTCCACACCTGTGGTAAAGAAGGCAGAATTATGGTTGTCTGTTCTCTACCTGACATCAGGAGGTACACCTGTGGCTTTACTGAGACACCCCCTCCCCCCTGCCTCCTTTCCACCCATGCCTCCCTCCAGGCCTGTGCAGACTTAGGCTACCATGAAAGGAGATTTACTGAGCCTGGGATATGACAGGAAAATGTGACATAATGAGGTGTGTACCTTGTCTACTTCTGCTCTCTGGTCTTGAGGCTTGCTCAGAAGTGATCTCTCTTGAACACCATTCTGTTCCATATATGCAGAAATACAATCTTTTTTAGCATGGGCATATAGAAATTGGAGGATATATTTAAGCCCATAATGAAAAAAGAAAAACCTACAAATTTAAAAAGTGGAAGTGTCTGGACCCCTCAACATGCACTAAGAGTGCTGCTTAGCAGTGAGCCCTGAACAGCCATGGGTGCTCATGAACTGGCACAACCCACAGCTCTTTAATGAAAGCTACTGGAAAACCATTTTTAGAGGAATTCTATGTGCCATCAAGAGACTTCTCAGAAATTAGCAACCCACAGTATGCACTCACTCTGGACCAATTCAATTACTCACCTAAAAAGCAAATATTGAAATATTCAACAATTTGTGTAATGTTTAATATTTTAACAGTAAGCAAACAAGCCTTTTAGAAGAAAAAAAAAAGCTTTCCCTTCCCTTCCTGGCTCTGTCCCTGGAGGAGTGAAATGAGCCTCTGCAGAGGGAAGTTCTCAGACATGCTCTTGTGGGGCGGAGGTAGCAGCTTTGCAAGTGGCCAAGTGTTTGCTTTAGAGTAGAACCCACCTGGGCTGGTTCTGGATCAAGGCCACTTCCACTTCTGGGGACTCTCTATGCCACCAGGGTCAAGTGTTTTTAGGAACTTTAGCTTCCTTTCCTCGTGTACATTTGCTTTTGTAACCAGAAAGCTTTCTCGGTTTTGTAATTCCGGGAATCTCCTCCTTTACATTCTTGTTTGCTCAGACAGAATGGACACAAGTATAGCATTCAGTGAGACTTTGGATAAAGCCTGGCATGTGCAAAGCAATGAGCTAGGTGTTATGGGGAGACAGAAATAAATAAAATACTTACTAAGGTGGTGGGACTCAAGGGACATTTTTTTCTTTTAATTTCTAATGTTACGTTCTGAGAGCAATATATACAAATTTTATAAAGATGTTTACTGCTTTTAGGATACACAAAGATGTAGTGGTGTAGTGGTTAGAAACTGACCTAGGAGGTTCAGATCCTGACTCTATGGCTTTTTTGCTGTGTGATCCTGGGCCAGGGTTTTCCTCCTGGTTTTTTGGTCTATAAATGGGTGATGATACCAGAAGCCAGAGCTGGATTAGGAGGCTGTGTAAGTATAAAATATAAAAGCTTCTTATCTTTTAATGTACTAGAAGAGAACAAAGAGCCACCCCTGCAGTCTGGTCTCTGTTTTCCTAAATCCATTATTTCTTTGTTATTAGATCTGTTCTGTTTTAAGTAACATACTTGCAGTCTATTTTGCTCTTTGATTTTCTAACTTGGTGAGGGATCTCTTATGTTTATTTTTCAAATTGTTCTCTAGCACCCTCCATTTGCCCAAAGGTGCCAAAGAGTCATGCCAAAGAGCCCCAGGCCCCTCCTGCTGTCCCAAGAGGCGTCAGTGCTCCTGATCTCCAAGGTCACCCTGCCAGCCCCACCTCAGAGCCCTCTGCACAGGGCTGCCTCCTTTCCACCAGTCCTCCTGTAGCCCCAGAGGAAAACTACAGCCAGGAGCCTCTCCTCTCCCAGGACTCAGGTCAGTTCCTAGATTCTGCTGCACAGCCTCGTAAGAAGGTGGAGGGTCTGTTTTTCTGCCCTCCTACCACTACCACCCTCTCTCCCTCCAGGCCTAGAGAGACAGGATTAAGCTTGGTGATGTGTCCTTCCTTGAACAGACTTTTCCAGAAAAGGAAGTCCTCAACTTCTCTGACCAGAAGACCTCTGTGAACTGTGACCTTTTTTTACATTCCCCTTCTGAGATAGAAGAAGAAAGATCATTTTGGCCAGGCCAGATGACAGGCCCCTGCTGGAGGCTCGGTCTTCCCCTCTTAGTCTAACCCACTTGTAGAAACCTTTCGTAAACCACAGGCCTCCATGGATAGCATTAAATCACTGCTCTCTTATTACCTGTCTAAAACTGATTTTTAAGAGTTTTCCACCTTCTTAGTTTTAAAAGAATTGGGATAATTTATTATGTTGCCACTTAATAGCACTTGATACTATTTTAGCTTTAATTTCTTCACATTTTAATCATGTGGTTAACTGAAAGCCATGTTTTAAATTAATGAATAAGTAACTTCTTGCAATTGGGTTGTCTACAAATATACAAATATTTATTGACTACACTTTAAAGCATAAATTTTGAGTAACTACTATTAGATATGGACACATCTTTTCTAAAAAAAAACAAAAACAAAAAAAGGCAAGAGCTCACTTTGAAAACAGGGCTTTAATGGAAGTTATTTTCACCTGACTGGAGCCAAAAGTGAAACTAGCCATTTTAAAAAACAAACAAGCTCACTCTCCACACACTGGGTCTCAAGGCAGGTTCTTTGGGTAGTGGTGTTAGCTTGTGTTCACTAATGAATGATTAACTAGCCATTTATCTTAGTCTTCTGTATGATCTTAATCCACTTAATGAATGGTTTTGAGTTAGTATCAGCCTGAACATAGAGCCATATCACTGAACTTTAGAATTCTTCCTCTGTGAGTCACAGATGTTTCTCCCTACCTAAAGGACTGTGAGCTGTGAAGGGTTTCTCGCAATCCACCTGCATCCTCCGTGCGTGGACGGTGACCAGGAGTTCTCTGGGGCCTCCTCTCCTTTGCCATTCTTGCTGCCCACATTAGGTCTCAGCAGCCTGGTCTGCACTTCAGCCTCCATGCCTGCAGCTTCCAGAACGTGACCACCTCCTTCTCTAGCAGGTAAGCATCTAACGAACTCTGGGCTCAGTGTTTCTGCTTCTCACACCTGAAATCTAGTGAAATGTGTTTCCCTAAATTGAGAGATACCTTTCATATATATATATATATATAGAGAGAGAGAGAGAGAGAGAGAGAGAGAGAGAGATTGATTTTAGAAAGAGAAAGAGACATCAATTTGTTATTTCACATATTTATGCATTCATTGGTTGATTCTTGTACGTGCCCGGACCGGGAATCGAACCCGCAACCTTGGTGTATTGGGATGATGCTCTAACCAACTGAGCTACCCAGCCACAGCTGAGAGGCCTTTTTTTTTTTTTTTTTTTACTGAGAGAGGCCTTTTTAAACCTCCACTCTTGTTTTTGCTATCTCTTGTGTTTGATAATCTCTCAGCCAACTTTCCTAGTTTTATGTACTAGATTTAAATACAACATTCATAGTGACACAGGATAGATTTGCTTTGAAGGAAAATGACCATTTGTGGGAGGCTTACATACCAATGCTCAGTTAAAGCAGGAAATACTTGTCCTTAGGGTTCAAGGTGGGAAGGTGCACTCTATCATCCCACCCACGTGCCTGCCTACCTGTGTCCTACACCTGTGTCAACAAGACCAGTGAGGGTCCCCATACTAGGTGTTTCCTCCCCACTCCCTCCACAGCCCTCTCCAAGCTTAGAAATCACCCCCCACCCCCAAGCCAGCACACTTAGCTGAGTTTCCTTTTACTGGTTCTGTGTTGGTTGAGAGTGAAGCCAGTCAGGGAGAGGAATTCCATCAGCCTGAATATTTTGCTAAGAAATAGCACATTCATATGAACTACAGAGAACATCTGAATAGCTTTTATCAAATGATAAATACCCTCTAGCAGTCACATTGCATGTAAAAGCCTGTTGTTGAGCTTAAATTTCGGGAAGAAAGATGGTACAAAAGAAGGTGAGGAAAAACATGGAGAGAAGGTTATGTGTCCCAGGACTCAGTCTTCCCACTTTCCCCTGTGCTCCCCCAAACACAAAGCACATTTTCATGGCACACCCTAACTTTTTGTCTTTGGTCTGTAACTAGCGCTGAAGGTCCCTCCTGGTGAGAGGATGGCAGTGCTCAAGCAGCTGTCACTCCTGCTCTGGAAGAACTACACTTTGCAGGTATGTCCTACTCTTGGGTACATGGCAGGAAGAAGTGCGTGTCCATTGTGTGGCTCAGGGCATGAGTGAAGCTTGGAGGAGCGAGTATCCCCAGAGGAGGGGGATCTATGAGCCCACTCCTGTGCCTCTCAATCCATCAGCATGTGATTTCATTCCTCTTCCAGAAGCGGAAGGTTCTGGTGACGGCCCTGGAACTCCTCCTGCCCTTGCTGTTTTCCGGGATCCTGATTTGGCTTCGCTTGAAGATCCAGTCGGAGAATGTACCCAAAGCCACCATATACCCCAGCCAGTCAATCCGGGAGCTGCCCCTGTTCTTCAGCTTTCCTCCTCCAGGAGATGCCTGGGAGCTGGCCTACATCCCCTCCCAGAGTGACGCTGTGAAGACCATCACAGAGACAGCTAAAAGGGCGTTGGTGATCAACATGAAAGGTAAGTCCTGTGGGACCCTTCTCTCTGTGGGGTTCAAGGCCATTCTCCAGACCTAGCACCTCCTCTAGTTGGCCATGTCTCCAGGACAAATCCTCCAATTCCAACTCTGTGTCATGTCTTTCTTTTTTTTTTTTTTATCCTCACCCGAGGACATTTTTCCATTTTTTGTTCAGGTAGAGTGGGAGGGAGGGAGAGGAACAGAGAGAGAGAGAGAGAGAAACATCGATGTGAAAGGAACACATTGAGTGGCTGCCACCCGCACAACCGACCAGGGCCGGGGACAAACTGCAACCGAGGTACGCGCCCTTAGTGGGAACCGAACCCGGGTCTCTCAGGACCACAGGCCGACGCTCTAACCGCTGAACCAAACCGGCCAGGGCTGTCTTTTATTTTTTTTAATTGATTTCTTTTTTCTAAGCGAGAGAGAAAGAAAAAAATTGTTCCACTTATTTATGCATTCATTAGTTGATTCTTATATGTGCCCTGACTGGGGATCAAACCCACAACCAACTGAGCTACCCAGCCAGGACTTGTGTCATGTCATATTACAAAGTGGGGACCAGAGTTGTGAGAACCAAATGAAGTGATGTGTGACAGCTTGAGCAGCACCTGATTATCTACAGGGGGAATGGGTGGCCACATACCTAAAGAAAGCTCTTTAATTATAAGGGCAAGATACAGTTTGAGAGCATGGTGCCAAGAATCTTTTTTGGGATGTGGTTTTGGAAGGACAGCTCTAAAGAAGAGTCATTAGGCCCTAGCTGGTGTGGCTCAATGGTTAGAGTGTCGGCCCATGCATCAACAGATCTTGGGTGTGATTCCCAGTCAAGGGCATGTACCTGGGTTAGTTTAGGGTGTGTGGGGGAGGCAACCAATCGATATGTCTCTTTCATATTTATATTGATGTCTCTCTCTCTATCTCTCCATTCCTCCTTCCCTTCCACTCTCTAAAAATCAATGGAAAAATATTCTTGAGTGAGGATTAACAACAACACAAAAGTCAGAATCATTAGGCCCTGGCTGGGTGGCTCAGTTGTTTGGAGTATTGTCCCATACACCATAGGGTTGCAGGTTCAATTCCCAGTCAGGGCACATACCTAGGTTGTGGGTTCAACCCTCAGTCAGGGTACATATGAGAGGCAACCAATCGATGTTTCTCTCTCACATCAATGTTTCTCTCTATATATCTCTCTCTCTCCCTTTCCCTCTCTCTGAGATCAATAAAAGCATATCCTCAGGCAGATTTTTTAAAAAAAGTCATGTCCTAGCTGGTTTTGCTCAGCGATTAGAGCGTCAACCCGTGGACCAAAGAGTTGTGGGTTCACTTCCAGTCAAGGGTACGTACCTCGGTTGTAGTTTGTCCCTGGCCCTGATCAGGGTCATGCGGGAGGCAACCAGTCGATGTGTTTTTCTCACATCAGTGTTTCTCTCTCTCTCCCCCTCCCACTCTGTCTGAAAAATAAAGATGGAAAAATATCCTTGGGTGAGGATTAAAAAAAAAGTCATTAGGCCCTGGCCAGTTTGGCTCAGCGGTTAGAGTGTCGGCCTGCAGTCCAGAGACACCCGGGTTCGGTTCCCGTTAAGGGCACGTACCTCGGTTGCAGTTTGTCCCCGGCCCTGGTTGGTCGTGCGGGTGGCAACCACTCGATGTGTCCCTTTCACATCGATGTTTCTCTCTCTCTCTTCCTCTCTCTCCCTCCCACTCTATCTGAACAAAAAATGGAAAAATGTCCTCTGGTGAGGATTAAGAAAAGAAAAAAAAAGTCATTAGGAAGCCTGTTGAGGGATATTCCCAGTAAATACATGCTAGTCACCTTTTCTAGCTCTTTGTTTTCAGGATGAAAAGTATTATCTGCCCTGGCTGGTTTGGCTCAAGATTAGAGAATTGGACCAAAGGGTCTCAGGTTCAATTTCCAGTCAAAGGTACACCCGGGTCGCAGGTTCGATCCCCAGCCCTTGTCAGGGTCATACGGGAGGCAACCAATCGATGTGTTGCTCTCTCTCCTGCCCTTCCTCTCTATCTAAAAAAATCAGTAGAAAAATATCTTTGGGTGGGGAGTTAAAAAAAAAGTATTATTCCCTTTCTTCTCTTGATTTTGGTATGTACCTCCTGTGGCTTGTTTGATTCAATATAGCCAAGACTTAGGAGAAGATTCTTGGTCCCTCACCAAGTGATTACAGTAAAACCCTTTATATGAAATGGGTTCTGGGGGATAGAGAATCATTTAGCAAGCTATACGTTAGTGTCTACTGAAATTTTTAAAGCACACCACTGTGGCTGTAAGAGGGCTTAACCTGGCAGTGGAACCCAGTACAGGGTGGCCGCCCACATGGAGGAGGGTTATGGACTTGGCATTGCTGCCAGCTCTACCTCTAGTCTCACCAGAAACCCAGGGCCGGCTGTGATTGAGAGGTTCTGCCCATCTTCATGGCAGCCTGCCTCTCTGCCTAAAGCAAAAGCTTCCTCGGGTCTTAGGAAAGGTTACACAACCCTAGAGAAACTTGTAAGTTTTCAGTCTTTTATCTGCAAAGGACCGAACCGTCCAGATTTTTCAAGTGGGGCAGACGATTGGGCAACTTAGCTTCAATGCTCTTCACAGTTCGTGGCTTTCCCTCGGAGAAGGACTTTGAGGACTACATCAAGTATGACAACCGCTCCTCCAACGTGCTGGCCGCCGTGGTGTTCGAGCACACCTTCAACCACAGCAAGGACCCCCTGCCCCTGGAGGTGAGGACTCAGCCCCACAAAACCGAGTCCATCCCCCATCTCCCACCCCAAGCTAATTCAGCCTACAAAAGTGCTCTGCCGGCCTGGGAGTGAATATCAGACTTTCCCTTTGGGTCCAATATTGCCATCTCAGTCCCCACTGAGGGAGCCCTGGGGATGGGTTAGCCCATCAGGCCAGAGAAATTTAGAAACCTTACCTGCTTGAATAAAGCGACCTATAAGCCATCACTTTAGGCCTCTTTATGTCCTCTCATTTCATAAAAGGTGTTACTGGTCTCCAGGCCTCTTTGGATAGAGTCATATAGGATAGATAAGAAGTAGCAGATACTCGGGACTGAAATATGATGTGGCAGTAGCATTTCTGTTATATATTTAAAACAAACAAAGGTTTTTGCTTGTCCGATGGCATTAAAACTGGGAAACCATCTAATCCCTCTAGCATTATTTCGAGGGCCCTCCACTCACATGTGGAGTTCATGTGGGTAGATGGCAAGAGAAGGGTGGCAAAGAACACCCAAGGTGCCCCTGTGGGGTTTCCTATTCCCACCTGTGGCGCAGGACCACTCACTCTGACATTCATAGACCATGTGCATATTGGTGGAGGGCGGGGAGAGGCACTGGGAGAGTGGTGAGTTCACAGAATAACAGAGTTCCCTAACCTCTCTCATTTGATACAGATGTTTGTTCCTCTGTCTGGATCCCTCAGAACAGTTGGTTTTCTCTTTGTTTCCACAGGTGAAATATCACTTACGGTTCAGTTACACACGAAGAAATTACATGTGGACCCAAACAGGCTCCTTTTTCCTGAAAGAGACAGAGGGATGGCACACCACTTCCCTTTTTCCACTTTTCCCACACCCAGGACCAAGGGAACCTGCATCCCCTGATGGTGGAGAACCTGGTGAGAAGCACCTGTAGGGTCGTGTTACCGCCCAAGGTGCTGCTGTGATAATTACATCGGGGAAACCCACCTTGCATTTCTCTGTAGAAATAGTTTTTAGGAATATTTGATCTTCTTTGTAGGAGAAGGAAGAAAATATCCAATAAAACTGTCTTCTGTAAGGCTAAAATAATCTCTGAAACAGCAAATTTTCCCTTCCTGTTTCTCAGAAGACACATGTTCTCAGATGAAACATTTATATTTCAGTTTTTAGGGAACTTCAGTTTGCACTGAATCTTTTGGGCTTGATTTTATGTTTTCCTTGCTGCCTCTGTATAGTTTTATAGGCTTTTAAGCTCTGTGGTTATTTAATTGATCTGTGGTTTAATTGATGCATTGGAATGTTTGTAGAAGTTGGATCTTAGGTAGCTATACCCTGTCAGTGCGTGTGTTGTTGTCCCATGTGACTTTAGCAGGTAGTTGGCATGTTTGTCTCCTTTAAGCATGGTCGTATCTTGGAACATGCTAGATACCCAAGAAGTAATAGGACTAGATGGCGCCCTTAGGCTGAGACCCAAGTACAGGTTTCCATAGCATCCAAAGTGTTGCAAAGAGCACAGGATTCCACAGGTCTGTGGGAGGCAGAGATTATTAGAGGTTTTGATGGAAAGACCCAAGAATGTCCCTAAGAGGTAGGAAGGAGGCAGCATGTGTGCAGCCAGCATTACGGGTGGGCTGGTGTCAGGGCCTGTCACCAGGCTAATGTTCCAGGACAAGATTTTAAATCCAGAACAGGAACTAAGATAAGCAAGGTGCCCTGGCCGGTTTGCCTCAACGATTAGAGCATCAGCCCACAGATCAAAGGGTCATGGGTTTAATTCCCAGTCAAGGGCATGTACCTGGGTTGCAGGTTTGATCCCCGGTCAGGATCATGTGGGAAGCAACCAATTGATGTGTCTCTCTCACATCAGTGTTTCTCTCTCTCCCTTCTACTTTATCTGAAAAATCAATGGAAAAATATTCTTGGCTGAGGATTAACAAAACCAAAAAAAGATGAGTGAGGCAAGGTGAGGTGCCTGAGGCCCCAAAATGAGGTTCTGGACAGGTCACCAACCTGGAGATAAGGTGAAACCACATCAACAACAGGAGAGACTGATTGCTGAGACCCAGGGGCTGGACTAGAGATCCTGCTTGTGTGGACAATTTCCTAAGCTTGGAAGCAACAGAAAAAAATTCTCAGAAGGAAAGATTGACAGATTTCAAGGACATGATATTGATTTTTTTTTTTTTTTTTAGTTCTCACCTGAGGATATTTTTCTGTTTATCTTCAGATAGAGTGGGAAGAAGAGAAAGGGAGAGGGAGAAACATCGACATGAGAGGGACACATCAACTGGTTGCCTCCCACACAACCCTGACCAGTGCTGGGGACAAACCACAACTGAGGTATGTGCCCTTGATCAGAATCAAACCCGTGACTCATTGGTCTGCCAGCCAACGCTCTACTGCTGAGCCAAACTGGCCAGGGCAAAGGACATAATATTGATATTAAAAGCAAATAGAAGACACCTGGCCAGTGTGGCTCAGTGGTTGAGCATTGACCCATGCACCAGGAGGTTGCAGGTTCAATTCCCGATCAGGGCACGTACCCAGGTTGTGGGCTCAATCCGCAGTGGGGGGCATGCAGGAGGCGGCCAGTCGATGTTCTCTCTCATCGATGTTTCTATCTCTCTCTCCCTCTTCCTTCTCTCTCTCTAAAATCAATGAAGAAAAAAAAAAGCAAATAGAAGACTAGGGAAAACATGTTCAGCAAATGACAAAGGGCAAGTATCTTTTGTTGTATAAAGGACTCATACAGAGCAGTTAGAAAAGCATGAAGGCCTTGAGCAGTGTGGCAAGGATGGGAACCTGGCACACAGCAGGCACTTGGTAAATTTAGTCCAGTGTTCTTCCCCAGCCCCCCCTTAAAGGTCCATACCTTAGACCCACTGATTGCCCTGATAAGACTTGAACTCTGGAGTAGTCTAAAAGAAGGAGAAAATCCACATGCACAAATATGTTCGCTATAGCTCTACTTACAATCACAAAAAGTTCAGCAATGGGAAATGACTGATTACAGAGTGATGGCTTCATTCCTCAAAGTGTTGAGCAGCCACACAAGTCATGATGGTAAAGACTATATGATAACAAGGCAAAGCCTCATGAGAGAACAGTGTGTGAGCAGGCAGGCAGGATATTTCATGGAAGAGGTGGTATCATGTTGTGAAAAGACACTGGCTTTGAAGCCAGAGACCAGGGTCCCATCTTATCTTTCCCCGCCACGTTGTGTGTCTGAGCTGCCTGGGTCTCAGTGGTCCCATCTGTTCAGTGCGGATATTGTTAGCTCCTATGCAGGTTTTGTAAAGATGAGAGCCAGACCCCTACCCAATACAACAATGAGTGACCTTAATTGAGCATCTACTATTATCACCACCATAAAAAGACTTAACCTAAGGGAAACAGTAGAAACACAGGTTTGGTAACCCCATATGGGGTATGGTTGGTATATTGCTTTTCTCTTTTCTCTTTTCTAGAGGCTGGAACCCAGGCAGTTAAAAGACATCAGATGTTCTAAATGACACTGTATTTTATGAGTGAGGGTGCCCACTCCACCCAGACCTGCACCCATGTTCCCCCTGTTCCTTGGGCTCCGGCCTCAGGTGCTCAGGCTGCCTTTTTCTCTCCTGAGGCCATGCCCGCTCCTTCCTTAGGCCCAGTCCCTCCCAGGCTTGGTTCTGGAATAGAATACTATTGGCCCAGTTTACCAGTTCTCTCAGGCCCTTTTCACTTTAAGAATTTTATTACAAACCACTTTGGGGAAACCACAAGATACACAAAGATCTTACAACAGTGGTCTTTGGGCTGTGGTGTCTTCCCCCTCTGAGATGGTAACTCAAGGGCAGAGCTTTCTGGTTGGCAGAATTATGGCCCTCTAAAGATGTCCACATCCTAAACCTCACTACCTGTCAGGAAATGTGGCAAAGGGGAATTAAGGTGGCAGATGGAATAAAAGTTGCTAATCAGCTAGCCTTAAGATAGCCAGATTATTGTTGATTATCCCATTGGGCCCACTGTAATCACTAGGTCCTTAAAAGTAGACAAGGAAGGCAGAAGGGAGGGTCAGAAAAAGATGTGATGGCAACAGCAGGGTCAAAGAGATGCTACTTGGCTGGCTTTGAAGGGGGAGGGAGGGGCCACAAGCCAGGGAATTCTGGAGGTTCCTACAAACTAGAAGAGTGAAGGAGACCTCAGGGTATTAGGCTATGTTGCTCTGTAGCCACATTCAACAGGGAGACCCTGGTACAGCTCAGTGCACATGGTTCTCTGAGATGGGAGCACTCATGCTACAGCTTTTCCAACACATGTTGACCTCAGGGTACATCCGAGAAGGCTTCCTGGCTGTGCAGCACGCTGTGGACAGAGCCATCATGCAGTACCACACAAACGCCTCCACGCATCAGCTGTTTGAGAAGCTCACTGTGATAGCAAAGAGATTCCCATACCCGCCTTTCATTTCGGACCCCTTTCTGGTCGCCATCCAGTACCAGCTCCCCCTGCTGCTCATGCTGAGTTTTATTTACACCTCACTCACCATCATCCGGGCTGTCGTGCAGGAAAAGGAGCGGAAACTGAAGGTAACCTGATTTGCATTTGGCTTTAAAACATTTTGATTCTAGGCACAGTGCCACTGTGGGGTAGTTGTGTCCTGGGCCCTGTCGTCAGGAGCCACAGAGCAGTTTGGAGTGAGGCAGGTTCCCATGGTGGCTCTAGCCTATTTGGGGGCTTCTTTGAAACCTGCCCTGGTATATCCAGATCTTTAAAACCATAAGAAAGCACCATATTTTGTGAACATGGCTCTGGCGCTGCCTTGTCCAACACGGAGCCACAAGCCCTTGGACTTCCAGCACTTGTAGTGTATCTGGTCTGAACTGAGTCATGTGAAGAGTGTAAAACATAAACAGGATTTTTGAAGCCTTAGTATGGAAAAAAGAACGTAAACTGTTTCATTAGTACTTTCTATATTGGTTATATGTTGAAAAGACAATATTTTGGACACATTGGGTTAAGTAAAATACATTGTTGAAATTAATTTTACTTGTTTCTTTTAACTTTTTCTTTGTGGCTACTATACATTTCTGAATTACATATGTGGTCCGCGAAGTTTCTGTTGAACTGAGCCGCTCTAGAGATTAGTTCAACAGTGAGCCAAAATGTTTAAATATATGGCTGAGCAGAAAGCTAGTTCACTTTGCATATAGATCAAGGGCAACTGTGGTTCTAGACTGTCAAGTACAACATGATGGGAAATTCAGTATATGAAGTGTTACTCTAAAAGAATATCATGGACTTAACTGAGTGCACCTGAATGAATGGTGTCACCTCTAAACCCATACCAATGACATTGCCAAAAGTATCCAAAATTTATTTAAAGTTTCTCTTTTGGCAATACCTGAAGTGCCAGTGATTTGACATTTAGAGTGTTCTCAGAGACACCAACTCTGCGATTGTTGGGGCTGGGAGAACCGATGAGGTGGGTATTGTGTGCTTGAGCGCCTTAAATAACTTTGATAAAAAGGCATAATGTTTAGTTTCAATAGTTATCAGTGGACATTGAAATGGCTCAGAAAGTAATGTTTGTACACATGCACACCTACAGATAAAACCAGCATGGCAGAATGTTAAATGGTTATTGAATCTAAGTGGTGGGTACATGAGTGACCTTTGTACCAATCATCCCATTTTTCTGAGGGTGCGAAACTGGGCATAAGAAGAAGGTGGAAAATCAAAAGCCTGGCTTGGTGCCTGGCTTATAAGAGACAATCAGTGCTGGTCCCCTCCTCCAGACTAGTGCTACCCAATGGGACATTCCATGATGCTGGATGGACATGTCCTGTGTCTGCTGTCCAGTACTGTCAGCACTGAGCACTTGTGCCTAGCACAGCTGAAGGGCTGAATTTTTAATTTTAATTGAAAGAGCCTCATGTGGCCACTGACCACTCCATTGAACATCGCAGCCTTATGTGTCCTGGGACTCCCTGGTAAGTTTGGTCAATGGAGTAGCTGGATTTCCTCACCACACCTTCTGACAGCCTAATTGGAACCCTGGAGGAAGGCCATTTCCAAGCATCACTATGCTCCTGCCCTTCCTGTAGGGGCCCTTGCCCCTCACAACAATAGTCTGGACCCCTCATTTCAGAATAGCAGGAGGGAAGGCAGTGCTCTGGCGGGTAAAGAATTCCCACAGTCACCTTTGGTCCTGGAACAGCCCTGGGGATTTGCAGCACGGGAATTAGTGTAGTTGGCACTAGACAGTGGAGGGGCTGGGCTCCACTATCCTGACTCAAAACCCCAGCACCAGCTGCCACACAGCTGCTTGAGGGGCAGTCAGGGGTACCCAGAGAAGACTGGGAAGCACAGGCCAGGAGTTTGGGATTGCTCCACGGAATGAAGGACTGCTGAGGGAGTTCATTAGCTTGGCACAATGCTTGCCCACCTCAGGCCCTGACTGAAGCACAAGGTTAAGGGGAGGGGGGGTGTAATTACTGACTGACAGCAAGGGAGCTCACTCAGGTGAGGGGAAAGATGGCTAATAGTGGCTTGGAAACAGAGGATGGGAAAGGTAGGAAGAGCGCCAAAGTCCTCATGCCCCAAAGTCAGCTTGTCCTCATGCTGACAAGACGGTGGGACCTATGTCTTCTGCCTCTGGCCAGTGTGTTTCACTGTCCCAGCCCCTGGTCTATGGCCCAGGTGTCCCATGTCCTCTTTTGGCCGATGTCCAACACCACACATCTGCAGTCACAATCACACACACAGAGGCTCTGAGGAAAGTCAATGTGAGGAAGGCACCAGGGCCTGGCGTGTGGCAGGCAGTGGGACATCGCCCCAAGCAGGGATGCCAGGCAGGGGGTGTGTCAGGGCATGTGTCAGAGCATATGTCGTTCTTCCCCCAGGAGTACATGCGCATGATGGGGCTCAGCAGCTGGCTGCACTGGACTGCATGGTTCCTGCTCTTCTTCCTCTTCCTCCTTATCGCAGTCTCCTTCATGACCCTGCTCTTCTGTGTCAAGGTAAATGTGGCTTCAAGAAGGAGTTTGGCCTGGCCGACGTGGCTTGGTGGTTGAGCAACAGCCTATGCACCAAGAAGTCACTGGTTTGATTCCCATTCAGAGCACATGCCCAGGCTCAATCCCCAGAACGGGGTGTGCAGGAGGCAACCAATCGTTGTTTCTCTCTCATCGATGTTTCTATCTCTCCTTCTCCCAAAATCAATTTTTTAAAAATGCATATTTTTTTAAATCCTTTAAAAAAAAAGGGGGGGAGTCTGATATCAAGAGCATGGTATTCAAATTGATGGGACAGCCAGAGGCAGCCGTAGTACCTCCACAGAGACCCCAAGATTCCATGTTTGCAGATTTCAGGGGAGTCTGCCTGGGCTTAGTAGAGAGGAGCAGTGGTTTCTCAGTCATACACTAAGTGTAGCCCCTTCACCAATCCCCTTCCTTCCCGTCTCATTTGTGGCTGGAACATGTATTGTCTCTACCTTTCCTGTTCTAATGTGTGCATGCTGACCTCTGGGGTGGCACCCCGTGCAGGTGAAGAAGGACGTGGCAGTGCTCGCACACAGCGACCCCTCACTGGTGCTGGTCTTCCTGGCCTGCTTTGCCATCTCCTCCATCTCCTTCAGCTTCATGGTCAGCACCTTCTTCAGCAAAGGTGAGTCTTCCTGACCCCTGGGAACAGAGGACTGTGGGGTGATAAAACCCCAGAAAACCTGGCAGTTTTGTTTGGGGATAAATAGAAATAACCCACAGACTGAAGTGTTTTTGTACTCTGTATCTTCCTTGGACTCAATTTTTTGAGTGTTGAAGTACATCCCTGAATAATTCTTTTTTAAAAAATTATAATTGATATATAGTAAGTATATTTGTTTCAGGTGTACAACATAGTGATTCAACATTTATGTACCATACAAAGTGATCACTACAATAGGCCTAGTAATTATCTAACACCATACATAGTTATACAGTAATGATGTTATTGACTGTGGTCCTATGCTGTAAATTATGTCCTCATGACTTATTTTATAATGGGAAGTTTGTATTTCTTAATCTCCTTCCCCTTTTCCACCCTTCCCCACACCGCTCTCTCCTCTGGCAGCCATCAATTTATTCTATGTATCTCTGAGTTTATATCTGTTCTGTTTTATTTGTTTGTTTTGTTTTTTAAATTCCATGTATAAGTGAGAGCATATGATATTTGTCTTTCTCTGTCCAACTTATTTCACATAACATAATACTCTATAGGTTTGCAGATGGCAAGATTTCATTTTTTTATAGCTAAGTCCCATTGTATATATGTACCACATCTTTATCCATTCATCTATTGATGGACACTTAGATTGCCTACATATCTTCGCTGCAATGAACATACGGGTGCATATAACTTTTCCAATAATTGTTTTTGTTTTCTTCAGATAAACACCTAGGAATGTAATTGCTAAGTCATGTAGTAGTTCTATTTTTATTTTTTGAAGATTCTCCGTACTGTTCTCCACATCCTCACCAACATGTTTTTGTTGTCTTTTTAATGATAGCCATTCTGAGAGGTGTGAGGTGGTATTTCATTGTGGTTTTGATTTGCATTCCCCTGATGATCAGTGATGTTGAGCATCTTTTCATGTGTCTGTTGGCCACTTGTATGACATCTTTGGAGAAATGTCTACTTAGGTCCTCTGTTGTATAATAAAATGTGTCGACATTTTTTTTTCATCCTCACTGGAGGACATTTTTTCCATTTTTTGTTCAGATAGAGTGAGAGGGAGAGAGAGGAAGAGAGAGAGACAGAGAGAGAGAGAGAGAGACATCGATGTGAAAGGGACACATTGAGTGGCTGCCACCTGCACAACCCAACCAGGCAGGGCCGGGGACAAACTGCAACTGAGGTACATGCCCTTAGTGGGAACTGAACCCGGGTCTTCTGGACTGCAGGCCGACACTCTAACCGCTGAGCCAAACCATGCAGAGCAAAATATGTCAAAATTTATATCTGCATAACTCAATAAGCAATATTTTCCAAGTGATCATTGCATCATCTTATAATATCTTACAAGATTAATCCATTCAAAGTGCAAGTTAGACCAATGGATTTTAGTGAAACAGTATGAAAAGTTAGTTAGTTTCATTCCACATGGCACCTAACCTTTAAGAAACTACCACTTGTTAAATGGTGTAGTATCAAAAAAAAAGAATATCCACAAACATCTGAAAGGCTATTAAATACTCCTCCTTTTTCCAACTACTTATCTCTGTGAAGCTGATTTCATGCACTTCACCCAAAACAATGTAACACAACAGAGTGAATGCAGAAGCAGATATGACAACTCAGCTGTAATCTAAGTCAGATATGTAGAGGTTTGCAAAAATGTAATACAATGCACTTGTCTCACTAAATTATGGGAAATGGAGTTGCTTTTTATAAAAGTATTTATGTTAACTTGTAATGGGTTTATTTTTATTCTTAAATATCTTTAAAATGTTTTAGTGTTATTTTCTAATGCAGTCAACATTGATGTGTGTGTGTGTGTGTGTGTGTGTGTGTGTGTGTATGTAACCCATATAAACAAAAGTTCTCTGATGTCCTTAATAATTTTTAAGGGAGTAAAGGAGTCTTACGACCAAAGAATTTGAGGGCTGCCAGTATGGAGTAGAGCCATGCTGTTTTCCCCATACCTCCATAGCCCAGTCCTCACCTCTCTCAAATCTTTCCCATGTGTCACTTTCTTGTTAAAGCCTTCCTTGGCCACCAGGTCACAGGCACAGCCCCTGGCCCAGGGAATGTCTTGTCCTCATTCTTTGCCTTATTGCTCATTCATTCACTATCTGTGTCCCCATGGGATTATAAACTTGAGTGGGGTGGGGCTTTGTCTATCATGTTTGCAGCCGTCTCTGGTGCCTGAAGCAAGGCCTGGCACAGAGTAGGCACTCAGCGAATATCTGTGCAGGGAATAAGAGGGGGAAGACCAGACAAGAAGCAAGTCTGAGGTGAGGGGCTCAGTATTAGTCATGTCAGATGTGCAGTGTCAAAGCAACTGGAGGTGAAGTCTGTAGGAGAGGGCTGGAAAAATCAATGTGTGGTCCCAGGAAGAGGAGGACACCCACTACCCTGGGCAGGGTCACATTCCCTAAGGCATAGGCACTCAGACTAGAGAAAAGACTGCAAGCCAAGCCTGGAGTTCCCCAGCACCCGGGCCTGTGTCCCAAGTCTCATATGCTTCCTTCTGACACATTCATGCAAATTATCATGCATGATTTTATCACACTTAACTTTCTCTCTCCATCTGTAGCCAACATGGCAGCAGCCATTGGGGGCTGCCTATACTTCTTTACATACATCCCCTACTTCTTCGTTGCTCCTCGATACAACTGGATGACTCTTAGCCAGAAGCTCTTCTCCTGTCTCCTGTCCAATGTCGCCATGGCAATGGGAGCCCAGCTCATAGGAAAATTTGAAGCAAAAGGTGAGTATTTTCATTTTCACAAGCTGCCCTTCCTGATTCAGTTACACCCAGAGAGAGTCTAAGCAGAGGCACCTCCAGCTCCGGTAATAGACACATCAGGACAACTAAGCGAGTGATGCGTTTGGAAGACAGGTCCTTGGCATCCACCACTTGGCTAGTGTAGTCTGAGCTTTGAGTTCCCGCGAAGCTCTGCCTGGAACCAGCTGTTACTGAAGGAAAACATTGGATGTGAGCATCTGCACCTATCAATGTGGGGTTCTACTCAGTTACCTCTGGGTCTCTGCCTGCATCAGGAAGCATTCAGAATTATTACACTCCAGGTCTCAAAGTTCATGTTTTTATTTAAATAATTATTTATTTTTCTATTACAGTTGATGTACAATATTATACTAATTTCAGGTGTACCACCCAGTGATTAGACATTTAATATAACTTATGAAGTGATCACTCCAATAAGTCTAGTACCCATCTAGCACCATGCATAGTTATTACAATATTATTGGTTATGCTGTACTTTATATCCCCATGACTATTCTATAACTACCAGTCTTTACTTCTTTATTTTTTTTTTTATTCTCACCTGAGGACATTTTTGTATTTATCTTCAGATAGAGCAGGAGGGAGAGAGGGAGGAAGAGAGAGAGAGAAACATTGACGTGAGAGAGACACATAGAGTGGTCGCCACCCACACAACTCCAACCGGGGCCGGGCACAAACTGCAACCAAGGCATGTGCCCCTAGCAGGAACCAAACCCAGGACTCTCTGGTTCTCAGGCCGACGCTCTAACCACTGAGCAAAACTGTCCAGGGCTAGTTTGTACTTCTTAATCCCTTTACCCTTTGCACCTTCCCCCCAAAGCCCCCTTCCATCTGGCAACCATCAAAATGTTTTCTATATCTGAGTCTGTTTCTGTTCTGCTCGTTCATTTACCTGGTTTTTTAGATTCCACATTTAAGTGAAATCACATGGCATCTGTCTTTCTCTGTCAAAGTCCTTGGGTTTTGATCTACTCCTAGCTCTCCATAAAGTGGTACAATTAACATCTCCCCCCTTCCTGGTCCCCTGAAATTGGCAATGATTGGCGGTGAGGATGAGGAAGCCCAAGAGAAAAACAAGAGACAGACCAAAACACTGTTTTCTTGATTTTTATGAAATTTCCTGATTTCTAAAATATGGGGATCAAATAAAACCCTTCTTTGGGCTGACTTTGGCCTTGTGGGCTCCCACTTTGCAAACCTGCAGTAGCAGCTCTGATTTCAATTGATGGAGTTAGGCCTTCTCCTCTAAAGTGATTGAAAAAGCCCTGGCCGGTTTGGCTCAGCGGTTAGAGTGTTGGCCCGCAGACCAAAGAGTCTTGGGATTGATTCTGATCAAGGGCACTCAATTGCAGTTCAACCCCTGGCCCTGGTCTGGGTTGTGTGGGAGGCAGCCAATCCATTTTTCTCTCTCTCTCTCACTCTCTCTCCTCCTCTCTCGCCCTCCCTCCCTCCCACTCTGTCTGAACATGAATGAAAAAAATATCCTCGGATGAGGATTTAAAAAAAGAAAAAGTGATTAAAGGGCCCTGGCCATTTTGGCTCAGCAGTTAAGAGTGTCGGCCTAAAGACCAAAGGGTCACAGGTTTGATTCCCAGTCAAGGGCATGTACCTGAGTTGCAAGTTTGATCCCTTGGTGGTCAGGTAGAACAGGGGGCAACCCTCCCTCCCTTCCACTCTACCTACATCAATGGGAAAATGTCCTAAAATAAAAATAAAATAATAAAGTGATAAAAGGGTACCTAGTGTAACCTTTAACCCCTCACCTGCTGGGAGGTCTCAGGAGTTATAGAGCTCACCTCTTAGGAGAAGCCCCATTCATTCCCAGATCCCTTAAACCCCTCTCACAGAAGGGCCATGGAGAGGTAGATGGCCCCCTTTTTTTTTTTTTTTTGCTCTGGTTCCAAGAGGAGATTCGAGGGGTACAGGTGAGTTTCTTTGAGGCTGGTGTTGTGCTGGTATCGTATCCCTGGAGCTTCTGCCTGTTGTTCTGGCTTCACTAGCGGGGGGTAAAATGCAATCTCCCTTCTACATCACTGACCTGTGTGCCTTTTAAGACTATTTTGGCCCTGCCGCACCCAAATGTTCTCTTTTTCAGGCCGAATGCTCTTGTTTCTTCCAACCATGCAGTTCTTAGCTGTAGCTTCTGGTTAGAGGGAGGAGGGTCTATGGAAGGAGGCAGGTAGATAGTCACAGGGACCTTCAAGCTTTCTCTTTTCTTTTTTAGTGTGGCTTTATCTTTGCTTAGGGTTGTTTCTTCAATTGGCGATGTCTTCTGACACTGTAGTTTTAAATATATGTATTTCCATGTGTAATAGTGTGAGGTACAATGTAGACTTTTAATGCACAGTCCCTTTTATTGATTCTTTAGAGAGAGAGGAAGGAGGAGAGAGAGAAACATCAATGTAAGAGAGAAACAAATCAGCTGCCTCCTGCATGCCCCCTACTGGGGATCAAGACTGCAACCCGGGCATGTGCCCTGACAGGAACTTGAACTAGGACCTCTGTCCATGGGATGATGCTCAATCCACTCAGCCACACCGGCTGGGCTCAAATACTTTTTGAAAAGTCACTTACAAAAAATAATCTAACTGTATGACCTCTCATTTTTCAAAGTTATGTACTGAATTTTCTTAAAATAGACAAATTTGTAGTTATTTGAAAGTGAACATTGACCAAGGCCAGAGAGGAGCCATTTTCATCAGTTTCTCGAGCCAACAGAAGGCATCTGGCTACACAGAATCCCCAAGAATCATTTGAACTGTGCTGTTGCAAAACAGAGAAGACAAAACACTATGAGCACCACTAAATAGAGCTTCTATGTGTCTAAAGAATTTTTTCCATTTTTAAAAAGATTTATATGAAATGCATAATGTTCCAGTGTTGAGCTTACCCCAAATCACATGTATGTATGTATATGTATGTGTGTATGTGTTCATGTATATGTATATTGTATATATGGATATTTGTATGTATATGTGTGTGTGTGATAAATCAAACACAAGCCTATCTAGTCAGTTAATGAGCTTTTGCTGGTTCTATAATATCAATTTAGCAACTCACTCTTATCTTCAAGACCTGAAGAGAGTCATCAGATTTGCTATAAAAGCAGGAAGGGAGAAGTCATGCTGACTTTGCTGTTGGCAGGGAGAGGGGAGCTGCAGGTCTGTTTCAGGCCCATTTCCTGGTGTGTATTCCAGGCACTGGCATCCAGTGGCGAGAGCTCCTGAGTCCCGTCAACGTGGATGACGACTTCTCCTTTGGGCAAGTGCTGGGCATGCTGCTGTTGGACTCCGTCCTTTATGGCCTGGTGACCTGGTACGTGGAGGCCATCCTCCCGGGGCAGTTCGGTGTGCCCCAGCCCTGGTACTTCTTCATCATGGTGAGTCCTGATGCCGTTGCTCCTCACGCTGGCCACCTGTTGGGGGGAGGGTGCAGGTTTCCCCAGCATGTCCTCCAGGACCGCTCCAGTCCCTGACATTTGATGCCTAGTTGGGTCAGGATATAGGACCTTAGCCTCTGCTCAGTTGGTGAGCTGTATATCATAAGGACCCTGAGACTACCCCACTACCTCCTGAGATGATCCCTACACTCCAGGGTCAGAAAAGGAGCTCGAGCTGGCCCTCTACCCACAGCAGCAGCATACCCTCGCCCTCAGTCTCTCTTTCTTGCCACTTGTTGGGTTTTCTGTGCACAAAATAATGTGGCTTCTTGTAAAAATGATCACACTGCTGGAATATACAGCACAGTCCCACTACTCAGAGATAATCACTGCTGACGTTTTAATGTGTAGTTCTTCCAATTTTTTTCTATACATAGACTGTCCTCTAGTTTGCATGGATGTATATATACATTTGTTTTTTAAAAAAAGGGATTGTATTATCAAAATGCTTCAAACTGTTTTTTTTTAAACTTATGAGTACACCTTAGATATCTTAAGTACATATATACATGGGTCTATTCATAAATATACTTTTATATTTTTATCTATACATATTTGTAAATTTTGTTTTATTTATAAATATATCCATATTTAAATATATGCATATTTATGAATCAACTTTATTTATTAATGACTGCACAGTGTTTCGTGGATGCCCCACCATGTATTTAGCTAGTTCCCTATTGATAGTTAGGTACCACTTCAGCGTTCATTCTTTGATTCAACAACTATTTATCAAATGTCCACTACATATTTGATCAAATCTAAAATGCCACTGATTCTTAGAGATACCATTACTTTATTACTAAGAAAGAAAAATATATTTAATATTTTAATATTGTGGCATTCCATGATTTCTAAGACACACTCTGATTTCAAAGTCACTTAAAATGTGCGAAATGCGTAGCTTAAAAACCAGTGGGTTATGGTGTGCAGAACTATTCCAGGCACTGGAAATACACTGGGAACATAGCTGTGGGTTAAACAGATTCTCCCCTCAAAGGCTTACCTTTACTGAGAGTTCTTCCAGGCCCTGTTCTCCCCTTACCTGTGGCCCTGCCCATGGCCCTGTGTTACCTATGCCAACAGGCCTCCCTCGAGGGTGGGGTGTGTGTACAGTTTGTAGTTATAGTCTTACCCCTCACACAGCCTGTCCCTGTGATGGCCAGACAGAGGGTGGAGGATCATCATCCTCTAGACAAGGCAGGGGGTTGTCCTTTTCTAGACAAAGGGTAAAGAGTCGTCCTCTAGACAGGGTGGGACAAGGCTTCCTCATAGCAGAGGGAGGCCTGGCCCTTGGACTCCTCCTGCATAGTTCAGGAGCTTCCACGTAGGTGAATAAAGGTGCAGCTGGTGGTGTGGAAACACATCCACCTTCATTTTCTGCCCTGATGTCACTTTGGACTAGAACAATCAATAACCTGTCTGTATTAAATGTCATTGTTTGCTTTTCTTCCATGTCACATCTGAGTTGAGTATGATATGACAATAAGCCTGTGAGTTGCTGTCATGCTATATGGCAAATTAGGAAGCTGAGGCTGAGTGCTTCCCTAGGAGTAGGGAGTGAGATGTGAGGGGCTATGCTGGATCCTGACCCAGCCCTGGGGCTCTAAACAGTGTCTCCTCTGCAGCACTTTGTGGGAGGGAACACCGAGGGCTGGCTGCTGCGTGTATTGAACATGTTGGTTAGTTGTTGCTCTGTTAGTCACAATCACAATGACCTGACATGAATCAGCCATCTGAGACCTATCTGATTTCCAATCTAGCCCTCGTATTGGTGTGGGCATCCAAGAACGGTTTTAGGGAAAGAGGAAGAAGACCAGGACCCCGAGAAAGCCCTCAGGACAGAGTACTTTGAAGCTGAGCCAGAGAGCCTGGTGGCCGGGATCAAGATCAAGCACATATCCAAGGTGTCACACCCTGTGGGGACAGGCAGGGAAGGGGGACTTTGGAGTCACAGATGGTAAAACCTGTTTCCTTGCCCATGGCTCTCTCCAAGCTGGTAACTGTTCTCTGGACCTTGTTGCCTCCTGGATCCTCAGGGCTGCTCTCTGACCAGCTCTCCCAGGCACTGACCACCACTCAAACTCTGTCCCCAGGGCCCAGTGTGGAGACTCAGGGTTGAGTCAATAACTCATGCCACTGCTCAGCCTTAACCTCTCAGCAGCTTTGCATTAGACGCTTGCTGTGCTGGCTGCACAGTGATGCCTCGGCCTCACAGACCTTTGACACCAGGGATATTGGGGACCTGTTGGGGGTGGGGGAGGCAGAGAACAGTGGGAGGCAGCATGGCCACCAATCAACACTCTGTCCAAAACTTCCCACCCCTCTGCCTGCTGATTGGTGACACTGGGAGGGGTCCCCTCTGAGACCCTTGGTGTTTATTCAAAAAGGGAGTGGGAGGGACCCATGGAGTAAGTTCCTGAGGGCCCCTAAAGTTCAGGGTGGCCTCTGCCTTTCCTGCAGGTGTTCAAAGTGGGGAACAAGAGCAAGGCAGCCGTCAGAGACCTGAACCTGAACCTGTATGAAGGGCAGATTACTGTCCTACTTGGCCACAATGGTGCAGGAAAGACCACTACCCTCTCAATGCTCACAGGTGAGGGGCCACATGGCCACCATGGCAGGAGTTGGGTGACCAGCAAACCCACTTACAGGCAGGTCCTTGGGTAAATCGAGGCGAAACTGCATGGACATGGCGAGGCCATTACACCTCACGCTAACTGGAGGAAGTTCAGCTGAACCTAAGCCTTTGCTTTTCTCTTTGGCCGTAGGTCTTTTTCCCCCAACCAGTGGGCGGGCATACATCAATGGGTATGAAATTTCACAAGACATGGTTCAGATCCGGAGGAGCCTGGGCCTGTGCCCACAGCACGATGTCCTGTTTGACAACCTGACAGTTGCAGAACACCTGTATTTCTATGCTCAGGTGAGTTGGCAGGGGGTGGGATTCAGTGTTTGTTCCTTAGCCTGTGTGGTTGGGTTCCCTAGGCAGCCAGCTGAGCCCTTAGCCACCCCCCAATACCCCCGCCGCCACACACCCCGGCAAACCAAAACCTGCTCCTAGTAGCCCTCCTGTACTTGGAGTAAGGGAGGTGGGAGAGAAGTCAGGACTAGGAGGCCAGAACATGAAAGGATGAGACAATGCCAGGGCTAAGTGTTTCACTGGATGGCCCCGTCATAAGCCCCTGCTGATCTCTCTGTCCCCTGCTATTTCAGCTGAAAGGCTTGTCCTGCCAGAAGTGCCCTGAAGAAGTCAAACAGATGCTGCACATCCTTAGTCTGGAGGACAAGCGGGACTCCCGGTGCAAGTTCCTGAGCGGGGGGATGAAGCGCAAGCTGTCCATCGGCATCGCCCTCATAGCGGGCTCCAAGGTACGGGGCAGCGGGCCCAACCTCCTAAAGGACACAGGTTAGGGCCCCCCATATATGGTGGAAAAACACTTGGGGCAGTGCAGTCCAGACGCATTGCCCTCCAGCTCCCACTCAGCCTGAGCTACCTGCTGGTTCTGCAGCCATGGCTCAGGAACCTTGGCACTGGGTACCCTGGACAGGCAGTCTGGCGAGGGCAGTACTGCAGCATCTTTGTGGAACTTGAGCTGCACAGGGCAGACGGTACAGCCAGCCTAGGCCTGTTCACGGCCTGTTCCTCTGCCCTCCAGGTGCTGATGCTGGACGAGCCCACCTCAGGCATGGATGCCGTCTCCAGAAGGGCCATCTGGGACCTTCTTCAACAGCAGAAAAGTGGCCGCACTATCCTGCTGACCACCCATTTCATGGATGAGGCTGACCTGCTTGGGGACCGCATTGCCATCATGGCCAAGGGGGAGCTGCAGTGCTGTGGGTCCTCACTGTTCCTCAAACAGAAATATGGTGAGTGGCTGAGGTAGGAAGTGGGATGGGCACCCCGCCTCCACTCCATATGGGGTCAGTGTCACTGACCCAGTGTGCTGACGAAAGTGCTCACTGCTAACTTTCACAAAGGGCCCCTGAGATCAGGCAGGGAAAGGCCTTCCCTAGACTTCCTGTCTGCTATGGCTGGATGGAGACTCGAGGCCCAGGGAAGTGGATTGGATTAGAATAACAATCAGTCATGGCCAGTGGAATAGCAGATGAAAGCCAGGCCTGCCACCAGCAATAGCGCCCTTGGAGAGGCCAAGCACGTTTGCCAATGTCACAGCTCTCAAATCAGTAAATGGCCCACAACATGGTACAGGGCTGGTGGGTTGCATGTGGAATCAGGACCCTCTTTGCTATGTAGGCATGACTTTCTTTCTCGAAGGCAGCTCATGGTCCAGTATGCCAGGTCCTACCCATGTTCCGCCAGTGGGAAGGAGCAAAAACAGAAGACAAGATACCCCAGGAGTTGCATACCTTCCCCTGACCAGCACACAGCCTTGTAAAGTACGTGGTGACCCAGTGCAGTCATTATCAGGCTGGTGGAGACTGGACTGGGTTGCCTTCATCCTGGGGTTCTCAAGAAAGGAGAATAGGTCATGGAAACAGTATCTGCCACAGCCTCTGAGAATTGAAGTCTGAAGTGACTTGGCTTTCACCTCCTTATCATGTTCAGCACCCAAGTTTTCCAGCATCTCTTCCCAGCTAGGGAGCAGGTGGCAAGACCCTCAGGATAGCTCTGAGGAGCTCCAAGATGCATTCATTCTAGTTCAGCTGCCTCCTGCTCTCCAGCCCCTTTCCCATGAGCCTACAATGGTCATGAGTCCAAGGGCCCCAGCTAGGCCAGGAGACATGAGAGACAGCCTCACATAGGGCTCTGCTGTGTTCCAGGTGCAGGCTACCACATGACACTGGTGAAGGAGCCGCACTGCAACCCAGAGGGCATCTCCCGGCTGGTCCACCACCACGTCCCCAACGCTTCCCTAGAGAGCAGCGCCGGAGCAGAGTTGTCATTCATTCTTCCCAAAGAGAGCACTCACAGGTACAGATCTGAGAATGGGGCTCAGTCAGTGGGCCTCAAGGGCTCCATGCTTAGAGTTACCCACCCTGCACCTGTCAAGCCTGGCCAGTGGGCATCTCTCAGGTCCTGGACTTATGACAGTCAATGCATGGTGAAATCTGCTTGCTGGGTCTAGGATGCCAGGCCTCCCTGTGCAATGGAGCTGGGAGAAACATCACCTGTACCTGAGAAGCAAAAAGTGTCTTACTCATCAAAGGGGAGCTCAGTGCATTGGTCACACTAGATGAAGCATGCACAGTAACCTGTCCAGAGTTCTCTGTGGAATTGTGAATTTGTATGTCTTCTTGATCTTAGAATTTGAATCACAGATACATGCCTCATAAACATAACAGACAACCAGTGTGGAGAAGTAAAAAAAAAAAAAAAAAAAAAAAAAAAATTGAGCCCTGACTCTGTTTCTCAGTGGTTAGAGCATTGGCCCTCACACGGAAGGGTCTCAGGTTCGATTCCCAATCAAGGAAATGTACCTGGGTTGCCGGTTGGATAACCAGCCCTGGTCAGGATGTGTGTGGGAGGCAACCAATCGATGTGTCTCTCTCACATCAATGTTTCTCTTTCTCTCCTCCCCACTTCCACTCTGAAAATCAATGGAAAAAATGTCCTCAGATGAGGATTAAACAGCCCTGGCTGGTGTGGCTCAGCAGTTGGATCGTCGGCCTGCGGTCCAGAGAGACCCGAGTTCGGTTCCCACTAAGGGCATGTACCTCGGTTGCAGTTCATCCCTGACCCTGGTCAAGGTTATGCAGGAGGCAACCAGTCAATGTTTCTCTCTCTCTCCCCACCCCCTTCCCTCCCTCCCACTCTATCTGAAGATAAATGAAAAAAATGTCCTCAGGTGAGGATTAAAAAAAGAAAATTAGAAGGAAAATACATTTATAGTACTGTATGCATTTTTTTTTTAATTTTAGAGAGAGGAAGGGAGAGAGGGAGAAACATCAATGTGAGAGAGAAACATTGATTGGCTCCCGACACCTTTTGGTGTCACTCCAACCAACTGAGCCATACCAGCCAGGGCTATGTATTTTTTGAAAAAATTTGCATGTAAGTGGACCTGCGTAGTTCAAACTGTATTATTAATTAATATTGACCATTTCTGTTGCAACTTTTTTCAATTTATAGTTGCCTAATTTTGTGGTATTTTTTTTTCTTTTAGAGAGAGAGGAAGGGAGAGAGAGATAGAAACATCAATGAGAGAGAGAAATGTCAATCAGCTGCCTCCTGCATGCCCCCTAGTGGGGATCGAGCCTGCAACCCGGGCATGTGCCCTGACCAGGAATCCAACTGGGACCTCGCAGTGCCTGGGATGCAACACTCAGTCCCCTGAGCCACACCAGTGTGCTGTGGGATTTTTTTTCCATGCAGATACTTTACATTTATTTTTTATGGTTCTGTTTTGTTTTATTGATATTAGAGAGAGAGTTAGGGAGAGAGGGAAAGAGAGAGATAGAGAGAGAAACATCCATTGGTTGCCTCCTGTATGTACCCCAACCAGGGATCAAACCCACAACCTGGGCATGTACCTTGAATGGTGATCAAACCTGAAACCTCTTTCTTGGTGCACTGAATGACCCTCCAACCAATGGAGCCACACCAGAAAGGCAGATAGTTTACATTTATTGGGTTCACCTGAGGATATTTTTCTATTTATCGTCAGATAGAGTAGGAAGAAGGGAAAGAGAGAGAAACATGGATGTAAGAGAGACACATCAATTGGTTGCCTCCCACATGACCCTGGCTAGGACCGGGGACAAACTGCAACAGAGGTATGTGCCCTTGATTGAACCCAAGACTCACAGATCCTCAGGCCAACGCTCTAACCACTGAGCAAACCAGCCAGGGCTTTCTTGTGAAATCTTTTTAGAAATTTTTTTCGCTGCCTTGCAATCAAATGAATATTCACCAATTGCTTTTGGTTGGTTTTGTGATCTCCTGTAGGTGTATACTATCAAAGAATGCCTTTGTACTCACAGGATGTTACATGGGAAGTAAAAAAAGTCAGGGAAACCCTGGCCGGATAGTTCAGCTGGTTAGATCGTTGTCCAGATATGCCAACGTTGTGGGTTTGATTCGTAGTTAGAGCACATAGTGGAACAACAAATCAATGTCTCTCTCTCTCCCTCCCTCTCTCTCTTTCTCTCAAATCAATTGGAAAAAAAAAAAAGACAGGGAATAAAACCTGACCTATTTTTTTTGAAATGTCATTTCAAGGAGCTTACCTCCTTTGCCCCTCCCCCATACTACACAGAGGTGATTACTTAGGAATGAATTATCTGGAAAGTCACTGAGAAGGGACTCATCACTGGGGTCTTTTTTCAGGTTTGAGAGTCTTTTTACTAAACTGGAGAAGAAGCAGAAGGAGCTGGGCATTGCCAGCTTTGGGGCCTCTGTCACAACCATGGAGGAAGTCTTCTTACGGTCAGTAAATGTATTTCCATTCACCTAGGATGCAGCAATGTGGATGATTTTTTTTTTCTTTTATTGGATGATTTAAGTGTAATGATAAAGCAATCCCCTCAGTTATCATCTCTAACACTCATCTGAGGGTGAACATATGCCTGGGGTAGAAGCAGGGAAGTGGGCTAGCTGACAGAGCCCAAATTCGAATCATGACTCTGTTATTAAGATATGCACAAACCCAGTGAGGTTTCTGACATGTGCAGCTTTAGAAAGCAGAGAGCAGCCCTAGCCGGTTTGGCTCAGGGGTTAGAGCGTCAGCCTGCCGTCGAGAGAGACCCGGGTTCGGTTCCCGCTAAGGGCGTGTGCCTCGGTTGCAGTTTGTCCCCGACTCTGGTTGGGTCGTGCGGTGGCAGCCACTCGATGTGTCCCTTTCACTTCGATGTTTCTCTCTCTCTCTCTCTAGAAAGCAGAGAGCAGCTATGCTCCAATCACGTTGGGAGTGTGTGCACTTCCCCTAGGGTCCTTCCCAGGAACACCACAGCAGTTACAGGCTTGCCAAACTCCTCTCAGGTTTAGATAGTAGTTCAGAGCATACCTCCATCCATAAGATGTGAAATCTGTCGTTCAGACCCTCAGAAGTTCAGGGTGAGTTTGATATGACTGATGCATGTTCTAGACATTTGTTAATTAGGCAGACTTAGTGCTAAGAACTAGAAATGCAAAATTAGAATGTGAAGAAGGTGTTTTTCCTTGAGGACCCATAGCCTAGAGCAGGCAACAGAATAAGTGAATGTAAACACAGTGTAGCTATCGTGCCCCAAGCCTCCTTCTGTCTCCTTGGAAAGCCTTGGTTATAAATGCCAACATCCCCATGAGCAGGGTCCCTGCCTACTTGTCTTTCTCTCCTGGACTTTCCTTGGCTCCAGTAGCTGATGTTCTGGAGATATTTCTTTCTTTTTTTTATTTTTTATTCCTCACCCGAGGATATTTTTCCATTTATCTTCAGATAAAGTGGGAGAGAAAGAGAGAGAAAGAAACATTAACTTGCTGCCTCCCGCTCGACCCGGGCCAGGGCCGGGACGAACTGCAACCGGGGTAGGTGCACTTGGCCGGAATTGAACCCATGACTCATTGGTATGCGAGCCAGCACTCTACCGCTGAGCCATACTGGCCAGGGCTGGAGATATTTATTGATGAATGAATGAATGAATGAATGAATGAATGAATGAACGAACGAACCAGCCAATGAAGCTGATGGTTGTCTACTTTAGTGCCTCTGACAGGAGACCTCACCCCCATCGCCACTTCCCTTCTCTGTGGAACAATAGCTTCTTCCTCCCTGGAGAGCCTAGTTATGACCAAGCCTGTGTTTGGGTTCAGGGTTGGTAAGCTGGTAGACACCAGCATGGACATCCAGGCCATCCAGCTGCCTGCCCTGAAGTACCAGCACGAGAGGCGAGCAAGTGACTGGGCAGTGGACAGTAATCTGTGCGGGACGATGGACCCAACTGATGGCATCGGCGCCCTGATCGAGGAGGACTGCACCACCATCAAGCTCAACACAGGGGTGAGTGCTGTGGGCTGGAGCCAGGCAGCGCAGGAGGATTGAGAGACCCCTAGCCCCACAGTCCATGAGGGCAGATGTGGACTTGGGGAGGGTCAGAGTGCCAGGAAGAGGGAAGGTTACATCTCATGCTCCCATGGGTTGGCAGGGAAAAGAAGGAAAACTCGTAGCATTTTTATTGAGCAATTGTAATTTCTTAATGTTCTAATTTGACCACCAACGAATAAGAGCGAATCATTGCTTATAAAACTAATAGCGCTCCCTTCACCAAGATATTGGCATGTGCTGGCATTTGATAAGTTAGAGGCAGCACTGGTTCCATTTTATAGACAGGAAACAGGCTTGGGCAGGGTCACATGGCCAGATGTGGCAAACCTCGGGATTGGTCCCAGTGGCACTCCCCACACTTAAGAAGACAGTGAGGAGGTAAAGTTGGTGAATAGGGACAGCCAAGGGATGTTTTTTCATCAGTAAGCACAGCTGGAGTCCTCATACCAGGAGCAAGGAGAGGCAGAGACCTTAGCAGGAGAGCTGTGGGATCACAACCATACCCGTAATGTCCTGTGACAAGGAAATAGTGACTGCCCTGACTCCATGACTGTTGCAAGATCCCCTGATGCCCACATCGGGACCTGCATGGATGTATACACATGTGTCCTGCATATCATTGACTGAGCCCTGCAAGAAGTTCAGGGGCCCCAGGGCACAAATGTCAGCCAAAAATCCCAGGCTTACATGGGAATCATGCCTACTACTGTCAGATACTGGCTCCTGAGTGGCAGCTGTGTCACCTCGTCCCCTCTGCTGCAGCTCACCCTCTACTGCCAGCAGTTCTTGGCCATGTTCCTGAAGAAGGCCACATACAGCTGGCGGGAATGGAAGATGGTAGCAGCCCAGGTCCTGGTCCCTGTGATGTGCATTACCCTGGCCCTCCTGTCCATCAACTACTCTTCCGAGATCTTTGACGACCCCATCCTGAAGCTGACCTTGGGCGAGTACGGCAGAACCGTTGTGCCCTTCTCAGTTCCTGGGACCTCTCGGCTAGATCAGCAGCTATCTGAGCATTTGAAGGACATGCTGCAGGCTGAGGGCCAGGAGCCCCGTGAAGTGTTGGGTAAGAGGCATCCCTGGGGTTCCGGGCCTGAGCTGTGCTGTCAGAGCCTGGTTTTACAACCGCAGCACTGTAGAGACTTGGGGTGGTTGGCTCTTCACTGCCCTGTGCATTGTAGGACTTCTATTCCCCACCCCCACTCCATCATGACAACCAAAAATGCTTCCAGACAGTTGCCAGGTCTCCCCTGGAGAAGAAAATTGTTACACTGAGTCTGAAGAAGACACAAGGCAGCATGTCTAGGGCTAAACTTTGTATAAGAGGTCATTTCCTGAAGTTTTATATTTAGAACCATTCAAAGGAAATGTGAAACTTCGATGATCTTTATGTTGCCTTTTCTTTGTTTGCTAGGCTAGTCATAGTATGCATTAACGTGACACAGTGTTTTCTTTCTTTCTTTTTTTTTTATCCTCACCTGAGGACATTTTTTTTGCATTTATCTTCAGATAGAGGGGAAGGGAGAGAGGGAGGAAGAGAGAGAGAGAAACATCAATGTGAGAGAGACACATTGAGTGGTTGCCACCCACATGACCCCAACCGGGGCCAGGAACAAACTGCAACTGAGGTATGTGCCCTTAGCAAGAACCGAACCCGGGACTCTCTGGTCCGCAGGCTGACACTGTAACCACTGAGCCAAACCAGCCAGGGGGTGACACAGTGTTTTCTTCCATCATCCTAAAACCAAAGCTATGTCATGTCCCCGGTGGTGGCGGTTGGACACTACTCTGGGTTTACAGCCAGCATCTAGTTATAGGGACTATACTGGAAGATTTTCTCCTTTTACTGCTCCCCTCCCACTTCCTGGCTGGCTACTTTGAGATTCAGCATACTGAGTGGTCACAAAATCTTGGCAAGACTTAGGTTCTTCTTTAGCTGAACCTATGGGCAGCCTAGAATGGGCTGGCACTGTGATGGGCACTCGACTGGGCAGGAGCTCCTGCAGCCCAGAGTCCCCACTTGGCCCTGACAGTGACTGTGACCCTGACTAGCCCTATTGGAACAGTGGTGATTACCCCTCTTTGTCACCCCATGTGCCCCCCAGCCTGGCCCAAAGATTGTGGGGCTTTCATGGTACACAACAGCTCTGGGGGATTCAGGATGCTGCCATAGATGCCCCAGCCTGAGTCCATCCAAAAGGTTAAATTGCCTGCTCCTTCATCAAGTGTGGGCCTTTTGTTTCTGACCACCTCACTGCATGGTTTTATCACACTGTGCTTAAAGACATCTAAGTAATGACAACAGGTCTTGATGGAAGCCATTGTAAATATCAGTACTAGGATTCACTAATGTGTCCCTATCCCCTCGCTGACCCTTGCGTCCTGCAGTGTAGGTGTCATTGCTGTACCCATTTTACAGCTCAGTGAGAGGCAAGGCCAGAGCAGTGAGCCTGTGTGTAGGGTGGAACAGCCTATAGACAGTTTCTGTGTGTGTGGAAAGTTACGTGTTCTTCTCATGGTTCCTCCAAGCCTTCAGAGCTCCCAGAGTGTGGCCTGGGGGGCCACTCGTCCACACTGCTGACTCTGCCATTGCCCCCCAGGTGACCTGGAGGAGTTCCTGATTTTCAGAGCCTCGGTGGAAGGGGGAGGCTTTAACGAGCGGTGCCTGGTGGCAGCATCCTTCAGAGATGTCGGCGAGCGGACAGTTATCACCGCCCTATTCAACAACCAGGCATACCACTCCCCAGCCACTGCACTGGCCATTGTGGACAACCTCCTCTTCAAGCTGCTGTGCGGCCCTTGGGCCTCCATCACAGTCTCTAACTACCCCCAGCCCCGGAGCGCACTGCAGGCCGCCAAGGACCAATTCAGCGAGTATGTGCACTGCCCCGCCACCCCAGTCCCCAGACAGGACCCCGTGTCCCTCAGATCAGGCCCCTGCCTCTTCCCGTCAGGACCTTTCCTCAGAAGTGACCACCTCAGCACTGCTGGTGTCCACCAAGGGCCATCCAGGTGGATAAAGCATAGTTTGTGCCTGCAGGAAGCTTCCAGTTCTTGGCCAGGGAATCCTCACCCCATGTGTTTCTCAGCCCTCCATACTCACCCTTTCCTTGGATAGCAGATAGGCTGGTGAGACTCCACCCACATACACTGAAAATTTAGAGGGTCGCCATGCCCTCTTCCCAAATCTGCACCCAGCTCCTGCCAGCCACTATCCACAGGGAATCCCAGCCACAGTCACGCTCAGGGCAGTGCCTGGTTGTTATGTGTGAGTGAGGACAGCAGAATGCAGCAAGATCAAGTGTTCTTGCTTCGTGGTGGCCTGGAGTCAGGGAGCCTGGGAGGCATTTCTCTCGTTAGGCCTTATCATGCCATCTGTGTGTCAGACTCTCCCTCATCCCTGTCACAGAGCCATCCAAAACTCTGGGACCATCCAGGGGAAGCCAGATGATCAGTTAATTTCAGAACAGTCACTCCAGGGCAGCTTATTAATGTGCCCTGAACTTTATCGTGTCTTCTTCTCCCTCTGCTACTTCCCATTTCTACCCAAAAGAAGAGACACAGTGGCAGTCATTTGCTCTTCTTGGTATATCAGAAACAGACAAGCACAATGATAAATACTTGTGATGGAGCAGATGGCAGGGCTTTGAAATGATACACAAAGTGCTGGGGAAGGGAGAGACAGGTTTATTGGGGGGGGGGGGGGGGCTTCAAACCTGAAGCAGCTACAGGCAGGGGCTGTGCTGGTAGCTGCCTCCTTCTGGGCTCCCAAGAAGGTAGGAGACCCAGAGGTCAGCTGAGCAGGTTCAAGAATGAACCAGGCAGCAGGAGTTTTTGTTTTGTTTTAACAACTTAGGAGATATAATTCACCTATTATACAATATCCCCATTTGTAGTATACAATTGTATGATTGTTAGTATACTCACAGAGTCATAGAGCCATCATCACTTTTTTTTTATCCTCACCCGAGGACATTTTGCATTTATCTTCAGATGGAGGGGGAGAGGGAGGAACAGAGAGAGAGAAACATCGATGTGAGAGAGACACATCGAGTGGCTGCCACCCACACGACCCCAACTGGGGCCGGGGACAAACTGCAACCAAGGTACATGGAACCAAACCCGGGACTCTCTGGTCTGCGAGCCGACACTCTAACCGCTGAGCCAAACTGGCCAGGGCTGGAAGTTTGTACCTTTTGACCCTCTTCATCCATTTTGCCCATGCCCCACCTCTGGCAATCACCAGTCTATTCTCTATATCTATGAGTTTTGTTAATTTTGGATTTTTGTGGGTTTTTTTTTTCAGATTCCACATATAAGTGAGATCATATGGTATTTGTCTTTCTCTGCCTGACTTATTTCACTTAGCATAATCCTTCAGGGTCTATTCATGTTGTCATAAATGGCAGGATTTCTTTTTGTTATGGCTAAAATGTGTGTGTGTGTGTGTGTGTGTGTGTGTGTGTGATACGTTTCCTTTACCCATTCATCCACTGATGGACACTTAGATTGTTTTCATGTCTTGGCTATTGTAAAAATGCTGTTGTGAACATAAGGGTGCAGCTGTCTTTTTGAGTTAGTGTTTTTATTTCCTTCATGTAAATACCCTGAGGAATTGCTAGATTGTATGGTAATTCTATTTTTAATGTTTCAAGGAAACCCCACACTGTTTTCCATAGTGGCTGTACCAACTTACATTCCCATCAACAGTGCACAAGGGTTCCCTTTAATCCACATTCTCACCATAGTTATTTCTTATCTTTTTTATAATAAGCATTCAAACAGGTATGAGGTGGTATCTAATTGTGGCTTTGATTTCCATTTCCCTGGTTATTAGAGATGTTGAGCATATTTTCATGTACATGTTGGACCACAATATAATTTTATTAAACGTGACATCACCTCAAAAATATACTCTATGACCAGTGGCAGTCACTATCCATTCCTCCTCTCCATCTCCTAGCAGTCACTAGTCTACTTTCTGTCTCATGGATTTGCCTGTTTGGGATATTTCACGTAAATAGAATCATATAATATGTGTTTTTTTGTAACTGGCTTCTTTCACTTTCAAAGTTCATCTATGTTGTAGCGTGTGTCAGTACTGCATTCCTTTCTTGGGTCAATTAGTATCCAGTTGCCCCAGTACCATGTATTGAAATGGTCAAGAGGTGTTTAAGCAACAAAATAATGCCATTAAAGTCATTTTGTAGCCCTGGCCGGTTTGGCTCAGCGGTTGGAGTGTCAGCCTGCGGTACAGAGAGACCCAGGTTCAGTTCCCGCTAAGGGCGCGTACCTCAGTTGCAGTTTGTCCCCGGCCCTGGTTGGTCGTGCGGGTGGCAGCCACTCGATGCTGTTTCTTTTGCCCTTAGCGGGAACCGAACCCGGGTCTCTCCGGACCGCAGGCGGACGCTCTAACCGCTGAGCCAAACTGGCCAGGGCGATGCTGTTTCTTTCAAGTCAATGTTTCTCTCTCTCTCTTCCTCTCTCTCCCTCCCACTCTATCTGAACAAAAAATGTCCTCGGGTGAGGATAAAAAAAAAAGTCAGTTTGTAGAAGGTGTTTCTGGCAACCAAATGTAGAATGCACTTGACAGAGGGGAGGGGTAGATGAGCTGTTGCAGTGATACAGATGCCTAGTGATGGGGTCTGATGAAGGCAGAACAGAGAGAACCGGGCAGAGGGTTCTCAGATGTGGGAAATGCAGAGCGACACTTGAGTGTTTGTGGGAAGTGTGTGGCACAGGAGACAGATTGAAAGTTAGTGGGAGAAGCACTGCCACCATTGGGGACAGGAAATCCAGAGGAGGAGCTATTCTTGGGGGTTGCGTTTTCCTGGTGCTAAGACCTTCCCCCAGCTCTGATGTTCTCTTTTAACCCCCATTAGCAGCTCAGTTTGGGGCCGGCCACTACATCACATGCTTTGAACAGTAGTAACCAAGGACCCAATCCCCCAGTTGCCCAGAAGTGCTGTGCTCTGTCCCTGACCTGATCTTCCCCCTCCCCCCCAACCCCCTACAGGGGCCGGAAAGGATTTGACATCGCCCTCAACTTGCTCTTCGCCATGGCATTCTTGGCCAGCACATTTTCCATCCTGGCAGTCAGCGAGAGGGCTGTCCAGGCCAAGCATGTCCAGTTTGTGAGTGGAGTCCACGTGGCCACTTTCTGGCTCTCAGCTCTGCTGTGGGACCTCATCTCCTTCCTCATCCCCACTCTGCTGCTGCTGGTGAGGGCTGCATGGTGCTGAGACCCTTCCCTGCACATCAAGGGGCTTGCCTTGGGGCCCCTGCGCAGACCAAAACCAGCCTGGGGTCCACGCTGGCAGCTCAGCCCTGATTCCAGGAAGGTAGCTGAGAATGGCAGGCAGCCCCCTCATTGGTCTCCATGCCCCCAGCTTCTGCCCCCCTTTAGTAGGCAGGGCCCTAGAGCCAGGTGCCTTGCTAACAGCTCCATCAGCAAAGGGGAGAAGGAGGAACCTCATCAGGGAAGATCCCAGGGCTAAAAGCCAGCATGGGGGACGACTTGGCCTATGGAGCTGATGGGCCTGGGCTTCTGCATTGCTCTGCAGGCGTACCAAGCCCCCCTCTCTGTGCTGCTACAGGTGGTGTTCAAAGCCTTTGATGTGCATGCCTTCACACGGGATGGCCATGTGGCCGACACCCTGCTGCTGCTCATGCTCTACGGCTGGGCCATCATACCCCTCATGTATCTGATGAACTTCTTTTTCTCGGGGGCGGCCACTGCCTACACGAGGCTGACCATATTCAACATCCTGTCAGGCATCGCCACCTTCCTCATGGTCACCATCATGCGCATCCCAGGTGGGAGCATGGAGACCGCCCCCTACTCCCCACAACCTGGGCACCCCTGGAGCCTCTCTGCCCCAATGTGGAGGTGTGGGGGGTAAAGGGGTGGCACCACTGCAGATACTGGGCCAGACTACACTCCAGCAGCACCTCCCCTTGCGTTTTCAGCAGAGCTAGTGGGGCCACCCCCCGGGAGATGGTGTCCCAGGAAGGCGTGGGCCTGGTCTGTGGAGGACACCCAGCCGGATGCCCTGGCCCACACACACTTTAAAGGGAACATCAAAAACCTGCCTTCCCTGATTTGATATGTCCTTGGGGGCAGGTGTGGTATGTCCTCCTGAATTCACTGGTCTATGCCTTCTCCCCACAGCGGTAAAATTAGAAGAACTTTCTAGAACTCTGGACCACATGTTCCTGGTGCTGCCCAACCACTGTCTAGGAATGGCGGTCAGCAGCTTCTATGAGAACTACGAGACCAGGAGGTACTGTACCTCCTCCGAGGTGGCTGCCCACTACTGCAGGAAATACAGTGAGTGTCGGGCTCCCACCAGCAGCCCCTTTTCCCAGCTCTCTCCCCAAGACCAGCTAGGGCACCCCAGGAACCTTGTTCCTGTGAAGGAGCTCCTGTGGTGTGTCTGGGCAAGTCCCTGGTCCCAGACTGAGTTTAAGCATGAAAAGGGTCTTCAGAAGACATGTGCTCACCCACCTTCTCAATGATATATGCTTCCTCCTTCCTGCCTGGCCGACACCTAAATCTCTGTGAGATCAGCCGAGGTGGTCCTTCTCCTGGGAGGCTCTCCCACCCCTAGCCCTACCATCACTTTGAGCTGGGTGCCCCTCACTGCTTTTGCAGCACTCAGACACACATGGAAGTCTCCTGCTTCCTTGACCAGCTCCACCTGATCCCACCCATTCCCATTACCCTTCCAGCTTTTGCTGGCTCCTGGGTGTTCCTTGGCTTGTGGGGCAGCACCACTCCCGTCTCCATCTCTGTCTTTACGTGACCTTCTCCATGTGTCTTTGTATTTCAAACCTCCTACTCCTTTGTTTTGTAAAGACATTTGTCATTGAATTCAGGGCCTATCCTAAATCCAGGATCTTAACTTGAGACCCTTAACTAATTACATCTGCAAAAACCCTATTTCTAAGTAAGGTCATTCACAGATTAGAGGGATTAAGATGTGGCTGTCTTTAGAGGGGGCCGTGATTCTTCCCACCACACACTCTTTCTGTGCCTGGAACCGTCTTTAGCAGACAGCTTGGTTGTCATGTCTGCAGAGCCCTGCACACCCCCCTGGCAGGCTCAGTCTCTGCTCTGTTCCTACCACTTTCTTACTTCACAGGACCAGCTTGAGGGGAGGGAGGCACGTCTTACCTATCTTGATGTCTCAGTGCAGTCCCTAGGCAAGGAAGTGAATGTATGTGTGAGTGAGTGAGATCATGACTTAGGCACTTGCCATAGGTGCCCCTTGCAAGGTGAAACTGCCCCAAAATGCGGGAAGTATTTGGGGCTCTTGTATGGCAGTGACAAACATGGGATGCATCCTCAGAAGATGAATGGACTGTGTACCTTCACAGCCTCCATGTCGAGGGCTGGGGTGCAGGTGCCTGGTGGGCCTAGAGAGAGGGACTTGGGTTGGCACCCGGGCAGAGAAGTAAGGGCTATAGGAGACACGGGTGCAGCACCCTCTTCCTTGCCCACGCAGACATCCAGTACCAAGAGAATTTCTATGCGTGGAGTACCCCGGGGATCGGCAGGTTTGTGACCTCCATGGCTGTCTCAGGGTTTGCCTACCTCATCCTGCTCTTCCTCATTGAGACCGACCTGCTGTGGAGGCTGAAGACCTGCATCTGTGCCCTCCGGAGGAGGCGGGAGCTGGTGAGTGGCTCCTGCAGTTCTGCACTGGGCAGGTCTCCCACCTAGGCCAGGCTTCCTCAGGACAGTACACAAGGAGAACCTCAGCACCCAGCAATGGCCAGGGTGTACGTGCATCACAGTGCTCACAGCCTGTGAGGGGCTCACAGTTCTCCTGCGGCCTTGAGGGCCTTGGTCTCAGCAGAGGCAGTGTTGCCAGGCACTGTCATGTTTGTCACATACATCCCATCCCACAAACATACAAAACCTGCTGAGACCACATTGAATGCTCAGATTAACCTAGGGCAAATTGACTTCTCTAAAATTTTAAGACTTCTCTATGGAGTTTCTATTCATATATTAAAATCTCACTTCCTTCAACGGAGTTTCCTGGTTTTCTCCATGAGTCAGGCGCTGTCCTTGTTCCTGGGCAGTTTATGTCTGCTCAGTGTTAATTTCAGCCCTAATGGCCCCCTCAGCTCTCCTGTGAAAGGCCTGAGTCTGCACACGTGGGCTGGACTGTGTGAGCTCTCAGAGACCTCAGCCCCTTTTCCCATTGAAAAGGACTCCTCAGGCTGGAGCTTATCTCTTGCGGTCTTTTTCCGGAACAATTAGATGGAAGTGTACACACGGTCATCAGCGCTTCCCGGGGACCAGGATGTGGCGGACGAGAGGAACCGAATCCTGGCCCCCAGCCTGGTCTCCCCACTAGACATACCTCTGGTCATCAAGGAGCTCTGCAAGGTAAGGTGACTACACTCCACAGGCCCCTGGTCTGCCCCCAATACCTGGCTGCCCAGAAGGTGGCTCCTTGCCTCCCTATTGTGATTCCTGCCTGGAACCTCACAGGTGTATGAGCAGCGGATACCCCTCTTTGCCGTGGACAAGATCTCCCTTGCAGTCCAGAAAGGGGAGTGCTTCGGGCTGCTGGGTTTCAACGGAGCTGGGAAAACCACCACTTTCAAAATGCTGACCGGGGAGGAGACCATCACTTCTGGCGATGCCTTTGTTGGGGGCTACAGCATCAGCTCAGACATCAGGAAGGTGGGTGCCACCAGAGAAATGGGAAGAGGGGGCACGCTGGAGGCAGGGATGCAGCTTGTCTCTGACTCAGGAAGTGGACAGCAGGACGAGGCAGTGACAGTGGGTAGAATTAAGCCAGTGATGGGGAAGAGAGAGAGGACAGGAAGATAAGGGACCCTTTGGCTGGAAAAGCCCAGGCCTGGCTCGGGTTGCTGAGACTGGGTCTCTCCCAGCGAAGCCATTTCTCTGACCTGGTGGAACATGATGCTCATAGCATGCTGCCCTGCTTTATTACTATTTTTTTTTTTTTTTTTTATCCTCACCCGAGGACATTTTTCCATTTTTTGCACAGATAGAGTGGGAGGGAGAGAGAGGAAGAGAAACATCGATGTGAAAGGGACACATCGAGTGGCTGCCACCCACACGACCAACCAGGGCCGGGGACAAACTGCAACCGAGGTACATGCCCTTAGCGGGAACCGAACCTGGGTCTCTCCGGACCACAGGCGGATGCTCTAACCGCTGAGCCAAACCGGCCAGGGCGATTATTACTATTTTTTTTAATCTTCACTCAAGGATACGTTTTTCTATTTATCTTCAGATAGAGTGAGAGAGAGAGAGACATAGACATGAGAGAGACACAGCGATTGGTTGCCTACCACATGACCCCGACCAGGGCCAGGGACCAAACCACAACCAAGGTATGTGCTCTTGACTGGAATTGAGCCTGAGACTCTTTGGTCCATGGGCCGATGCACCACTGCTGAGCCAAACCAGCCAGGGCATGCTGCCCTGCTCTCTCCAGTCTATGCACAAGATTTACAATAACGGTCCCCTACGCTGTTCAGACCAACAATCCCACCAAACACCAAAAGCTGGCTAAAACATCAATGACAAACCACATTGGTAAGAACATAGAAGAGCATGCAGCATGGTAAGGAACTCGGACCAAAATCCAGAAGCCCTGCGAGGCACAAAGGACCACTGTGTTATAGGCAGTGGTGTGGGTTTAGAGGCCTTGCTGAGCGAAGAGAGCAAAAACAAAGGCCCAAGGCCTCCATGGTAGGGATGTGATAGGAGACTTTCCCCGCATGGGTTTGAACCCCAAAGGCTATCCCACAGGGTAAGGATGAACTAGGCCAGCCTCCTGCTCCCCTGCCCCTGGGGATTGCCTGGAAAGTTCCCTATGTGCTGAGCAGAGCTTGTGCCTGGGAGCGACCTCATCTTCTGATCTTGCAGCAGGAGCCAGACCGCAGCCCACACCCTCTCCAGAGGAAGGCCTTCATCCTAGGCCTCGAAGAACACCCCAAATAGTATTTCAAGGCCTATGAGCAGTGCACAACTGAACAAAGACAGTCCCTGTGACCAGAACCTGCAGACACGAGGGCCCTGCAGGAGATACAGGCCCACCACTTTAGATGTGCAATCACCAGACCCAGATTGTAAAACAGCTGTTTTTACTGTGTTGAAAGAAATTGCCCAGCCGTTGTGGCTTACTGGTTGAACATCGACCCATGTACCGAGAGGTTGATAGTTTGATTCCCAGTCAGGGCACATGCCCAGGTTGTGGGCCCAATCCCCATTGGGGGGCATGCAGGAGGCGGCCAGTTGATGTTTTTATCTCTCCCCCTCTCCCTTCCTCTCTCTCTAAAATCAATAAAGAGCCCTGGCTGGTTTGGCTCAGCTGTTAGAGTGTCGGCCCACAGACCAGAGAGTCCCGGATTCAGTTCCCGCTAAGGGCACGTGCCTCGGTTGCAGTTTGTCCCCGGCCCCAGTTGGGGTCGTGTGGGTGGCAACCACTCAATGTGTCTCTCTTGTATTGATGTTTCTCTCTCTCTCTCTTCCTTCCTCTCTCCCTCCAGCTCTATCTAAGGCTAAATGAAAAAAATAAATAAAAAATAAAATCAATAAAGGAAAATATTTTTTTTGAAAAAAGAAATAAACTAGGCTAGAGATATGGGAAAAAGGAAAACTATAGCTGTGATCCAGAAAGTAGAGGAAAGGGTGAGAAGTCCTTACTACACTTAATCTGAGTTCCAGCAGGAAAGGAGAAAATAAGGGGAAGATAATCACTGACAAGGTAATAGCTAAGAATTTTCCCAGACCGATTAAACATAAATGCTGGAAGCTTAAGAACCCCAAGGAGAATAAAGAAAAGAAACCCCATCTTTGGAATTCTCAGACTTCAGGCTCACCTGTCCTCAGCCAGCTGCTGAAGGTAGGGGGGAGATGGCAGCGGCCGTGGGGCACCTTGGCCCTGATGAAGGTGGCCATCTGACCAGGGGATGCCCCACCCTGAAGGTGTTGCCACCAAACCTCTCTTTCATTAGAGGGAGAAGAAAGAAAAGTCCTAGCACAAGTTAGATGTTTATTAAATGTCTGATAAATGAATGAGCAGATGATATACCAGGAGATATTTGCATGTGGTAATCATTTCATATAATCACTACATTCTTTTTTTTCTTTTTTTCTTTTTTTTTTTATCCTCACCCGAGGACATTTTTCCATTTTTTTATTCAGATAGAGTGGGAAGGAGAGAGAGAAACATCGATGTGAAAGGGACACCTCGAGTGGCCGCCACCCACACAACCCAACCAGGGCCAGGGACAAACTGCAGCCAAGGTACATGCCCTTAGCGGGAACCGAACCCGGGTCTCTGTGGACCGCAGGCTGACGCTCTACCGCTGAGCCAAACTGACCAGGGCTTTTTTTTCTTTTTCCAATCCTCACCCAAGGATTGATTTTTCAGATAGAGTGGAAGGGAGAGAGAGAAAAAAACATTGAAGTGAGAGAGACATTGCTACCCACATGACACCATGTGCCCTTGACTGGGAATCGAACCTGAGACCCTTTGTTCTGTGGGCCAATGCTCTAACCATTGAGCAACCAGCTAGGGCAATCACTACATTCTTGTACTAACCTTCCCCCACACTGCCCATAGTGAATGAGGCTCTGGCCCATCTCTGACCCCTTGTTGTGGGGCACTGTGGCTACTCGTGGCCTCCTGTGTCCCTGCAGAAGTGCTGCTTGGCAAGCTTTGGCTGTGGCCAGCACCAGGGCCTGTGCATTGGCTGATGGACCACCCTGGACAGATTGGCTGAGAGAAACCTGGAGGAACCTCCCTCTGACCTGTTACTTCCTGGCTGTATTCCAACCCAAGGTGCGACAGCGGATTGGTTACTGCCCCCAGTTTGATGCCCTGCTGGACCACATGACAGGCCGGGAGACACTGGTCATGTATGCCCGACTTCGAGGCATCCCCGAGCGCCACATCAGTGCCTGTGTGGAGAATACACTCCGGGGGCTGCTCCTGGAGCCGCATGCCAACAAGCTGGTCAGGACTTACAGGTGCACCTGCCCCTCAGCCCCTCCGCTGCCCTATGACTCTATGATCCACGGGTCTTCCAAGGGTAAAGTCAGAGTCTCCCTTAATATAGAGAGCCACACAGGTCAGGAGCCGGAGCTCCCAGGTGAGAGGGGCTGCCCTGTTGGTTCCTGCCTCCTAGAGGTAGTGCCAAACTCAGGTAATGTCAGGACCCCCCTTAGGTGCAGACAGATGGTGTTACTGCTCCATGTGGTGGCAAGGACTGACACCCTGGGCACAGCTTTCTCTTGGGCCTCTAGCTCTCTGAGGTGGAGGCTTTCCAGGCACACTCCTTCATTCCTCTTCACCTGGGGCACTCTGTGATCATCGGGCCCAATCATGTTGGGACTCAGGGATGCCATGGTAATAATCAGCCTTGCCCTCTCCTGCACCCCTGTACCCCAGTGGTGGCAACAAGCGGAAGCTGAGCACTGGCATTGCCCTACTTGGAGAGCCTGCAGTCATCTTCCTGGATGAACCGTCCACTGGCATGGACCCCGTGGCCCGGCGCCTGCTCTGGGACACCGTGGCAAGGGCACGTGAATCCGGCAAGGCCATCGTCATCACCTCCCATAGGTAGAGCCAGGGTCTCTATGTATCAATGGATGAGCTGTGACAGGGGCTATAGGAGGGGATGGGCTGGGAGGAGCTAGAGAGAGATTTGACATCAGTTGGTACAGAATCTGTGAGGAGAATCCCCAGGCTCTAGCATGTGCACCACACTCTGAGCATGGGAATCAGGAACAGCCTGATCTGGGTGTTGACACCTTTCCATCTGCACATGGAGGGTGGATGTCAGCATACCCCAGCCCTGTGTGAGGCCTCCACTGCCTCTCCCCAGCATGGAGGAATGTGAGGCCTTGTGCACCCGGCTGGCCATCATGGTGCAGGGTCAGTTCAAGTGCCTGGGCAGCCCGCAGCACCTCAAGAGCAAGTTTGGCAGTGGCTACTCCCTGCAGGCCAAGGTCAGGAGCGACGGGCAGCAGGAGGCACTGCAGGAGTTCAAGGCATTTGTGGACCTGACCTTCCCAGGTATGTGAGCTGCACAGAAAGCATCTGAGCCTTGCCCCTACCAAGTCCCACATCCCTGACCCCTGGGACAAGGGACGGGGCCACTCTCCCCTATCCCTTCAGTCCAGCCCTCACGAACACACGGTCTCTCCTTTGTGTAGGCAGTGTCCTGGAAGATGAGCACCAAGGGATGGTCCATTACCACCTGCCTGGTGATGACCTCAGTTGGGCAAAGGTGAGCATGGACCCCATAGGGCCTCAGCTAGGGCTGAGGAAGTTCCCTCCAGCCGTCACCCTTCTGTGGTGATTCCAGGTTCTTTCCAAGGAGAAATCACTTATAGTTTCTGTTCTAACACTCACCCTAATATCTACAAGGTTTGGGGGGTTTTGCCTGAAATATTTAAGTTGGAAAAAAACTTGGCTCAAAAAAGGAAACTGGCTCAGAGAGGGAATACAGCTTGCCTAAGGTCATACTCTGAGCTAAGAGTCAGGAGGAAACTCGGTCCCCAGACATGCTCATCAAACACAACCCCTCTCTTCCCTCTTGGATCTCTGCTCACCCTGTAAGGCCAACTCCCTGTGGGTGCTTTAGGGGCTGGACTGGGCAGGGGTAGGATCTTTGGGGCCATACCACTCCTTATGGCCAGCGGACTCCCAGACCGGCCAAGAAGTCAGGCCCTGGGCTTGTTAACAGCAGCTTATCTGCTTCCCAAAGGTCTTTGGTATCCTGGAAAAGGCCAAGGAGAAGTATGGAGTGGACGACTACTCTGTGAGCCAGATCTCACTGGAGCAAGTCTTCCTGAGCTTCGCCCACCTGCAGCCACCTGCCGAGGATGAGGGGCCATGAGGAGCCTGGCAGAGGTGGGATGAGGGGGAGCACAGGTGGATGTCCTCTCCCTCCAAGTTCATCTTATCCTGCACCTATATTTCTAATCACTGTTTTCTATAATGGATATGAAAATCAAGGCACAATATGGACTGGGTGTATCAGTGCCTTCACACCAGGAATCAGCATGCGAACATCCGCATCTAAGGTGGTCGCCAAACCCTACTCCCAGAAGTCAAGATCCCAACCAAGAGTGGGTCCAGCATTGTGTAGGCAGGCTGCAGGGTCTTTGGGGAGAGCTGGCCAGAAAGGGGCCACAGCTTCCCTAGGGAGTGAATTTCCCTATGAACTTGTGAGGAGAGCACTCAGTGACATCTCCATGTTCACACATGGCACAGAGCTTCTCTAGGTGTGAAATGGGAAACGGCTGGACAGTTGGCAGCAGGGCTCGCCAGACTGCCCAGAATGGACAGAAAGGTCGCCTGTCGCCATCCATGAAGGAGATGCCAGCTGTGATTAGGCACTGAGGGTCTTGGCTTCCAGTATAGCTGAGGGCATCCTGAGAGTCCATGCTCTTCAGAGTGTGGCGGCTACGCCGGGCAGAGCTGACCCTTCGACTGGCACCATCCCAGCAGCATCTTCCAGTGTTGGCCAGCGCCGGGTGGGAAGGCAATCCTCCGTTCCAGACCCTGGCCTTCTGAGAAGCCACCAGCCAAGAGGCCAGTCAGGGACTGAGCGGCCATCTATGGAGGATGTACTGAACATATGGTGACTGAAAATAAAGGCTGGAAGGGAACATGACCACAGTCTGTGAGTCACACACAAGATAGGGGTCACAGGTCCAGTAACTCACCCCAAGTCCTAACACAAGCTTTCTGTGTCAAGTTTCAGACCAAGAAAAGCAAGAGCTCATTTTTCCCAGTATGTGGTAAACTTACAGAACTCACTGTCATAAGGTGAAGGAATAACCCAAAAATGCAAATGCAGATGCAGGTTATATAAACAGCCAACTGACAGATGTTTGTCTACAGTGAGGAAAGACGGGTGTAGGGTTGGTGTAGGAGGGTGCAGACCTGGGTGGGCAGGGTTCCAGTTCCAGGGCCACTCATAGACTTTAAGCCATTTTCCAGAAGATTCTTCTTCAGCTCAGCTTCCTTTTTATTTATGTACTATTTATATCTTAGTTTTCTAAGTTTCCATGATTTGAATCTCTGTGCCTTTTATATTACCTTAGAATTTATAGTTTTAGAAAAGACTTGTTTTCATCAGTGGTTCATTTGGGTCAGTTTCAAATTTGCATTTTTATCAGTCTCTCAAAGTCTATAAACACTGCAGATAGTTTCCAATAGTTCTTTTATTCCCTTTAAAATTCTTCAAACTATCATCATTTAGTTCCATATTATAAAAATTAAACTTAGGGGTGCTTGTGGTCCTAAACATTGCCCACCAGAAAACAGCATCTGAGAGGTGGGCCTCAGATTTGTTGGCAGGAGCTGTGGTCACTGTGCCCATATTGGGTTTGCTGGGTTGTGGGAGGAGGGCAGAGGCCAGCGCAGCCTGCCCAAATGTCCACACTTAACAACCCTACTCTAGGGCTTCCTGGCCTGGGTTTTAGTTTTTCGTTGTTATTTGTTTGTTTTTATTGATTTTTAGAGAGAGGAAGGTAGAAGAAGAAACAGGGATGAGAGAGACACATCAATCAGCTGCCTCCTGCACACCCCCTACTGGGGACTGAGCCTGAAACTGGGGCATGTGCCCTGACCAGGAATCAAACTGGCGACCTCTCTGTGCATGGGACAATGCTCAATCAACTGAGCCACATCATCCAGGGCTCCTGGGTTGTTTTTAAGCCCATGTGTTAGAAATTTGTCATTTTTATCCTTTGATGCCACAAAAAAGGGTGAGGAAAAGTATTTAGGACTGAAGGAACATTTCATACATATGTGAGGCACACATATGAAATCAACACTGTGTCAGTTCAGGGATAGGTAGGTTCATTAACAGAAGATGAGGTGGAGAGATTAGTGTGAAGGAGACTAACAGGGTGAAAGTGGGGACAGTCATGATCATAAATCCTTCTTAGGAAGATGACCTAGCAGCTGCAGAAAGGACGATGCAGACACAGCTGAAACTGCAGCAGTGGGGGACCAGAGGGGCAGGTGCCAGCAAGAGCCAGAAGACTAAGTCTGTCAGAGAAGCCCACAGTTACACTGAAGCATGGAGCTTAGGCAACTGCATCCTCCCATTCCTATCTCACTTTCCTCTAGACCTTCAGGCACAGACAGTCCCTAGACATGCTGGTCTCAAACAGCTGTCACATCTGGCAGGCATAGCCTTCCAGGAGGACTCCACTCCTGCCCTGCCCCCAGCAGCAGTTAGGCCTTCCCTGCCCTGCATGGCCTGGTCAAGGACTCCCCAGAGGCAGACACCCATGTTAGGGCTGAGAGCAAAACCTAGAAAAGTCTTGCCCAGTCCAATGATGTGGCTCAAATGAAACAGACAGTAGACATAGGGACTGACCTTCAGCCTGACAGCTGCACTCAGAATTTAGGGCTCCGACAAGGAAGGAGGGCAGCCAAGTGGGGAAGGTGGGGAAACCCTACGGGGGGCAGGGCTGAGACCAAGCCTCTCCACTGCCTTTACTGTGGGGAAGGGCTGCCAGGCAGTAGGTCACAAGTCAAGGGACCCCACCCCCCAGGCCACAAGAACAACTGCTGCAGAATGAAGACTGCAGCAGGCTTGCTGAGCACATCAGAAAACCCCAGATTGCAATGGTTTAGAAAAGACAGGACTTTATTTCTCTGCCAAGTCCAAAGTCCAAAGAAGGCAGTCCAAACATTCTGTCACCATCAAGATCTCAAGGAGTCAGATTCCATGTGCCTGCTTGATCCAGATTCTGACCTCCCTCCTTAAGGTTACCTCTCAGGGTCTAACAGCTGCTGAGGCTTCCAGGTGGCATCACCAGAAAGCATGGAAGGAGCAAGAGGGCACAGCTCCTGGCAGCTATGAGACACTTCTGCATCCATGTCACTGCCCAAAACACAGGCACGTGGCTGCAGAAGATACAAGGAGCTGGGACACACAGATAAAACCCAGACACCAGGACACAACTGCAGTTTCTACCACGATTGTAGCAGGCAGGTGATCTCCCTATGTATGCCTTCATTGTCCACCTGAGTTGGTGAGACCTCACCTCATCCAGGAAGCCCCAGAGACCCCCACAGACCAGCAGACCAGCAGAAGCGGCCAAACCCTAAGGCCTGTCCCCAACTTCCATCCCCCATGGGGTGCCCTCGCCCTTTGGTTGCAGGGACTCAGAAAAGCAAACTGTTTCTTGCTGAGCAAATTCTAATCCTAGATCTCTAGTCCACAACACCAAGGGAAGCCAAGGTCACCTGAGTCCCAGGGACCCCTGGCCTGTCTCACAAAGCAGACAAAACCAAGGAGTGAGCCAAGACCAGCACCTGGAGGGGAGGGGAGGCTGGAAGGCAGGTCCATGGGTGGCCACAAGCTGTCTGGGGAATGGGGGGAGAAGGTTCCAAAAGGCTGGCCTACAGGTAGACTGCCGCCAACCAGGGCAGCTGATTCCTGCTGCTCCATCTGAGTGACACTCCATGCCAGCTGCTGTTCAGCTCACCTTTAGGGACCAGCAAAACACTCGTGACATAAGCTGGCCAGGCCCTCTGGGACCCCCACTCCCACACATATCAGTCAGTATGAAGGTGAGTGCTGCCTACACTCACCCAGAGCCTGCCCGCTGCACTGAGGGACAGAGCTTCACCTGCAGACAGAGGGACAGATGTTCCTGGGTAAATACCTAGCCCCACCTAGACCCTGAGGGGCTAAGCTCCATCCACTCCTGCATCATAGAGATGGCCCAAAGGTTCTGAGAGGTACCCCCAACACCAAAGTTAGGGTTAGGCTGTTCACCCCACCCCACAGCTGAGGCCAGCAGGCCAAGTGTACAATATCCCATCCTCCATTCCCTGAACCTTGGCTCAAGTCTGATCCCAAACCCCAGAATGTTTAAGCTCCTGCAGCCTGGCTCCTTTCCCCAACAGAGGGCACTCTGGGGACCCTGCATGAGAAGGGCTCAGGGCAGGTGGGTCTGGACTCTGCCAGAGAAGGGGCAACAAGGGGGAGGTCCAGGCCCTCCCAGGAGAGCCAGGAGGCAGGATAGTGCTAGGCCCTGGAGTCCCATCCCCACCAGATGGGCTCACTTGGTCTGGGCTTCAAGCAAGCAGGGGAAGGGGCTGAAGCTGTGGGGTCAGGCCTGGGGATCTGGGCCCTGCCTTCCTCAATACATGTTGCTGTCCAGGCCCCACTCCTGAGGCCTGGCCCACACCCCACAGATACTGGCTTCAGATGCCTCCAAGGTCTGAGAAGCCCCAAGATGACTAGCTGTGTAAGGCACAAGGGAAGAGGGGAGTGTTGGGGGCCAAGCCACAACAGCTCAACCCATCAACACCACAGCATGACTTGAGGCTTTGAGGCTTACCCAGTGCTGCAGTACACTATTCACCTGCTATACATTTAGCTCTGGCCAGGCCCCATCCTGTTCCCTGGGACTGCCCTGGGGTGGGAAGCTCAGGTGTTACTATCTTTGACTTCCTTGAGGCAGAAACAAACATGGGGCTTCATGGGGCTTTGGGCATTAAAACCAACATAGGCTTCCAAACCAACTCGGCCCTGCAACCCCTCCAGTGGGCAGCCTGCTGCACCTCCTGGGAGAGTCCAGAGGTGTCTGCTGAGGGGAGCGGTGGGGGCTGAGGGATTGGTTCAGGACCTGATGCCCCACACCTTGCAGACACTAACTGGGGAGGCCTCACCATGACTCCAGACCCTCATTAGCTGGATGGCCCTTTCAGTCCCAGCCTGACCACTTGGCTCCTTCACCAGCTGCAGGCACCCACCCCTACAGACAGGAACCAGGCCTTGGAGACCTGTCTCCTCTTCTAAGGCCTCCCCCAAGGTCACTGAGCCATCACAACCTCCCTGACCCCACCCAAACCCCTCTTCCACCTGGCTGGAAGATGTGGCTGGGTCACATCTTCCCTTGGCACAGAAACTGCTAGCAATGGGTAGAAGTGCTTCCTGGCATGGCTTACAAGGTATCTCAATGCCTACTCAAAGCTCCTGGGTGGCCCACCATGACCTCCAGCACAACCTTGGCTATCCCTGACCCTCTTGGTGTCCAGGATCACTAGCCTCCAAGGGCAGGCACTGCAGAGATCAATAGGTTCACAGAGGATGAAGGCAGAGGGAACATTCTACTTTGATGTAGGTATACTCTCAAAATGAGAGCAGCCAACAGGTGGCCCTCAACACTGGGAGGAAAAAGAAGGGGGCTCAGGATACTGGCCAGAGCCCTAGGTTACCTGTGGCTGACTGCCAAATGCCTTGTCCACTGGAGCCATGCCCACTCTCTCCATCAAATCTGAGCCAAAGACCTGAAGTCTCCAAAGGCGTGTTTCTGGCCCTCAGCGCCCATGTCCTCAGCAGGTTGACACTGGGGGCTGGGAAAGGAGGAAGGCCAGGAGCCTCCAGAGTTTTATTTTCTCATGTTTCTTTCAAACACATTCTGCTTATCCCCAAAATGGCAAAAGCCAAAATGCTTAAATGTTAAATCTCACCAGATGATGACATACTCGATAGCAAAAATCAGTAATATTTAGAAACAAATTTGATTAAGTTTGTGAATAAATCATGCTTTTAGGTTTTATATAGTGTGTTACACAATACAATATACAGATTGTACACCTGAAAACTATACTTTTATTAACCAATGTCACCCCAATAAATTCAATAAAAGGTGCTAATTTTAAAAAAAGATAAAATGGCCCTGGCCGGTTTGGCTCAGCGGTTAGAGCGTCAGCCTGCGGTCCAGAGAGACCCGGGCTCAGTTCCCACTAAGGGCACGTACCTTGGTTGGTTTGTCCCCAGCCCTGGTTGGGTTGTGCAGGTGGCAGCCACTCGATGCGTCCCTTTCACATCAATGTTTCTCCCTCTCTCTCTCTCTTCCTCTCTTTCTCTCCCACTCTATCTGAACAAAAAATGTAAAAATGTCCTCAGGTAAGGATAAAAATAAATAAATAAACAAACAAACAAACAAAGTTTTTTTTTAAAAAAAGATAAAATGTGTTAAAATTTATATGCATGCCAAATTATATTACTTCAGAGCATTAAAAAAAAGCAGAGAGGGTATCAGGCCAGATAGTTATTTTCCCACCCTCCTCTCATCATAGTGAAGACACCAGGCTACCCATGCCAACCAGGGTGCGTCAGTGATGCCCTGGGCAAAGGCTCTGGGTTCAGGGCCCTTCAGGCACCCATTGATGGTTGGTCCAGAATGTATGGGGCTTCAACATGCAGCCTCCTCACAGACCTCCATGTGCTGCAAGCCTGGACCCCCAGACCACCCCATTCCTAATACCAATCCTCTGCGCCTCTTCACTGCTGCAGGACCAAGGCTGCCCTTCTGTTCCATTACCCCTCCATGCCTGGCCTTGGCAAATGTAACAGTGATAAAGAGAATTTAACTTATTCTAAATGGCCCCCCTATCCCTGCCATCAAATTTAAATCCAAAGGGAAGACCTTGACCCAGACTGACTCAGCCTGTAGATCTGCACCCCCAAGGAACATGTTGATGCCTCCGTGGAGGGGACTCGGGGCAAGTTGCTCCTGCCACACCCCATTTGTCTGGGACTCCTCACACAACCCTTAGCACTGGGTAGTGTAGGGGCACACTTGACATCCCTGGATGGGGGACGCGACTGGAGGAGGGAAAGGAGTCACCATCATTAGCTGAGAACACCAAGTGGAACAGAGAGCAATGACTTGCAGAGGGCGTCAGCAGCACCATGCATCCACCCCAAGTCACTAAGCTGGTCCTTCCAGCTGACATCTAATCGGTCTCCAAGTGGCGTCTCCCAAGTGGTGTTGGTCCCTTCCTCCAGAAAATCACCTTAGATCTATTTCCTTCTCTTCCTTACTGCACCTACACCTACCTGCACAGACAACGTCTGGGGTTAAGTGCAAATTCCTTTCTCTCGCTAATAGTCAAGGAGGACGCGGGGGCGGGGCTGAGCAGGGGTACGGGAGGGGATGAATACAATTGGCACAGAAGTGAACAAAACCCAAAAACCTGACTTTCTCAGCTCTGAGTTTTACTCCGACAACCTGCTGGCTAGGCCGGGGCCTCTACACCCTCATCCCTTTTTTTCAGAAAGTTCTGACAGTGCCTCCCAGCCTACATCGTCCGCGGATGGGGGGCCGGGGGGAGGGGGGCAATGAAGCCTTGTCCGGTATCTTGCATATCCTCCATGTCCCCCGCACCACTGAACTCCATTTTCCTAGCCCTGGCCTGAGAGCTGCCACATGGGCCTCCCTTCGATTCTTCCAATGAGCCTCCGTGCCTTTGCATCTCTGTTCCCTCTGCCGGCGCGCTCTTCCACGCAGCTGTAGTGTCACCTCCTCAGAGATGCCTTCCGTTCTGCACCTTGACTTCTACCTTGCCTTTTGCGTCCGGTTCGTTCTGACCACAATGCCCCGGCTTGTCCATCCGGCCGAATTCCGTCGATGCAGAAGCCGCGTCTACACGGTAAACTCGCACACCACGCGTGGTTTCTAATTGCACAAACCCATTACGCAACGGCCCTGCGGGCCTTAGAGGCCGGCTGCGGGAGGCCGCAGCGCCTGCGCACCTGCGAGCCCCTCCTCGGCCACCGCCCGATCCCCCAGGGCGCGAAACAACCCGGTGGGGAGTTTAGCGCCCGGGCAACTGCCAGGTCCCCAGCGAGCCCAGTGCGCACGCACATGGAGAGAGGCAGGGCCGCATTAAGCCCCTCGGCACCGCCCTTACAGCCCCAAAAAGCAGCCAATTTGTCGGCCCCGTGAGCCACTAAGCCAACCCAGGGTAGCCCAAGACCGCGGTCCAGAGAATGAGAGAGTAACCATTCCGAAACAGCCCTCCACAAACTGCCACGGCCTGTAACACTCTGAGCGGTCGTGCCCATTGGCTGAAGCGCTCTACGTCATCGCTGTGCGCCGAACAGCGGCGTCTTCCCGCTCCTTAACCCTGACGACTGAGCGGCGCCGACCTCAGCGGCTGCGGAGAACGGGAGGTGGTTGCTCTGGCGGGAAGATGTAAGTGGGGGAATCCGACCCCATCCGAGATTCCGGGGGGCGCACCCCGATACCGGCAGGGCGCATCGTGGAGCCGGCGCTCTCCTCGGCCCCGCGGTGAGGACGGCGGCCTGGCGGTGCAGCGCGGGGACTAAGAAGAAAGAGTGTGGCCCGGGGTGGACAGAGTGGGAGGGTCCGAGGCCGCGGCCCGGAAGTAGTCGGGATCACGGCGGGCGGAAGGGCGGCCTCGCGTCGTCCGCCCTGCAGCTGGCCCAGCTAGGCCCGCGGGACTCCGAGCAGCCGCGACCGCGGCCTCTGCCCTCAGGACCCTCTCGCCGGGCTGGAGACCCAGGCCTGCAACGCTGGGCCCTGCCCTGGAAACGCTTGCCGTCCGGCGCCTGGACTGGGGAGTTGTGAGTGGACGGGCTCGGCGAGGTCGCGTGCGGGGCCCGTGTCCCGGTGGGTGCGGAGTTACTTTGTGGGATACCCTGGAAGACCCACTAATCCTCCCTTCGGGTCAATTAATTCAAACATTTACTGCACAAATGTTTACCGGGTTCCTGTGTGCCCTTCTTGGTGTTAGCTCTTTAGGATACAGCCCCTGATATCATGGAGCTTAGTTTGACGGGTTACCCCAGAAGGGAAGGTTAAAATCAATGGAGGAGAGACGTGGCTTTTTCTCGTTGTTACTTTGTATGAATTGTGCTTAAAATATAAAATGTACTTTTAAATGTGGAAGGTGCTCTGAAGATTTGAGCTGAACGCCATCTCGAGATTTAACTAATTGTTCTCTCCTCTCTCTGACTGTTGGACGCGCACCTTTTCCGGAGGATGGGGGAGGTAACCAAAGTCCTGTGCTGTTACCTGAACTTGTGTGAGCAGAGCACCTCAACCTTTGCTTTTTATCATTCGGCCACACCCAACAAAGCATTCATTTACTCTATGGTTCTTAATTTTTAGTATTTAAGAATAATCGGTGATGCTTGTTTTCACAAAATACATTCGGATAAATCTTTAGAACTGGGTTGGGGTCCAGGAATCTGCACTCTAGATCAACGCTGTTCAATAAGGCAGCCATTGGCCACTTCAGGCTATTGAGCACTTGAGATACATCTATCCCAAATTGGGGTGTTTTTAAGACTTAATATTGGGGGGATAAATAATGTGGCTACTAGAAAATTTTAGTAATTGTTGGACAGTGTTGCTCCTCGTGATCCTAATGGGGGCCATGCAGGGACCACTTGTTGAGCACTTAGGGATGTGTGACTTTGGGGACAAGGGTTTATATTAGAAAAGAGCCTCTAAACATGGAGAAACAGCCCTTTCATTGAACATGAGCCAACATTTACTGAGCCTTACCTAGGTGCCAAATCTTTCATGGGTTGATTTGATTGATGTCCTTGATGGGTTAAGTGACATCCAAGGTTACATAGCAAAGTTAACTTAGGCAAGCTGATTCCAGAGTCTTAATCATAATCACTAATTGTTCAAGGACGCTAACCTTATTCGGTTTTGCCAGCTCAGTGTCTGTGGTACCTTACTGTTTGAAGGCAAAGAATTAAAGATTTTACAGCCCTGGAAAAGAGGAGCAAGGGATGTTCTGCTCTTCCACTCATTTGATTGTCCAAGGCGGGTACTCTTTCTTGAATTGGAACATTATTTGAATTTTGAACACCCCTACACACGCGGAAACAGAATCCCAAATGGTGTGCTGTGTCCAGGTTACTTACAGGCTATCAAAACAGGTGGGACATCCCTGGCTTCTGTGGTTCAGTTGGTTGAACCTGGGGGTTGCCAGTTCAATTCCCAGTTCGGTTCTGTCAGGGCACATGCCTGGGTTTTGGCTCAATCCCCAGTAGGAGGCGTGCAAGAAGCAGTCAATCGATGTTTCTCTCCCCCTCAAAAAATATTTTAAAAAGAAAAATGTGTGACAGACGTAGTTAAACTGACATCCTGAGATTTTTGCTTACAACTCAAGCAAATTGTACGAAACCTCACTGGAATTACCGAAGCAGCACTCCCCAGGAAATAGGGCACATAATGAATTAGTAGTTTGTTCTTGAGTAATATTTACTAATGACCATTTATTGAGCACATGCTGCAGTTCAGGCACTTTGCTAAATCCTTACCTGCGGTATCTCATACAGTTCCAACGTCTGTTTCCCACCCCTGCTCCCGGCATTTTATTTTTGAAAGTATATAAACGTACAGAAAAGTTGAAAGGATTGTACGGTGAATACTCGCATTACCACCATCAAGATTTTATAAGTTACATTTCTGCTATATTTGCTTTATCATGTATGTAGCCCCACTCATCAGTCTTATTTTTTTTCTTGCATTTCAAAGTAATTTGCATGTTTTGGTATACTTATTCCATAACACTTCCATATGCATATCATTAAAAGTTCAATAGTTACAGTGAGTACTTTTTTTTTTAATCCGCACTCGAGGACATTTTTCCATGTTTTGTTCAGATAGAGTGGGAGGGAGAGAGACAGAGAGAAACATCGACGTGAAAGGGACACATCGAGTGGCTGCCACCTGCACGACCAACCAGGGCCGGGGACAAACTGCAACCCCGAGGTATGTGCCCTTAGCGGTAACCGAACCTGGGTCTCTCTGGACCGCAAGCCGAGGCTCTAACCACTGAGCCAAACCGGCCAGGGCTAAAGTGTGAAAATTGATAAATCTCTTGTTTGTTTTGTTTTGTTTTGTTTTTCTTGGTACTTGCCCGTAGCGGGAACCAAACCCAGGACTCTCTGGTCCACAGGCCAACGCAGTAAACCGCCAAGGACACAATGAATACTTTTTAACATTGTTTCATTGTTTTTTAAATATTCATATGGGATATTGTTATCTGTGTTTGGGTAGTACGCTTTTTTTTTTTTTTTTTAATCCTCACCTGAGGGCATAATTTGAGAGGGGAAGGGACAGAGAGAAGGGGAGGAAAATACCTCTATCGGTTGCCTTCTGTACATGCCACCACCCAGAATCTAACCCACAACCCAGGTATGTGCCCTGACTGGAAATCGAACTGGCAACCTTTCAGAGCACAGGACAATGTCAACCAACTGAGCCACTCTTGCTGGGCAGGGTAGTAAACGTTTTGGTGCCGTGACCAGTCATTTTTAAAGTGGTTTTTGCTTCCAGTAAATAATATATATCTAAAGTATCTTATAAGGAAATTAGAGCAATAAAACAAGATCTAAACCTATTGGGAGAGCCACACTCATTTAGGTTTTTCTTTATTTTACATGCAAATGTGCTGTAATTTTTCTGTGGGACTTATCATCAAACTTTTAAGTGAAAAAATGGGTATTGTACCATCTATAAAATAACAGTGACCAGCATCACCAATATTTCCTTAAGAAAAGATGAGCTGAGGTGACAATTCTGCTGTGTTTGATGAAGATGGGATCCTCCCTAAGGAAATGGTGATGGTCCCCATGTGTTCCTGGCTTTATAGATTCTCATGCTGTGTTCCTTGCCGCCATCTCGTGTGCTCAGCTTTTGGCTGCAAAGTAGATTTGTTGCCTTGCCAATTTGTTCACTCTGTACATCCTTTTATCTTGTTATTAGGCTGCACTTTGGCGTAAATTGCAATCCATTAGGGATCATTTCTCAGACTCAAGTTAGAAGTGAGAGCTCAGATAAGTGAGGCCACCATTGCTGCTTTGAACACCTCAGAAGGGGAGAATGGATTTATCAGGAGTGAAAAAGAAGAGCTTGCTAGGAGTCAAAGAAAATAATAAAAAGTCCAGCACTAGGTAATCCTTCTGTCAGAGTTTTCTAGTACTACTTTGGGGGTGCTTGTTGCGAGGGACCCTCAGAAATGGGGAGATTGGAAATGTCTTGCATTCTACAGTGAAAGTGTCCTAACCACAGATCATTTTGTTCTGTGATGGTCTGGGATCTCTATAGCTGCATGGATCCCCTCTTGGGTTGTGCTGTTGTTTCAGGGTTCAGTCAAAGGGGCATGCAATCTCACACTCTTCCTCACCATCCAGGGCTCCTTCTCCTACCAAACGCAAAGACCGCTCTGATGAGAAGTCCAAGGATCGCTCTAAAGATAAAGGGGCCGCCAAGGAGTCGAGCGAGAAGGATCGTGGCAGGGATAAAACTCGAAAGAGGCGCAGCGCTTCAAGTGGTAGCAGCAGCACCAGGTAGGGTTGATGGAATAAAGTGTTGAGAGGTCTCATGTCCCTCTTGAGCCCAAAGAGTGCTCTGTCTTTTTTATTACTTATTTTAAAAACACACTCATGTTGTTAATCGGGATTCTAATTGTGGCTGACTGGTTTGGTGTTTACTCTGGTTATATATAGAAGTTTCTGTTTGTGTTTTTTCTTTCTTTGAGATGTTGAGAAATGGGACATCTTGGAATATATTTTTCTCTAAAGTACTTTTTATTTAGAGTTGTAATTGGATTGCACTAGCCCAGAACTTGTTTTTTTTTTCCATTGAAAACTAGCATCAGTCACGTCAGTCAGTAGTCACCTTTCAGGCTAAATTGGTGGCTCTGACTTGCCAGTCGTCTTCTTTACCTTTCAGTAGACAAGGCTTCTGTGTCAGTAGGAAGCAGCTCATTCTTCCTTTCCTGTCACTGCACAATGTGAATGCTGTGTTCTGTTTCCACCAAGGGTTTTGACTTGAGAGCAAGATGGTTAATGTTTTCCCCACTGGGGAAAGTAGTGCCGCTTGGAAATATGAGGACAGCTGTTTACTCTTGGGAGCATGTGCAGGCTTGCCTGTGCTGTGAAGAAATGTTGCTCCCATCTGTTGTCTGTGACCCCTTCCCACCCTCCATCTCACCCCTCAGGTCTCGGTCCAGCTCTACCTCCAGCTCGGGCTCCAGTACTAGCACTGGCTCGAGCAGCGGTTCTAGCTCCTCGTCAGCATCAAGCCGCTCGGGAAGTTCCAGTACATCCCGCAGCTCCAGCTCCAGCAGCTCCTCCGGGTCTCCAAGTCCTTCTCGGCGCAGACATGACAACAGGCGGCGTTCCCGCTCCAAGTGAGCTCTCCTCCAGCACAGTTTCTCACTAAACTTGTGAATTATCTTTGAGCTTAAGTTTACAAACTGGGGGCTATAAAGTTACTGTAGTTATTCTAAAAGTAGACCAAGAGTCCTTCTCTCCTGGTAGCATTTCTAAGACAGGGATGATATGCATGAACTAGCTGGAAAAGCTTCCTTATTTAAAAACTCATGCTAGCAGTTAACATCTCCACTAAAAAGAAACTGACTTGACAGAAATTGTTTTGATGATTTTTTTTTTTTCAATCAGATCCAAACCACCCAAAAGAGATGAAAAGGAAAGGAAAAGGCGGAGCCCTTCCCCTAAACCCACCAAAGTACATATTGGGAGGCTCACCAGGAATGTGACCAAGGTGAGGAATCCCAAATCTACCCAGTGGACCAAGCAATGGTGTCTTTGGATGTAGCTTTTCAGAGGACTTGTGTGATGGTACCTGATTCAAATAGTGTGCTGATGAATTCCTTTTAATGAGGTATATATGTGTGTGTCTAGGAGATTTGCCCCCAAATGCTAAGGTTGTAGTTATTATGTGATGAATTCTCTTTGACTCTTACACAAGTGACTGGTGCTTAAGCATTAGTGACACTTCTTTCTCTTTAGGATCACATCATGGAGATATTCTCCACCTATGGGAAAATTAAAATGATTGACATGCCTGTAGAAAGGATGCACCCACATCTATCTAAAGGCTATGCATACGTGGAGTTTGAGAATCCAGATGAAGCCGAGAAGGCACTGAAGCACATGGATGGAGGTGGGTGTGGGTGGGCCCTGCCAGTGCTCCTGAACTCCTTTCTCTATTCCCTAAGACCAGCTACCCACCACATGTAGAGACCTTTAGAACCAACTTCCAGCCTGGCTACACATTAGAATCTCCCTGGAGCGCTTTAAGGATTTTAATTCTTATTCAGTGGGTGTGTGTTTAACAAAAACATGTTTTGTGGAATAATTATTCTTGAAAAATTCAGCACACATGAATATATTAGCATTTTAAAATTTTTTCAGTCTGTTAAAAGCTTAAGGACTGAGTGGGTTTTTTTTGTTTTTTGTTTGTTTGTTTGTTTGTTTGTTTGTTTGTTTACAAAGAATATATTGTGGCCCTGGCCGGTTTGACTCAGCAGTTGGAGTGTCAATCCACAGACCTGAGAGTCTCGGGTTTGATTCCGGCCAAGGGCATGCACCTCAGTTGCAGTTTATCCCCAGTGCCGATTGGGGTCATGTGGGTAGCAACCAATTGATGTGTCTCTCTCACATTGATGTTTCTCTCTCTTCCTCTCTCCTTTCCTCTTCTGTCTGAAGATAAATGAAAAAATATCCTAGGGTGAGGATTTTTTAAAAAGAATATATTGCTAATATAATGGAGCCATTTGACTTTGGTATGGGAACATTTTCTTGAATCCTCTCTGAGAGCCATTTTTCTATTTTACTGACATTTCAGGACTTTTAGAATTTTTTTAAAAGTTTCTGAATTCACAAATTTACCCATTTCCTGAAAACTTGTATCTTAACTATTTATGATGACATTGGCAGCTGTTTGGTATTGAGAAGAATAGTTCGAATGTATCATTGTCTCTGCCCCAGATCACTACTGCTATAACCCAGGCAGTTAGGGCCAAGAGCCAGAACTGCCTACAGCACTATGTGAGCTGCCAGGATGAGTAGGGAGGAGAATTTGAGCACCCCAGAATCTTGGCGTCCTTGGAGCCCCATTATACACTTGAATAGCTTAACAGGTTTTGTTTGTTTGTTTGTTTGCTTGTTTTGGGTGGGGTGATTACCCTTGAGCCTTGGTAGAGCTTGGATACTAGGAAATTTTCTTTAATACTTAGCTAACTGTTTCAATGTATTGAAATCACTCTGAACTGTTTTGGGGAGTTCAGAATAAACTACAGTCCATCACTCTGCACGCATCAGCTTTTGGCTTTGTGAATCACATCTTCATATTAGAGATTGTCAATCATGTTTGACAGAGTCTGAGCACTTGCTAAAAATTCAGGAGACGGATGGATACATCCAAGGTGTGCTGAGATTTTTTTGTACTTTTGTTTCCCCTTTTTGTACTATGCACCATCAAATGGACCAACTCCATGTTGTCTCCAGAAGAAAAGTGAAAAGGTTTGGCCTTTACTGGTAGCTGGCCAGAAGGTGGATTTATCTCTTTTTTATAATCAGTGCCATGAATTCCCTAACTGGGACTGGCTTTGGCAGTGCCAGGACCAGCTTGGGCTGCAGATACTTAAGTTATGCCTTTTGAGTCTCTTCTGAATACAGGTCCCAGTTATCCCCTCGAAGCCTTAGAAATGTCCTTGAAGGTAGGAGCTGAGAAGATAAAAGAGCTCAGGGGCTGTGCTTGGTCCCCTGAACAATCCGTAGACTGAGGTTGGACTCTGGGATTCCTGGGTCTGCGCCTCAATTTCCTTTGGTCTTTCTCTCACTGAAGCCCTGCAGGCTCCTCTGGCCTCCTTCCTAATCTCTACCTCCCTGGGGGCACTGTTCCAGGCAAACTTGACATCTCCTGAACCTCATTTCATCTTGTTCCCACATTCCTGACATGTTCTTCCTCCTGAGACCCACTTCTCAGGTGATCACAGTTCATCCAAAACCTGGTGCTGATCATCCCCCATCCCCAGCTTCCCATCTGATCCATCACCTGGTTCTGGTGATTTTACATCCCAGTTGTCCCTTGAGTTTTCGTGAAACCCCCTAGTGGGTCTCCCTACTCTGGCCTGTCCCCTTCCCATCATTCTTGAGAAGGAAGCTCAAGTGCTAATCTTACGGTCCATCCCAGGGCCAAGGCACACTCTTCCCCTCAACTGGGTGTTCTTTGGTTGTTGACATGGATGGCAACTTCTCTGAGAGGCCATCTCAATGCATCAAGGTTGAGTCCCCAGTTCATTTTCCATGCCCACTTAATAGTTTTCTTAATGAAATCGTCAGTGATAGTAATTATGTGTTTATGTCTGTGACAAGTTGAATTTGTCCTTACTCCCGGGGCCCGTTTATCTTGCCTTCGATGGTATGCCTACATGTAACATGGGTCCTGGCCTCAAATAGGTGCTTATTAGATATTTTGTGACTTGATCCTTTTTTCAACAGGACAAATTGATGGCCAAGAAATCACTGCCACTGCTGTGCTGGCCCCCTGGCCTAGGCCACCCCCCAGGCGATTCAGTCCTCCCAGGAGAATGCTGCCACCACCTCCCATGTGGCGCCGATCACCCCCACGGATGAGGAGAAGGTGAGCCAATTTGGGTTTTTTGGGTTTTTTTATATATATACACAACACAATGTGACAGTGATGACTTTGGAATCTTATTCAGCCCCATATACATGCACATGCGTGCACACACCATGATGGGAGTGGGAAGGCATTGTTGGCATAGGTGGCCTTCAAAGCTCATGTTCATTATAGCAGGGGAGAGGAAGAAGGACCTGCAGAAGGTGTGGCTCTACAGGTCACACCAAAACTCTAAAACATCTTTCCTTTCCAAGTTATCCTGACTTGGAGTATTGGACCAGGAAACTACAAAATTGTTCCAGAAAGAAGCCAGCCTTACCCCTGCAGTTCAAGATGCAGAGCTGATTCCATGACATGTGCTTCAGTGTCTGATGTGGTTTTTCCTCTTCCCACAGGTCACGCTCCCCGCGGCGCAGGTCCCCTGTGCGACGGCGATCCCGCTCACCAGGCCGCCGCCGCCACAGGAGCCGTTCCAGCTCTAATTCCTCCCGATAAGCAAGCCACTGAAGTTCTGCCCCATAACTTATATCCCATCCAACTCAATTCTGTCACTTTTCTAGCCGAAGGATAGTCAGTAGCAAACATTCTCACTCGGGGGCAGGCTTCCAAAGGCAGCATTGAGAAATTTCCTCTGAAGGCCAAGTTTGGCTGCAGAAGTGTTGGTTTGGGATTGTGCCTATGAAGATGTTCTCCAGTTTCCTGGCTAGAAAGTTCCCACATTTTCATTCCCTGAGAGTTAGTTCAGTGGCAGGACCAGCAGGAACAGAGCAGGGTTCCAGCTGGCAGTGCCGCCCCAGCATGGGAACACATTTTTCTATTCCAGAGATGACCTAGGGCCAACCTCGTAGCCTGAGGCTCCTTCCAGAAAGGGTATGCTTTTGTGCAGCTGCCATTCCTGTTACCTTGGCCCTGCTCCCCTGCTTGAGTTTCTGACCTCTAGGGTCAGATATCCCATGAGTTGCTGTAAATGGTTCAGTTTTAACATGGTTCAGTTTTAACATGTGCTCATCATGCACATACACTCATACCCCACATCTCCTTTCTCTCTGAAGTTGGTGAGCAGACCCTTCCCCCTTCATGGTGGTCTTTGGGGTTATCTTGGCAACATGTACATTGCTTTTTTGGCTTTTATTGTACAGTCAGTACTATGAATTTTCTGTTTTGAGTTTTTTGTAACTTTGTAGCATTTTAGACAATGTGTTTATACTTTGTTGTGTAGAGTTAAAGGATTGTGTTGAATAAATCTAGGATTAGAATACAGATTGAATGTTGGGTTCACTGCCTCCTTCTTGTACCTTTGCCCCAAAGATAGCTATGGTTGTGAGGGATACATGGCTGCCTAAGTTCTGAATTTTGGTTTTATTTTGTCAACATAAGAAATATTTACAACAATGAGGTATCACCTCACACCTGTCAGAATGGCCACCATCAACAAATCATCAAACAACAAGTGTTGGCGAGGCTGTGGAGAAAAGGGGACTCTAGTACACTGCTGGTGGGAATGCAGACTGGTGCAGCCACTATGGAAAACAATATGGTGTTACCTCAGAAAATTAAACATTGAACTGCCATTTGACCCAGTGATCCCACTTCTAGGAATATACCCTAAGAAGCCTGAAACACCAATCAGGAAGAATATATGTACCCCCATGTTCGTAGCAGCACTATTTACAATAGCTAAGATCTGGAAACAGCCCAAGTGTCCATCAGTAGACGAATGGATAAAAAAGCAGTGATACTTATACACAATGGAGTACTACGCAGCTGTAAGAAAGAAAGATCTCATCCTTTGAGACTACATGAAGGGACCTGGAAAGTATCATCCCAAGTGAAACAAGCCAAACAGAAAGATAAGTATCATATGATCTCACTTATTTGTGGAATATAATGAACATAACAGTCTGAGGAATGGGGTAGTCCCAGAGATGTGGAAGTGGGGTACAGACTGACAATCCCCAGAAGAGAGGGTGGGGGGGAGAGATAAACCACAAAACTTAATATGCATGTGTGCATGAACAGTGGACATGGACAACAATCGGGACAGGGCAGGGAAGGAGGGGGGGGGAGGAGAAACATCTAACAAAAATTAAAAAACAAATTAAAAAAAAAAAAATTTAAACCTATAGAGAATTTTTGTGAGTTTATTTGAGCCAAACTGTCAACAATGATCCAGAGAGGGGCAGTTTTGCACCTTATTTTATACATTAAAATCTAAAGGGAAGATGCAGGTGGGTTATATGAAATCCATTAGTGCTAGATTAGGGAGGTGGGAGAAAGCAAAACAGGGAAACCTCTGGGATTGTATGAAAAGTAAGATGATAGACACATCTTTTACATAGGTGGGTACAGGATAGTTAACAGTCGATTAACATGGTAACAGTAGCAATGAGCGGATTTATAGTCTCAGCCCTAGTGCAGTGGTTGTGCCCTGACGGGTGTGGGAAGAGGGGTGGTTACCCTGACATTCCTAAGGAATGTTATCCTGGATGCAAAAGATAATAGACTTAGTTAAGGTAAAGATTGACTTTTGTCAGGAAAGATTCTAGCCTAGGACATGACTGACTACCTGCCATAAACTGCTTTTAGCTAAAATTTTTTTTATTTCAGCCCTGGCCAGTTTGGCTCAGTGGTTAGCATTGGCCTGTGGGCCAGAGAGTCCCAGGTTTGATTCTCGTTAAGGCATACCTTCTATTGCAGTTTGTCCCCAGCCCTGATTGGGGTCGTGTGGGTGGCAACCACTCAATGTGTCTCTCACAAGACTTGGAAACACTTAAAGTGTTAAAGAACAAAAGTTTCAATCGTTGGACATTATTCTTGACTTTTACTTTGCCCACTGTTCAAACCCAGTGATCAGAACAAGACCATGTCCTGCCAGGCAATACAGAGGCTTGCTCCTCATGCCTCTACATCATCCCCCTGCCCGAGTGGGTAGCCATCTTTGTTTCTTGGTTATCTTTTCAGTGTTTCTCCCTTCCCTTTTTTTGTGGAGGAGGTAGCATCTGTGGTCCTGCAGCCAGTGAGTGCCTGTTGCAACTTGCAGCGAGTGTGCTGCCCTACTTGGCTTTGGGGGAAGACAGATGTTCTGTTTTTAGTCACCAGGCTATGCTGATCTCCATACCAATCAGAGCTCACACCTGAGGCAGCACCTGATCCCCATCCGCGTTTCCTCTCTAGCATGGATGGCAATTTGAAAAACCGGCCTGTTGTGAACTTGCCAGAGTTCCCAAAGTCCTTTATTACCCCTTAAACTCTCAAACCTCTCCGTGATCTCTGTGACTTATGTGCAGTCACTCCAGTTTCAACACTCCTGCCTAGGTAACTTGATTTTTGCCATGGGTGCAGCTGTAGGGGGTCGGGGGTAGTGCGGGTCTGTTCTTAGGGGCTTATGGGAAGGGTCTGTCCTGGGCAGGTGGCGCGAGCCAAGCCCTGCAACCCTCCACGTCGCAGCCCCAGTGGCCTAGTCAGTGAAGCCCATTACATCTGATAAACCAAGCAGGGCGGGGCTGCTCCGCCCTCCAGGAGGAGTGGCTTCAGGCCCCAGCGACCAGGAGGATTTGCGCCGGGCTTGACGCAGTTGGGTGGCGTGGATCTTGGCCGGCGAGGGGAGGTGATACTGGGAAAGGGGGCGTGGCTGGCCCCGACAGGCGGCGAGGCCATCCCAGCACCTCGACCCCACTTGGTCGGGTCAAGATGGCGCTGATGGCTGGAATGCGCGTCCAGGCGCGCGCCCTGCTCCGTGCGTATGCGTGACCTTCGGCGGATGGGCTGGGGACAGGGTATGGCGGGCTGGAGGCAGGAGGGGCGGCGGGCTAACGGGCCTCGCGCTGCGGTTTGCAGGGGCCTGGCTCCCGGGCGCGGCCCTCGGACGGACCGAGTCAGCAGTCAGCGGTGGAGTCGGCGTGCGACGTTTCGGGAGCCAACGGGTGCTGGTGGAGCCGGACCCGGCCGCAGGTAAGCATTCCCCTCGCCCTCGAGCTCTAGAGCCCGGGGCCTTCCGCACGCTGGGCCTCGCCGACTCCGTGCATCAGCCCATGGAGTCAGAGGTTCGGTGATTGTGCCGCCGCCCGTTACCGAATTTCCTGAGCTGGGTCCCTACCCACTGCCCACTGCCCACTGCCAAGGGATAAGAAAGGCGAAATGGAATGATGCCTTGCAGTGCTAGGAACCAGCCTGGAGAGCAGAGTCCCTGAGTTCGACTGGTGGGAATGAAGACAACGACAGGGATATAGGATCAGGTATTTCAAGGTACATTGGGCCACACTTAGCCCTGAGCTGCACAAACATAATGCAAGCCTAATTCGTTGAAATTGGGCGGGGGTTGAGTCTCTGACTGAAGACCTCCGGGCTCCCTGGACTCTGTCAGACACATAGTCGGCTCCCAACATTGCAGTACTGACAACAGAGCATGCTCTACAATGCAATTCATTGTATTATTTCCCCCAGACCTGGAATCCAGACTCATGTGAAAGCTACTTAATTTCTAAAGGCCATGAGAAAAAAACTCGTGGTTTGTTTTTTTTTTTATTAATATGTTTTATTGATTTTTCAGAGAGTTAGAGAGAGGGAGAGAGAGATAGAAACATGGGTGAGAGAGAGAGAGATCTATCGGCTGCCTCCTGCACGCCCCCTACGTGGGATGGAGGCCGCAACCTGGGCATGTGCCCTGGTGGGGAATCAATCCCGTGACCGTGCTCAACTACTGAGCCACATGGCCAGATGAAAAAGCCCACTTTTAAAGTCAATTTCTGTTGAGTTTAGAGCTTAAGAGTCATCAATGGAGGTGTTCATTTAAATGGGTCCTCTCCCCAACCCCCCAGTTCATTATGAAAATAAAAAATATTTCTATTTTTTGCCCTGGCCAGTTTGGCTCAGAGATTAGAGTCAGCCTGTGGACCAAAGAGTCATGGGCTGGATTCGTCAAGGGCTACCTGGATTGCGGTTCTATCCCCGCCCTGGTCGGGGTTGTGCAGGAGGCAAGCAATCAATGTGTCTCTCACATCTATGTTTCTCTCTCCCTCTTCCCCCCCCCCCCCCATCTGAAGAGAAATGGAAAAATATCCTCAGGTGAGGATTAAAAATATATATATATTTCTATTTTTTAAAGTTTGGCGGATGTGCCCCTTTAAGCTGTTAGAAACTTAAAATAATTGGAAGTATTTTTAGGATAAAATATTTTAATTTTTTTAATGCTTTCACGTGGCACAGAACCCAGCAGGTATTTTACTAATTAGCCAGGAGCCACAAGTGGAATCACTTCTACCACCACCAATCAGAATACCTCTTAACACTCTCCAAAGGGGATAGAAAAGGCACTTTTGAAAGAGAAACTTGTGCACTCCAGAGCTGGGTACTAAGAAGGCTTGGGGTCAGAGTTGGGCAAAGTTTTGGATTTTAGGACATGCTGTCCCATGACCTCCCAGTTGTAAGGCCTCAGCCTTTCAAGATGGTGCCCTGCTGTACGTTGGGGAAAACCACCCTCCTCCACCCCACCCCCCACCACACACACTGGTTCTACAGTGTTGCCCACACCTGGAATAGTGTCAGGACACCACTTTCTTGGCTTAGTTCTCTTGTTATCCCCTCTCTGGGTTGGGGCTGCCTGAACTAAGTGATGAGGGGCAGGCCTCAAACTAGGCCCAAATCCAAGTCCAACAAAAACCTGAGTTTCTGCCCTGACCTGTTTGATTCAGTGGTTAGAGCATAGGCACTCGGACCAAAGGGTTGTGGGTTTGATTTCTGGTCAATGGCATGTAACTGGATTTCAGATTTGATCTCGGGCCCCTGGGGCCATGTAGGAGGCAACCAACCAATCAATGTGTCTATCTCACTTGGATGTTTCTCTCTTCCTACCTCTCTCGCTCCCACTCTATCTGAAGATAAATGGGAAAAAAATGTCCTTGGGTGAGGATTAAAAAATAAATCAGTGCTCGCTTCGGCGGCACATATACTAAAATTGGAACAGAGAAGATTAGCATGGCCCCTGCGCAAGGATGACACGCAAATTTGTGAAGCGTTCCATATTTTTATTTACCTCAGTTGCAGTTTGTCCTCGGCCCTGGTTGGGTCATGCAGGTGGCAGCCACTCTATGTGGCCCTTTCACGTCGATGCTTCTCTCTCTCCCTTCTACTCTGTCTGAACAAAATATGGAAAAATGTCCTCGGGTGAGGATTAAAAAAAAAAAAAATCAATGAAAAAGTATACTTGGGTGGGGATGAACAAAAAAAAAACACCGGGGTGGGGGGGGGGACACCTGAGTTTCTAAACAGATCATTTACAGATTTAAACATATATATCAAAAAGTACAAAAACAAATTTAAAAGTATTGGATGGTGGTAATGGCTGCACAACATTGTAAATATATATACTTAACACCACTGGATCATACACTTAAAAAATGGCTTAAATGGTAAATTTTATGTTATGTAAACAAGTAAGTTTTTTTTAAGGATTGTTGAGATAATTTTTTAAGCAAATGCTTCCCCACCCCACCATGGAGGAACTCAGTAGCTTTGTTGGCTTGGTAGAAAGCCAGAGCTGGTTTTGTCCTCACTGCCAGACCCAGTTAACTTTCAGGAGTCTGGATGCTTAGATGAAGTAATGCAGTAAAAGTGTTTTTTAAATGTTTTTCTTTCAGTGCTATTACTGAAGCTGATTTTAGTTACTGAAACTATTCAACATTCCATTCAAGTAATATTTATTTTAATACTCGTCCTATGCCAGGGGTGTTGTTACCTCTGGTGTCCAAGTTCATCGAAATTCCTCTTTATTAACTCATGTTCACCTTTGGCCTCTTTTCTTTTAGCCTGGTTGAAACCAGGCCATCAAAAATTTGGTTGCCTCCAAAAAAATGGGAGAAAGAGAAGATACACATTGGCCTCTTTATTTTTCCCCCCGTGTCCTGAATTCTACCCCATCAGGCTCCACAAAAATCCAGGGACACCTTCAGAAACTTTCTTCTGAACAAAGTTTGGGGAGCTTCTGGAAGTTTTGATTGCTTCTTATATGTATATGTACATACCTGTAGCCAAGTAATAATTACCTTTTCCTCGTAAACTAAAGGCCTCAAAAGAGCCCATTGCCTTTAGGACTTAGTTCTCACTCCTAGAGAATGGCTTGTGTTGACGGTCCAGAGATTTCTAAGGTCCTGACCAGGGAAATGCACCCTAAATGAACAGTGGCATATTTGAAGTCCTTGGTGTCTGCCCTTGGCCAGGCAGTGAGAACAGATGGCCCCAGCCAGCCCAGGCCAGCAGCTGCACTGTCCACAAGGGCAGGCCCTGTCCTTGCTTTCCTTGCTGCTGGCATTATGAATGAATGGAGTACATCTGACACCAACCCCCTAATATTTTTCACCTTAAACAAGCATGAACCAGAGTTTCTCACTAGATTCCTCCTTGCACATCTAATTCTCAAAGTTGGCTCAGTCACGCCTTCAGAAACTAAGGCCATTTCCTACTACCACAGGACAGTGGACTTGTGTCTGGGAGAAAAAGATCAACGAAAATTTGTACATGAATGTTCACAATAGCCAAGAGGTGGGACCAACCCAAGTGTTCATTGGCACATGAATAGACAGACAAAATGCAGTATACAATGGGATATTATTCGACCTTAAAAAGGAATGAGGCTACCCTGACTAGTGTGGCTCAGTTAGTTGAAGTGTCATCCTGTGCACCAAAGGGTCGTGAGTTTGATTCCTAGTCAGGGCACATTACCCACGTTGTGGGTTCAGTCCCCATTCGGGGCATGTACAGGGGGAAACTAATCAATGTTTCTCTCTCACATCAATGTTCCTCTGTCTCACCCTCTCCTCTCTATTTTAAAAGGAATGAGGCTCTGATACATGTTACAACATGGGTGAACCTTAAAAACATTTTGACTGAAAAGAAGCCAGACACAAAGGTCACATGTAATCCTATTTATATGAAATGTCCACAGTATGCAAATCCATAGCAACAGAAAGTAGATCAGTGGTTGCCAGGGGCTGGAACAGGAGGAATGGTGACTGCCCTGCTGTTTGGTTCAGGATTTCGTTTGTAGGTGATGGAAATGTTCTGAAACTGGATAGTGGTTGTAGAACAGTGTGAATGTATTTAATGAACCTGAATTGTTCACTTTTATGTTTCTGTGGGGTTTTTTATTCCTAATCTGAGAATGTTTTTCCACTTATCTTCAGACAGAGTAAGAGAGGAGGATGGTGAGTGAGTGAGAGAGAGAGAGAAACGTTGATGTGAGAGAGACACATCAATCAGCTGCCTCCTGTATGCCACCTGCTGGGGATGGAGCCTACAACTTGGGCATGTGTCCTGACGGAATCGAACCAGGACCTCTCAGTCACTCAAACCACTGAGCCACACCAGCTGGACTGAATTGTCCACTTTTAAATGGTTAATTTATGTTATACAAATCTCACCTCAACTTTTAAAAACCATGTAATTTCCCATGGCCAGGTTGAGGGTACAGGGTAAATAGGGGTACTTTTCCAGTGCTGGGCATGAGCTTTCTCTTCATTTTCACACTAGGAATTGCTGTGATGAAGTTCAAGAACCCCCCGGTGAACAGCCTCAGCCTAGAGTTTCTGACAGAGTTTGTCATCAGTCTGGAGAAACTGGAGAATGACAAGACCTTCCGAGGCGTCATCTTAACTTCGGTGGGTGCCTGTTAGCTCCCTAAGGCCCTAACTTCCCTGATCAAAGTGCGAACCTGTTACCAGATCAAAGTCCAAACTCGAAGACCATCTGCACGTCACATAGTGTGGAATAACTAGGCAGGTGCCCCAAGAGATTTCTAGGGCTCTTGGTCCTCAGCAGGCGACATTTAAAAAATTTTTTTTTCTGTATGGATTTTAGAGAGAGGAAGGGAGAGGGAGCGAGAGAGAGAAACGTTGATGAGAAAGAACATCGACTGGCTGCCTCCTGCATGCCCCCCACTGAGGATCAGGCCCACAACCTGGGCATGTGCCCTGACCGGGAATTGAACCGGTCACCTCTTTGTGCATGAGTCGACGCTCAACCACTGAGCCAACACTGGCTGGGCTATGCAGGTGACATTTTTGCAGATACAACCTTCAGCCCATGTTGATTCATGAAGGATAGACCCTGCACAAACTGGGCAGTGGATTCCTGGGGTGCCCTCCTGAGTGGTCCTCAAAGCCTGGGCTAGTTTTAACACCGAGACCCACAGGACTGGGTGCCTCATGTGTTCCTTCATCTCTCCAGTGGACATCAGCCCAACCTGCTCTGCCAGGCACCACAGGTGCCAAGAGAGGACACAGATAAGACCAGGCCAGGAGGTGAAGTACGGACCCAACGTAACAGGCCATTTGTCAGGTCAGGAAGAGTACTAGGGTCACCTTTAAAATTAGGGGCCACAGACAGTATGAGTGTCCCGTAAAGCTTAGTGCCACCATATTACAGATACCTATGGGGATGTCTTACCCTGCTGTCAGTAAAGGTACAGGAAACAGACCGCCACAGCCTCTTTCAGCCAAGGTTTGGAGCACCCACTGTGGGCATACATCTGCTTTATTATCCCTCAGGTTGTCCCAGGGGTAGCCTGGTGTTGTCAAAGCTCTGAGGAGCCTGGCTGTACTGGGGGGAACCAGCACTGTGCTGGAGACAGAGACCAGCAGGGGATTCCTGGGAACTGGGTGATGCATATACCTTGTGGGTAATGTGAAGCTGGAGTTTGCAGAACAAAGCCTGTCTCCATGCCCTGGGGGAGAGATTATTCCATGTTTCTCCTAGGTTGGGCCTGATACTCATGGGTGTAGATTGTTGAGGGCCTGGTGATGGAATCCCAGGCAACTTTTTGACAATCACAACACAACTTCCTGGAGATGCTAAAACTGCCTGGGAACTTTTCACCCTGGATAATGTCTGAAAATACTCCATTTAAGATGTCACTACAGTCCTGGCCAGTTTGGCTTAGTGGTTGGAGCATCAGCCTGTGGGAACTGAACCAGAGTCCCTGGTTCAGTTCCCACTAAGGGCACGTACCTCAGTTGCAGTTTGTCCCTGGCCCCGGTTGGGGTCGTGTGGGTGGCAACCACTCCATGTGTCTCTCTCATGGATGTTTCTCTTTCTCCCTCTCCTGCTCTATCTGAAGATAAATGAAAAAAAAAAATGTCCTCGGGTGAGGATTGAAAAAAAAAAGATGTCACTACATAGCATGACATTTTCTTTACTGTGCTCTAAAATAAGAAAACAGTATATCACCAAATATGGACCTTTGGAATGAAAGGGGGAAGAAAGCTATCATTTTACCGAGGCCCCCAGCCTCCATGCTTGTAAAGGTCTCTGCTGCCTCCAGGCATCAAAGTCACATAGCCCTGAAGGAGGGGAGCCAGCATTTGTCCCTCCAAAGCCCATATTCTCCCCACTACAGCGTGATTGCCCCCTAAATGTATCTCTATATTGTGTTCTGTATTGAGTACCTACTGTGTATGTAGTAGCACAAGGCCTGCCCAGGGGGTCCTCAGCAGTTGAGTGTGGAGTGATGTCATTAGTGTCATGTGACCACATCACAAAGCACACAAATGGAGTGGCTTAAAACAACAGAAATGTACTCACAGTTCTGGAGGCCAGAAAGTCAAAATCAAGGCATGGGCAGGGCTGACTCCAGTGGGCCCTAGGAGATAATCCTCCTTGGCCTCATCCCACTGTGGCGCTCCTGGTCTTCCATACTTGTCTCCACCACTCCAGTCTCCTCCATCTTCACAAATGTCTGCCCTGTGTCTCTGTGTCCAAATGCCCTCTCCTTAGAAGAACACCAGTCACAGGATTTAGGGGCCCCCCTACTCCAGTATGACCTCATCTTTTTCTTTTTTTTATCCTCACCCAAGGACATTTTTCCATTTTTTATTCAGATAGAGTGGGAGGGAGAGAGAGAGAGAGAGGAACATCGACATGAAAGGGATACATCAAGTGGCTGCCACCCACACGGCCCAACCAGGGCCAGGGACAAATGGCATCCAAGGTACATGCCCTTAGCAGGAACCAAACCCAGGTCTCGCTGTACCTCAGGCCGACGCTCTAACCGCTGAGCCGAGCCGGCCAGGGCCAGTGTGACCTCATCTTTATCACATCTGCAAAGACCCTATTTCTTTTTTTTTTTTTTAATTCTCACCTCCTCCCTGACCAGTTTGGCTCAGCAATAGAGCATCGGCCTGCAGACCAATGAGTCCCGGGTTCGATTTCAGCCAAGGGCACGTACTCGGTTGCAGTTCGTCACGGCCCTGGTCGGAATTATGCGGGAGGCAACCAGTGGATGTGTCCCTCTCATGTCGATAAATAGAAAAATATCCTCAGATGAGGATAAAAAAAAGAATAAAAAAAAATTCCTCACCTGAGGATATTTTTCCATCTACCTTCAGATAGAGGGGGAGGGGGGGAGAGAGAGAGAGAAACATCCATGTGAGAGGGACACCTCGACCGGTTGCCTCCTGCACGACCCCGACCAGGGCTGGGGACCGAACCACAACCAAGGTACGTGCCCTTCACTAGAATCGTACCCGAGACTCTTTGGTCCACAGGCCAATGCTCTAACAGCTGAGCCAAACCAGCCAGGGCAAGACCCTATTTCTGCATAAGGTCATGTTCACAAATCTGGGGGTGAGGATCTGACCAAGTCTTTTTCAGGGACACAATATGGCCCACTACAGATGTGTTGCTAAATCACAGAAACAGGCCGCCCCACACTCCTAGTTTGTCTGACAGAGATTGTCCCAGTTAGGATCATGTGGTTTATTCTCTCACATCCAGAATATAATGCTTTGCCTTTGATGTCCTGAAACAGGACTATGGGCAAGTGCTGTTATCCTGCCCAACATCTTGCTAATAAAATGTATTAGATCTTGTGGGGAGAGGAGGGTAGGGGATTATGGTGGGAAAAGGATGAGGAAAAGGGCAGAAAAGCTGAGTATAAAGTCCTGCCATGTCCTTAAAGCAAGAGCCACTCTGTCCTTGCTGCCATCCCTTCTCCCCAACTAGGAACTGGCTTCCAGGTCCCTATATCTGGCCCGTGAGGAACAGTGGACTTAGTGTAATGATCACACATCTTTCTCTTTTGGGTCTTTTTAAATTATAGGAGTAGAACACATTCCAGGGAAACAAGGTCAGCCTCCAGGTATTGCAAACACATAATCACATGTATGTACAACACCTTGCACTGCAACTTGCTTTTGTAGCTTAATGTAAAGATGTAGGGGCCATGGAGTGTGATTGTCCCATAGTTTATCTGCCTGCTCTTCACACACACTGGGTGGTTGTCATTCTCACAAGCAGTGTGGCCATTTCTAGTTATCAAAACAGTAAGTAATCAAAATAGCCTCAGGCATCCCCCTGTGACCATGTGGGAGCCCCAGGGGTGAGTGTCGCCCAGGTGAAGACTGCTGAGCCATCTCTCCCTGTCTGTATTCTTGGCCAACAGTCCAGAACTTGGTGCCAGAACACTACTGGAAAGTGCCATTGTGCTGGCAGCCCTTTATTCCAGCCTGTGGTTCCTCTTCTGTGTTTGCTCCGCCTCCCTTCCTTGGCAGCTTTCTTAAGACCTGGGGCACACAGGACACACATGCCTTCAAGATCATTCCCCAGATTTCTGTCTCACACATGACAGCCCAGGCAGAGGTCTGGTTTCTTGACTGGTCACTGCCCCTTTTCTGATCAGACAGCAGCACCTCTCTGTCTGTACCAGTCTGCCACTGGCTTGACCTTTGGGTGTAAATCAACATGTGCCCTCAACAGACTGTCAGAAATTCTCCCCACACCTCTGAGTTTTCTGCCTGGGATACCACGTAGGTTATGTAGAGCCCAGGGGAGCACCTGACCCTGCCTGGCTGTTCCGCTTTTGCCAGCTTGAACTTTGAAAGGGAAGAACATCCCAGGATGTAGAAGTAATAGAGTCTGAGGGAGATTGAGACAGTCCTGGAGCTCTAGCTCTGGGCTCCTTGGGGAAGTGTCCTGCCACCATGAGCATGACCTCAGCCTTGCTGCCCCTTGAGCACCTGTGGGCTCCCCCTGCCCTGAGGCACATTGCCCTGGTAGGTGGATTCTGATGAGGCCCTGGCTCCCTCATTTACCCAGGACCGCCCCGGGGTCTTCTCTGCCGGCTTGGACCTGAGAGAAATGTGCGGAAGGAACCCAGCGCACTGTGCTGAGTACTGGAAGGCCGTGCAGGAGCTGTGGTTGCGGCTCTACCTGTCCAACCTTGTGGTGATTGCCGCTGTCAATGTGAGTGTTTCCACTCCCGAGTGGCCTTGCGGACTCCCTGGGTACTGTGGCCCTGCCCTCAGGGAAGTCTTCAAAGGGGAGGGGTGCCTTGGGGAGACCCTCAGATTGCACAAGTAAGCATGCCATTACAGATCACTGACACGGTGACAAGGTGGAGGCCACAGGGGTCAACTCACTAGCTGGGTAGGGGCAGGGCCCAGGATCCAAGGACTGTATAGGGAGCAAGTGGGGAATTGGATCCACATTTTGAAAACATCACATTGGCCTGACCTGGGGAAGGCAGGAACAGGCCGCTAAAGTAAGGTACTGGAGCTGAGGTTCCAGAATTCGTGTGCCCCAAAGAGATGTGGTGACAACCCAAGTAAGGTGCAAGGAGGGCCTGAGCCTGGTGGAGGGGAGGAGTGGCAGGGCTAGGTCACTCAGCGCTCACACCCACCAGCAGGCCATTCCTCAAGACCCTGGCTCTCTAGAATACTACTGGGACCAGCAGTAGCAGCACTCAGAGCCCACTGGTCTTGCTTCCCCTGCAGGGATCTAGCCCTGCTGGAGGCTGCCTGATAGCCCTCACCTGTGACTACCGGGTCCTGGCTGACAACCCCAAATACCTCATGGGGCTGAATGAGACCCTGCTGGGCATTGTTGCCCCTTTCTGGTAAGGCTAGGGACTGCACCCATATCCCACTTGGCCCGGGGATAAACCAATCCACCTGGGAGCTCCCAGCCCCAGGTGAGTGGATGTCTGCATTCCAGGTTCAAAGATACCCTTGTGAACACTATTGGGCACCGTGCTGCAGAACGTGCTCTGCAGCTGGGGTTGCTCTTCCCGCCAGCAGAGGCTCTCCAAGTGGGCATGGTGGACAAGGTAGTGCCTGAGGACCAGGTGCAGAGCACAGCACTCTCAGTGATGGCCCAGTGGCTGGCCATTCCAGGTGAGGAGCACAGGGAGGGCCAGCTGCTGTGGGTACTGGTGGGCAAGCAAAGCCTCCTTCCCCCTCTCTCCCCAGTCTGGTATTCCTGGTGAGTCCAGAGAGTTCTCATGTAAAGGTGTACTGTGGCCCTGGCTGGTGTGTCCAGTGGTTAGAGCATCAGCCTGCACACCGAAGGGTCCTTGGTTTGGTTCCTGGTCAAGGCCACATACCTGGATTGCAGGTTTGATCCCATGTGTGGGGCAACCAATTCATGTGTCTCTCTCATTCCCCCTCCTTCTACTCTCTAAAAATTAATGGAAAAAATATCCTTAGGTGAGGATTAACAACAACAAAAAGTGCACTGTGCAAGTCTAGAACATGCAGACTGACTTAGTGTCCCGGGGCTACTATAACATTATCACAGGTAAAGTGGTAGTGGAGGGGTGCTTAAAACGACAGAAATGCATTCTCTCACATGGTTTCCTTTATCTCAAATCTCCCTTTCCTTTCTCTTATAAGGACACTTGTCATTGGATTTAGGGCCCACCCCAAGTCCAAGATGACCTCATCTTAATTACATCTGCAAAGACCCTTTTCCAAATGAGTTCTGGTTCTAGAGGGGTGGTTAGAACTTTCACGTGTCTTTTGGGGGTCCACTACTCAACTCTCTATACAGACAATTGGAAGTAGCCAGCATATCTATTTCTAGAAATAGGGCTGGTTATATCAACTATAATAGGGACCTGGGTTAGCAGACTGTATATAAAGAGCCAGGTGGATTTCTGTCTTTGTGGGTCACACAGTTTATGCCACAACAAAGGCAGCCACAGAGAGTACGTGAACATACAAGCATGTCAGTGTTCTATAATACTTAGGACAATTGAAATTCGAACTTCATATAATTTTCACATTGTAACATTACCCTTTTTTCAACTGTATAAAAATGGTAAAAAAACCATTCTTAGCTCATGGGCCATGGGGTGACCAAATACTGTGCAGCTGTTAATTATAATAGGATATTGAATGACTTGGAAAATACTGTCAATGAGCCCTGGCTCAGCTGGTTGGGCATCATCCTATGAACCAAAAAGTTGCTGGTTCAATTCCCAGTCGTGGCACATGCCTGGGTTGTGGGCTCGACCCCCAGTTAGGGGTATGCAGGAGACAACTGTTTGCTGTTTCTCTACCTCTAAAATCCATTTAAAATCTTTTTAAAGAACTCTGGCCAGTTTTCTCAGTGGTTAGAGTGTTGGCCTGTGGACCAAAAAGTCTCGGGTTTGATTCCCAGTCAAGGGCACATACCTGGATTGCAGATTCAATCCCTGACCCCTGTTGGGATCATGTGGGAGGCAACCAATCTATGTGTCTCTCTTACATCAATGTTTCTCTTTCTCCCCTTCTCCCTCCAATGGGAAAATATCCTCAGGTGAAGATTAACAAAAAGAAAAAACCTTTTAAAAAAGATTCTCAATAATCCTGGCCAGTTTTGCTCAGCGGTTAGAGCGTTGGCCTGCGGTCCAGAGAGACCCGGGTTCGGTTCCTGCTAAGGGCACGTACCTCAGTTGCAGTTTGTCCTGGCCCTGGTTGGGTCATGCGGGTGGCAGCCACTCAATGTGTACCTTTCACGTTGATGTTTCTCTTTGTCTCTCTTCCTCTCTCTCCCTCCTGTTCTGTCTGAACAAAAAAAAAGAAAAAGAAAAAATGTCCTCAGGTGAGGATAAAAAAAAAAAAAGATTCTCAATAATATAGTTGAGTGAAAACAAACTGGCTAAAAATGCAATCTTTAGCCCAGCCAATGTGGCTCAGTGGTTGGGTGTCGACCCATGCACTGGGAAGTCACCAGTTCAATTGCTGGTCAGGGCATATGCCCAGCCTTGTGAGCCCAATCCCCAGTGGAGGGCATGCAGAAGGTGGCCAGTCTCTTTCATCAATGTTTCTAGCTCTCCCTCTCTCTACCTCTTTCTCTCTAAAATCAATAAAGAAAAAAAACAAACAAACAATTTTTTAAGGCAATTTTTATATTATCATTCTATATGGTTGTGGTTTTGTTTTGTTTTTTAATCCTCACCCAAGGGTATTTTTCCATTTTCTAGAGATAGTGGGAGAAAGAAGGACAGAGAGAAAGAGCAAGAATCATTGATGTGAGAGAGACACATCTATTGGTTGCCTCCCACACGTACCCCAACCAGGGATGGGGATCGAACCTGCAACCCAGGTATGTACCCTTAACCAGAAATCAAACCCATGAGCCTTTGGTCTACAGACTTCCACTCTAACCACTGAGAACACCAGCCAGGGCTCATCCTATATGTTTTGTTTGTTTGTTTTTCTTTATTGATTTTTAGAGGAAGGGAGAGGGAGAGAGAGATAGAAACATCAATGAGAGAGAACATCGATTGGCCGCCTCCTGCATGCCCCACACTGGGGATCAGGCCCACAACCTGGGCATGTGCCCTGAATGGGAATCGAACCGAGACCTCTTGATGCATGGGTTGACACTCAACCACTGAGCTACACCAGCCAGGCTCCTCCTATATGTTTTTAAAAGAAGTCAGTGGGTAGTGGGAAATAAGTGATTTTCATTTTCTTCTTTTTTTTTACTTCAATACTTTTTTCCTTTATTGATTTGAGAGAGAGAAGAAGTGAGAGGGAGAGAGATAGAAACATTGATAAGAGAACATCGATTGGCCACCTCCTACATACCCCCCACTGGGGATCGGGCCCACAACCTGGGCATGTGCCCTGACCGGGAATCGAACTGGCGACCTCTTGGTGCATGGGTCAGCGCTCAACCACTGAGCCACACTGGCTGGACCTTTTTGTTTACTTTTATCCTCTAAGTTTTCTACCAAAGTTTCTGTTGGAACTCTCTTTGGAAGGTTGGGAATGATGCCACTGTCTCAGAGAGTGGGTTTTCACATGTGGATCCTGTTATCTTTAGACCATGCTCGACAGCTGACCAAGAACATGATGCGAAAAGCCACAGTAGACCGCTTGGTGAAAGAGCGTGACTCGGACATCAAGAACTTTGTCAGTTTTATCTCCAGAGACTCCATCCAAAAGTACTTGCAGATGTACTTAGAAAAGCTCAAACAAAAGAAAGGCTAACAGCTGAGCTGCCCACATAGGGTTTATGCATATTCACTCTTCCGGGGACCTTCTGGTCCCAAGGGGTTTTAAACAAGATATTTTCTGATTTAAAAGTCCTGTCAGCTCTTTGTTTTACTGATCTTCCCAAAACGCCCTGTTCCCTGTAGCCAAGGCCTAAGGCCCACCACCACAGAAGTGCCTTTTCTGCCTGGCAGGTGGGCAGGGTGGGGTTGATGGTGCAGTGTCTGGATTTGGGAATTATGAACTGGCAGGTGGAACTCTTCTGGATCTTGGCAGTGTCACTACTGATTGTCTCCTTTCCCAAAGAATTGTGACTAAAGTTCTCAGGTTGTCCCATCCCTGACTGCTGGGCTGCCTGATTGCTAGAAACGTAAGGCAGTCATGGACCCTGATGATCCACACAAGACCCCCCAACCCCCACCCTGAGATAAACCCTTTGGCCACCATATTTGTTCATTTAGATGGAGGAAGTGTATAACAATTCAGAGAAATCGGGAGCTTAGGGGTGAGGGAGGCATTACTTGAGAGGCATTCTATGTTTCAAGGGTCCTAGATCTTATTTTAGAAAGGTTTGTCAAAAAAAAAAAAAAAAAATGTTCAAACTCGTGACAAAAAGGCTTTTCCTCCCATACAATTCAGGATAGTTACCAAATCCTGCCAAAGATGAGATGTTTCAAAAACTAGAAACCTCGTCAGGCCCTTGTCAGTTATGCTGTGTACTCCAGCTCTGCTTGATCCTGATCCTGAGGTCATGGGTTCTGTGGGCAGGACCTTAAGCTGACCCCCCTGCAGTGATGGACAGGGCCCCTGATATAGACCAGTGTCTGAGGGTTTTTGCAAGATCAGGGACTGCAGGAGGGAGATTGGGCTGGGAGGTTGGATTTGAAGGCAACACTATACCTGTGTTGAATACTGATCCTCACTGCATTCAGTACAAATTCTTGAAAGAATTTACAATGGTCTGGAGGTGTTAGTTCCCAGCGGGACATGAAATGGGCAGGCCAGACTGTGCCTGTTCCCTAAAGAACCTGCTGTGCTGCAGGACCAAGGTTTGTGCAACAGGAAGAGTCCTAAGAAAGGACACGGAGGCCTCCAAGCCGACCTTTTTGTGGTCCTGACTGAACACTCGTTTATTGAACAGAGCCACACTGAGTTCCTGTGAGGTAGGTAGTGGTAGGCCATTTTACAGATGGGGGAACAGACTTGAGTATTTCTGTAACATGTTGATGGCCAACTGTTTAGTCCTAGTTGACCCTGCCCTGGAGCCTTGCTGGGGATAAGCCAGCCACCCGAAGGAACACTGGAGCTGTTCCTCTTGGCCAGTCTGCAGGCAGCATGCCCTGACCAGTCCTCAGAGCTGTTAGTGGGACTTGAGGGTCACCTCCACAGGAAAATGGTCACTGATGGCAAGGGCCTGGAGGGAGAGGGGACCAAACCTCAGAAGCCCTGCTGGGCAACCTGTCTTCCCTGAGGCTTCATCTCAGAACTGCCCCCCACCTAGGATGGAGCCTGCTGGGTTTCTAAAAACCTCTGCATGTGGGGGAGCAGGCCAGTGAGGCCTGGGCTGTCCACCCCTGCTGCTGCCTGCAGGTAGGGTGGGGGTACAGACTCAGAACTTCACCTCACAGAGGCAAAGGGCATCCTATCCTGCCATCCCAGACTTGTTCTCCATTCAGCCTGAACTGAGCCTCTAGGGGCCTTTTGCAGAAACTAGGGCAGGGAGAGGATTGCCAGGTGCACTGAGGCTGAGCCTGGGCAGAAGAGAACTGGCTCCTGTCTGCCAGTGCAGAGCAGCCTGGGGACCCCCACCCCTGTAGAGTTCAGTACTCACCTGCGTCTGGTCCAGGCCAAATACCTCCTGGAAGTTGTGTACCACCGCTGACTGGGGCTTCAGGCTCCTGCGCAGGCGAGCGCCACAGACAACGATGCGGTCGTAGGCGCAGTCAGAGTTGCCTACCGTGGTGTCAGCGCTGTCTGGGATGAGCCACTTAAACACTTCGCTGCTGCGCAGGCGGATAGCCGCCCAGTCCTGCTCCCGCACATAGCTGCAGTCCGCGTTGAAGTCGCCCAGGAACAGCATGTCCTGGGGGGGGGGGGGGGCAGACACTAGAGTCTGAGCCACCCTAGACGAGCCCATGGCTCTCTGGCTTCCCCCAAGGCCCGCCTCCTAGAACCCAGGGCTGTGCAGGCCCGCGGCTTACGTCAGTGCCCCACTTGTCTATCACATCCAGGTACACGTCGTACAGAGCGTCAATCTCCGCTACCGCCTGGTGCGGTGCAGCGTGCAGTGGGACCAGCACAAATTCCTTGACAGCTGCTGGAGAGGGTGGGTGTCAGAGGCGGGGTAGGGCCTGCAGGAGGGGCGGGGCCTGCAGGAGGGGCGGGGCCTCACCGGAACTTGGGACTGAGAATTTGACTACGAAAGGTTCACGACTGAAGGTGTCCTCCGGATCTGGGTACTGGTACTTGTCTATGACTGACACCGCGTCTTTCCTGGGGGCAAAAGGTGGTGGGTGTGCTGAGCTGGCCACCGTCTGCCCCACACTCCGCGTCCCCGCCCCTCACCTGTAAACGAACAGGTACATTTCCTTATAATGTTCCCGCCCCAAGGGCTCACTGCTCACGAAGCTGTACTCGTGCCTGGACAAGCTGCGGAGATATGGGTCAGGCCCTGAGTCAAGGCACCACGCTGAGGCCTAGGATGCCAGCCAGAGCTCCCAACGCTGGGCCCTGCCCGCCACACCTGTTGATCTGCTCCATGAGTGCAGACACTGCGCTCAGGTCCGGGTCTCGCACCTCCTGCACAAGCATGATGTCATAGCCAGCCAGGATCTGGAGAAGGAACCACCGGGGCGGGGTCACGAGCTACTGATTCGCCCGCAAAACCCAGCAGCAGCCCCGGCCCTGTCCCCTCTCACTTGCGCGATTACGCTGCCACAGGCGGAGTCCAAAACTTTGCTGTCACCGAAACTCTGGATATTGAAGGCTCCAATGCGCAGCGCTGCTGCCCCGGCGGCCCCCAGAGCCCAGAGTATGGCCAGTAGGGCCCGGGGACATCCCATTGCACGGAGCGAGTGGGCTGGGAGGGACAGACAGCCTGCGTGAGCGCAGACCTGGAGTCGGACATACCCAGCTACCTCTTACCTCCCCAGACATGGGGGACCTGGCAGTATATACCACCCAATGCTGGCCTGCACCAAGGCACAACCTCCCCCTGCGCTTCCCATGTCTCCCCAGGGTGGTGCGCTAGGCTCATGCCATTTTCCTACTCCGTAGGAAAACTGAAGCCCAAATAGAAGGACCCCATTACCATCCAGCCTGAGTGGGCCCAGCCCCCAGATTCACCTGAGATGTGGATGGGGCCGTACCAGAGAATCAGGATCTGGGCCCAGGTAAGGATCTGAGGTCCAGGCTGGGAGTGTGTAGGTGATACCAGGCAGATGCTACAACTCTTGTGCCTGGGCACAGGCAGGTATTTGAGGCCCTGGTCCAGGGAGGGGCCTGACTGCGTTGGGTCCCGCCCCCTCTACAGAGTTGGTGCCAGAATTCCTGGCTCCCATTCCTACTGAGACCCAAGAGGGCAAAGCAACGGGATCCACCCTAAGGCTGCTCCAGCCCCTAAGTCTGTCAGAATCAGGACTCAGAAGCCCCTGCCAGCACCTCCAAGAGCTGCCTGAGGAGTGGAGATGGCCAGCAATGCCTATGGTCCAGGCCTTGTTCTTGTCCCCACCCCCCAGAAACTAGGTCATCCATAATCTCCCTCCTGGAACTACATCCCCTCAGGGAAACTAAGGCAGCACTATTAGGAAAGACCAACCCCATTCTTGGCCCACATCTACTGTTTGTTCTACACATTGTCAGAGGCTCCTGGTCTCCTGGCCTCAGTCCCCTGCCCCAGGGCACCACATCAGGCCTCAGGAAGCCGGGGTCACAGATCCCAGAGGGCAGGGCAGCAGCAGATAGCTGCCTGTCCACATGCCAGTGACACCCACATGCCGCCAAGGTGTCGCCAGCCCCATCAGGAGTACTGGGTGGGGTGGCCACACACAACAGTCTACAGAGTGGCCTGGGCAGGCAGGTGCTGCCACAGGCAGACCTGCCAGGGCTGCCACTGCCGCAACATCACAAGAGGTGGGTTTTCATGTTTTATTGTAAAGCAACAAAAAACTATTTACACTCCCATGTGTCTGAACATCTGAATTATGAGCCCTGTCTTTCCCATACTAGGCCAGGTAGGAGTGTGTAGGGCACTCAGGGTCCTTGCTCTTGACCCAGCCCAGTCCAGTGGGACCCCTACAGGTGCCCATGCTAAACAATGACAGTCTGCACCTCAAGCTGGCCCTCTGGGGAGGCAATGACCAGCTCGCCCGCATGCTCCAGGATCTCAATGTCCTCCGATGAAACCATGGTCACAGTAGCCTGCTCAGCACCATTTGCGCCTGCGCGGGCAGTAAGCACAGTGCCCTCGCTGATGGCTGAAGCCAGTGTCATGGCCACTTGCTCTGTCAGGCTCTCAGGGGTGGCAATGGTAATGGTGTCTGCAGCAGCTGCTTCTGGACCCAGCCCCGCTTCCTGGTCCATGGTCACATTCTGCACAATGATTTGGTGCCCAGCGCTGGCCTGGTGTACAATCTGCTGCACCACCTTCATGATATGGCTGTCCACCTGTGGGTGGCTCATGGCTCAGCCCACAAGGCTGGGTGAGGGCACTAGGCCTCCCCTCCCCACCCCTACCCCAGCCCCTCACCTCTGTCTGGGTGCCCTCGATGATCTCTGTAGCTTCACTCGTCTCCGCATCATCTGAGGTGGCCTAGACAGAGAATCAAAGGTCCATTTTGCCTGCCCCTGGGCCCCATCCCAGCCCTACCCTACACCCACCTCAATGATGTACTCCTGGGTGTCAGCCACCACAGATGAGAACTCAACCAACACAGTGTGTGGGTCTTCATCAAGGACAGTGGCAGCTGTTGTGGAGCTCTCCTCGGACACCAGCAGCTCCTCCACCTCCAGCAGGCAGCCCCCTGAGATGGGGAGCTCATTCAGGGTTGGCCTCTTGCTGCCCTTCACCCCCTCCCGCTGCCCGCCAGCTCCCAACCTTTGGTGCGCAGGTGCCGGTTAAGCGTGCCATGCTCAGCAAAGCCACGGCCACACTTGTAGCATTTGAAGGGCTTCTCGCCAGTGTGGTGCCGAACATGCCGCACCAGCGAGCCCTTCTCCCGGAAGCCTCGGCTGCAAAATGGACACACGTGTGGCTTCTCCTCCAGGTGTGTCCGGAAGTGCACCTGCTGGGCATTCTGAGGAGACCCACCATCAGGATCAACTTGGCCTTGGCCATAGCTCAGACTGAGGCTTTCCCCATTGACTTCTAGGGCCAAGGAAGGGACTGGGCCAATACTGAGCAGGCTGGGGGCGAAGGGGTGACAAAGGATGGCTGGGGCAAGAACAAGGGATGGATCTGGCCTATGGAGTGGGGAACTAATGGGGGGCAGTCAGAAGTCAGGGGTCAGGGCTAGAGGGCCCACCTTGGTCTTATAGCGCTTGCCACACTCAGGACAAGGGTAAGGCCGCTCATCTGAATGGACTCGCCGGTGGCCACGAACATGAGCAATGGTCTTGTAGAGTTTCCCGCAGTCCCCACAGCGGAAACGGCGCTCATGCACGTGGGCCTCCTGGTGCTTCTTGAGCAAATAGGCCTTGGGGAAGGCCTTGCCACACTGCACACACGTGAACAGCTTCGGCCCTGGGGCCACAGGCAATGTCAGGCCAGGTCCAATCCCCGAGGGCCCCCTGCCCCCCAACCACCTGCTGCCTGCTCACTGGCCACTCTGACCACCCACTGCCCAAGGGACCATCCTAGTCACCCACAGGCCATCCACTGACTAGTGCCCCACCCTCTTGCCACCCACCTGCATGGCTCCTTTTGTGGGCCTCTAGGGTGGCTGCTGTTGGAAAGGTTTCACTGCACCGAGGGCAAAGGTGGGTCCTGGGTACAGCTGAGTCCTCATTGGCCACCTGCTGGAGGATCACAGCATCCTTCCAGTATCCACAGCAGGTTGGGCCCCAGCAGTACCAAGGACAGACCCATAGTACCCCCACCCTGACAGACTCCATCATGGGCCCAGGGGTAAAAAATTCAGGAGACAGAGTCACTGCAGAAAGTGACGGCAGGGAGAACAGTAAGAAAGCTGGTGGCCAGGCCAGTGTAACGAACAGCTTCATGTAAGGTGCAGCCCCCAGGAACGAGCACACCGGCAGCACAGGTACCTACTGTCTCCACCTGCTCCACCTCCAGCAGCGGCAGTTCCGGGGGACCATCACCCAGGTGCTGAGGACTGGATGCAGTAGGAGGGACTGGCTCCAGGGCCCCCTCCTCCCCAGTGACCCGCTCAAGAACAATGCCAGAGTTCTGCATGGCCTGGTGCAGCAGGTTCTCCCGACTATCCTCACTGGTACAGGAAAGCTCCTTGGGAGCTGGGGGCTGCAGGGGAGATGAAGGGAGGGAGGTTAACCAGAAGGCTCGGCACATGGCACCCACCTGAACCCACCGCACGAGGCAAACCCAAGGGGCCCAGGTACCACTGTGAACACCCAGTGTCTTCATTCAGGAATGCCCCTAGGAGCCCCACAGCCCGCTCCATCTGCTCTTGCCTGCCCCACTGGTCTTTCATCATCCCTGCAACCAGAGTACCAGGAAAGCAGACCCTGGTCAGTCCTATTCCCACTGGAACCAGTGCCCAGAACAGAGCCTGCCACTGAGCAGACAGAGGCCATACCACCAGACGGTCCCCACCTCTGGGGCTAGGGCTTTCATGCCCAGGGGAAACTCTTGCATCTGGACATGGACTTCGTGGATGACAGTGCCCTTGGCATCTGTCACCAGATGAATCACTGGCGATGTCTCCATGGGCTCGCCTATCACCGAAGATGATGTAACAGTCCCCATAGTGGAGGCACCAGACCCTTTAAGGCAGAATCAAGAAGAGTCTTTAAAGAAACCTTCCTAACCAGGGTAGCTCCAGGGCTGGAACAGGGAGCCTTCAACATGCTGACCTGCAGGTGCATCCTCTTTGCCAACAACGACATCCTTGCTCATGCTAAATCGGATTTTTTCAGTGCATGGGGTGAGAGACTTGAGGTGCCGGGTCAGCGCACCTGACTCCCGAAAGCTCTTTCCACACTTGGCACACTTATAGGGACGCTCATCTGTGGAATGGAGTCAGCTTTGGGTGGGGAAGGCAGACCTGGAGCCATAGCCTCCCACAAGGAGGCAAGGGTGCCCCACATACTGAGCTAGCTTACCTGTGTGCCGCCGGTGGTGCCGGATGAGTGAGCCCTTGGTCCGGAAGGAGGCCCCACACAACTTGCACTCATGGTCCTTACGACTGCTGTGGGTGACCATGTGGGCCTTGAGGATGCTACCCTGGGGAGGAGGGGCAGCAAGGCTTAGGCACCTCCCTGGGCAGGAGGCCTGGCCCCCTTAGCTGGCATGGCCCAAGACCTGGGGCTCACCGTCTTGAAGGTCTTGTGACACAATGCACACACGTAGCGGCCGTCCTCATTCACCAACAACTTGACCTGGGCCTGTTCACCATGCCCAGCCAGCCTGGGCTCCTGATGGTCAGGGCTGTCCGAGGCCTCTGCCATCTCACTGTCACCTGGATCCACCTCAGCAGCTACAATGACCTCTTTGATGTGTCCACTGCCTGAAGAGAAGCAGGTCAGGCTGAGCCTCAGGATGCCACACACCCTCCCAGCTCCTGGGATCCTAGCCCAGGAGCACTGCTCGGTTACATTGGAGCTAAATGGCGAATCACCAGGCCCCCAGAATGTATCCAATGGGGAGACCATGGTGAGCAAAAGTCCCCTCCCCTAAGCCAAGAGGCGCATAGCACTAGATGTGTGCAGAGGTCCTGCCACTTCTAAGGGCAATGGAGTACCCAGCACAGAGACAGTGGACAGGCCAACCCAGCTCACTGCAATCTGCCCTGTTTGCTTCCCCAGCTCCCACTAACACAAGAAGAAAATATCTCCAGAGTCACCCACTGGCATCTGTTTTGAAGTAGGCAGGTGAGGGACCCAGCCTGGGAATGAATGCTCATGAGACACCCAGGACAGCCTGAGGCTTCTGCACCTGTTGCTAGTGTTGAAGAAAATTGGACAACTGCCCTGGCCGGGTAGCTCAATTAGTTAGAGCATCATCCCACTGAGGGTTCAATCCCCAGTCAGGGCACATACAAGAATTAACCAATGTGCCCTGTCCAGTGTGGCTCAGTTGGCTGAGCATTGTCCCATGCACCAAGAGATTGCTGATTCAATTCCCAGTCAGGGTAGATGCCTGGGTTGCAGGCTCAATCCCCAGTGTCAGGGGGCGGGGGGGGCATGCAGGGGGCACTTGATCAATGTTTCTTTCCCTCTCCCTCTCTCTAAAATCGATATAAACATTTTTTTAAATGTTTCTTTAAAAAAAAAAATCAACCAATGAATGCATAAATAAGAACAAATCAATGTCTCTCTTTCCCTCTCTCTTCTTCCCTTCCTCCTTCCTTCCCTCCCTCCCTCCCTCCCTTCTTCCCTCCCTCCCTCCCTTTCTCCTTCCCTTCTCTCTCTCAAATAAAAAAATAAAATAAATAAATAATTGTTTAAAGAGCCCTTTTGGAAAAAGGAGCCCTGGCCAATGTGGCTCACTCAGTCGGTTGAGCATCGTCCCATGCACCAAAGGGTTGCCAATTCAATTCCTGGTCAGGGCACATGCCTGGGGTGCAGGCTCAATCTCCAGTAGGGCATGTGTGAAAAGTAGCCATTTGATGTTGCTCTCTCATATAGATGTTTCTCTCTTTTTCTTTCTCTCTCTTTCTCCTCTCCCTTCCTCTCTCTCTAGAATAAAAGCATATTAAGAAAGAAAGAAAGAAAGAAAGAAAGAAAGAAAGAAAGAAAGAAAGAAAGAAAGAAAGAAAGAAAGAAGGAAAGAAGCCCTGGCCCTTGGCCGGTTTGGCTCAGAGGTTAGAGCGTCGGCCCACGGACCAAAGAGTCACAAGTTTGATTCCAGTCAAGGGTATGTACCTCAGATGCGGTCTGTCCCCGGCCCTGGTCAGGGCCATGCAGGGGGCAACCAGTCGATGTGTCTCTCTCATGTCAATATTTCTCTCTCTCCCTTCCTCCCACTCTATCTGAAGATAAATAGAAAAATATCCTCGGGTGTGGATTAAAAAAAAAAAGGAAATCTGACAATAATCTGACAATGTGTAAAGCTAAGCTATAAACATTTCACAATTTCCGCTCTTAAAAATGACAGTGGGAAATAGTTGTGAAACTGCTTCTTTGAAGACTTCTCAATCAGGCTGGCACCATGTTTTGGCAAGCCATTATCTCCAAACAGAATGGAAGCCTCTGACTCAAAAACAAATAAAGGCATGTCTCACCCATGCTCTGGTTGGCATGCCTAACACTTTATCTTTGCTCTGCCCCAGAAAGTGTGTTACAGTACAAAGAAGGTACAAAGGGTAACAGGTGAAATGTAAGTTTGTTTCCCAGGAAGAAGCAGGAGTGGGTATCCAGCCATCACTCAGCCCCAGCAGCCCCCACAGCCCCCACTTACCATGTCCCCGGGCCCAGCAAGGACAGAGAACTCCCGGCCCTGGGACAACAGCAGCTGGCAGATTAGGACTCTGGCCAACCCTGTACTCTGGACTACTGAGCAGCTAACACCAAGGGGACATTTGAGGCACCCAGGATGCCTGCAAAGGGGGAAACTTCTAAGGGTACAAGAGAGGCAGGAGGTACCCAGAAAGGAGACCCCAAAGCTGCTAAGGCGCAGGCATGGGCAGGCTAGAGGTCAGGTTGGTGGGAAGGTGCCTGAAATAACAGGAGTCTAGAGCCCATAGGTGCCGCCCAAACACAGGGAACTTGTTTTTCTTTTTCCCTTCTTTATTTTGTTTTTTAATCCTCACTCAAGGATATGCTTTTATTGATTTTTAGAGAGAGATAGGAAGGGGGGGGGGCATCAATGTAAGACAGAAACACCTACCAATTGCCTCCCATATGCACCCCAACCAGGGATTGAACCCACAACCTAGGTATGTGTCCTGACTAGGAATTGAACCCAAAACCTTTTGGTGTACATGCCAGGGCAGGGAACTTGTTTTCTATATGACACCACCCACCCCAGAAACAAACCACCACTCCAGGACTGGAGCATGGCCCCACCTCCCACATAACAACATTCCTATCCCAGAGTGGCACCAGGTGAACATCCTGGTCCACAGGAATGTCAGGGGGAAAGACAGCATAGAGACAGGGACAGATGTCCCATCACCTCCCTGAGGTGGGGCCTTGACAAAAGAGCCTACTCTAAGGTTCCCCTCCCCAGGGGCTCCTTCATCACCCCTTCTTCCTACCCCAGATGGTCCCAAGAGCTTCCCAAGGCCAAATTCTACCTGTTGCTCAAACCTGCTTCCTGTCTAGCTGCTCATCCCACTCATGTACCTGCCAAGGTCTCTGCCCAATGGGCCCCCAGGTAACCACCATTCCTTTCCCAACTTCCTGAGGCATCAAGTCCAATCTAGCCTCCCTTCAGTGCTGTGCACACACCCATTCCCCAGCTCCCTCCACCTGCCTCAGCCCTGGGCTGTCCTTTGAATGTCCCCCCTACATGCTGGCCTATCCCCAATGAATGAGTGTGTGATTCAATCCAAACCTCTCAACACCCCTTCCCTATTGCACATCAGGAGGTACTTTAACTTTTAAAAAGTCATCAAAGAGGCTGACTTGGCGTTGTATGCTCATAAAAGCCTTGTGAGAATCAGGGCAGGAATCACTACCCCTACGCGGGAGGGAGTGCGCACTGGGGAGATGAAAGCCAAGAACAGGCAGCAGGTCAAGGCCAAGCTGGAAGAGCAGGTGAACCCCCCATGCATACCACACCCTAAACCTCCAGAGCCAACTGTGGGAGGTGAGTAGGAACCAGGAGGGTAGCAGAAAAGTGGGGAAGACTCTGGAAGGACCAGGGCAGAGACAGTCTAGGGAAGTAGCAGGAGAGCAGCCAGTTTGTAATTATGCACAAAGCGAGGACTCCTCAAGGTCCGGGTATGCCCTAGGGCAGCCTAGGCTACATGCTTCCCCTTTCCTGGGCTGGCAGGGCCTGATGCCCAATCCTCAGTCCTCCTAAAGACCCTGCCCTGGGGAAGGTGCACACAAGGCCTCAGCTACTCCTGGGCCAGGTCTTGCTCGGGGAAACAGAGGAGTGTGGGCAGCATAGGTCCCCAGCCTCCAGCCTTAACCACAGATGGCTACCAAGTCAGCAACAGTTCAGAGCTGAAAGCCATGAGTGTATATAGCCAGTGGCGCCAGCTTACCAACAATATCAGGCGTGTGGCTGATGTCTGGTGTCAGAGCAGCTGCCTCCACAACAATGTGGGCCAAAGTGATAGGCTCCTCCGGACTTGCCACCGCCGGGACCACCTACCAATAGGAAACAGGGGACACAGGGGACTAATCTGCGGGGCTCCAGAGCTCCCTTGGTTTATTGAGTGTGGGCTTGGGTTTATGTCCATGCAGAATGGCTAGGACACCCTGGACCAGGCTGGGAGTCAGGCTTAGAGTGGTGATCTTCTTGGAGATGAGAGCCTCCACCCTAGCCATCCTGCGTGGGTAGGTAAAGAGCACAGGGTCAGAATAAGACAAACTCTGGGCTACTTCCTGTGGTGACCTAAGGTAACTGACTTCTCTCAGAGTCTCTTTTCCCACTTCCCTAAGAAGAGGATGACAAGAGTGCCCACCACGTAGGGCGGTATGGACCTTAACTCTGTGTGTACAGCCCCAAGCATGCATGGGGTACAACAAAAGTTCACCATTTATTATGGGGTGGTGGGACCCAAAGAACCACATTTGTGGGATTCTCAGGAACTATATGTACAGGATAGGAGACAAGCCAAAAATGCAAAAGCCACCATGATACCCCTGAACCAAGATAGGCCTTGGGCTACAACAAAGGAGGGACCGCAGACTCCAACTGTACATGCTTCGACTAAAGGCTGCTGAGAAGGTTGGGCCATTGAGGAAATCCCAGAGCACCACCAGGATCTTGGTGGTAGGGCTCAGACTCTCCCTCACCCGAAACTAGATGCCTACCCTCTGCCCGCCCCAGTGTCTCAGGGAACCAGCTGCACAGGTCTGTCCTAGCATGCCACCTCCTCCTCCTCCTGCTGTCAGGTGAGTCCAAGGAGGAGAGGAGCACACCCATGCATGTGCGTGGGTGGTGGGCTCACCTCCTGGCCCAGCAGCGCAGCAGCCGCAGGGGTGGCAGGCAGGGCCTCCTGGGGAGTCCGCTGGCAGACCTTCTGGAGCTTGTGTTGAACAAAGTCCTCCAGGGCAGTGAACTCTGCCTGGCAGCGGCCACATCTGTGCACATCGTCCTCATCTGTAATAAGCCTGTGGTCAGTGGGATTTGGGAGGGCCTCCAGCCCCAGGCCAAATCTACCCAAGTGTGGCATAAGAACCAGAGGTGCCTTCCCCGGCCCTCTGAGGAGCCAAGAACACTCTCAGGGGCCCAAGGTGCAAGCCCCCATCCTCTGGAGGTCTGCAGAAGCAGGGCCTACCTCAAGGAGAGCAGCATTAGACAGGGGTGGGCCCTGACTGTACACAGGCTGCAGGAATCCACTGAGGCTACTGTACCCCAGAATGGTCGGAAGACAGAAGGATTTGTCCAACGCAGTTTAGGGATAGTGGTTTTATGGGGTTTGCATGTGCCCTTGGCACCTCAGGGACATCTGGGTCTGTTCTCTCATCTGTAAAACGGGCTGACCCAATGAAGACTACAGCAGAGGGAGAAGAGATGCTGGTGCCCACAAGGTTCTGGCTAAGAGGCCGGCCCTTGGCAAACACAGAAGAGAGGGCACCCTGACCCATAACCACTATTTTCTCACTCTGGCTTGGTGCTTCCTTGGTTCCCACAGGCAACACCTCCCTGCTCTGGTGAAGGCGCCCAGGGTGGAACTTCTCTGAGGGGCTTTAGGGTCACAGCACCTGAGGCCCTCACCATCTGGACTGACCTGCCTGCTCCTCTGCTAAGTCCCTACTACACTCCAGGTATCTCACTGTGGAGGTCACCAAGCAGACAGCCCCCTGGGGAAATGGAGATGACTACTTCCACTCTAGAAAAACAACTTGAGATTCAAGGCTGCCCAGCTGGTGACTGTTGGGGACTGAACCTGAGGGTCTACTCCAGATACCCCACTGTTTATACAAAGAGATAGGGAGGTGTTCCCTCTGCTTCCATAAAGCCCACCAGTTCGCACCACCTCACATGTGGTTTGACCTACATTAAGGTCAAACCCAGGCCTGGCACACAGAAACGAGGTCAATGTCTGTTGAATTAATAAGCAAACAAAGGGCCAAATCACAGTCATGACTCGACTACAGGACACCTGACAGAGGACAGTCCCATTCAGATGCTTCAGTCACAAGCCAAGCACTGAGGTGTCTGCACACTTTTAACCCTCCCAGCCCACTTGCTGAATCTGACTCGGCACCAGAGTGTTGCCTTTGAAGGAACTCCTGCCACAGAAGGGGACACACCCAGCACATGAGACACTGAGACAAGGCCATGAGCATGCCCATCATCAGTGCACAGCAACCTCCAAAGAGATGCCTCTTCAAGTTGGCCCTGTCCCTGGTGGTACTGCCCCTTCCCAAGCTGCAATAAGGAGTAAAAAAAAAAAAAAGAAAAAACTGTACCAAGAATATGAATGCTGTGGGGACAAAAACCACCATCCCAAAATCACTATCCAACCTCTTCCTGTGTGGCCCAGTCTACAGCTTCATAGGACAAGCTCAGAGGGCAGAGACTGTAGTTCCATCGCCAAAAGCTACGTCCCTAGCCCTGGCCGGTTTGGCTCAGCGGTTGAGCGTCGGCCTGTGGGCCAGAGTCCTGGGTTCGGTTCCCGCTAGGGGCATAAACAAAAAACAACAACAACAAAAGCTACGTCCCTATAAGTGAGCCCTCAGTGTTTCCTAGCACAGTTTTCAGTGATTTACATGCTCTATTTTCATTTTTACCAATGTCCTATGAGAGGACAGAACACAGAAGTTAAGGGAGTGTGTTGAGCTGTCACACTGTCCTGGCATCTAATACAGTCCTTGCTACTTACTAGTTGGGTGACCTGGTCACTTTCACATTTTTGAACCTCAACATACCTCACTCACAAAATGGGAATTATAACAATAATAGTGTCCAGAGTTGTTCTGAGGATTAAAAAGCTGTTGCAGGCTAAGTGCTTGATACATTATTATCAGCAGCATCCCCATTTTGTAATAGGAAATGGAGGCTCAGAGAGGTGTGTGGTCACTTGCTCAGGATCGAATAGCTAGAAAGTGGCAGGTCTAGGATGGAGCCCAAAGGCTGGCTGCAGTGCACAGGCTCTCCTCCCCAAGAGCCAGCCCAGACAAAGCCCAAATCCTGGAGAAACCCGAGGCCCCGTCCTCCTAGAGCCCCTAGTCACACCCCAGCCAGGGTTTTAGCGGCCTGTCAGGTGCAGTGGAAGGGGGCCCAGAGGAGAGCAGGGCCGTGCCAGAGAGGAAGCCAGAGGGGCCGGGCCGCAGGCCTAAGAGGGCAGGGCTGGCAGTGGAGGCGTTTGTTAAGGTCTACATATACGGACAGCCCCGGAGGTTTGGGCAACTTTGAGTATCCACCAGTGAACACCGGAACCCACGGGGGTGAGGCCCGAGAGTATGAGAAAACCGGGGGCTCGTGGGGGGCTCGGAGGGGGTCCCATGAGGACCCGGGAGGTCCGCAAGAAATCCGGGTCTGGGAAAGTCAGCTGCGCCTGTAGCTCAGGTCCTCCGCCAGCCCGGGCTGAGTCGCCCCCACTGCGGCTGCACCCTGCCCCATCCGACCGTGTTACCTTCCTCATTAAAGGGCGCCGGGAGGCCGAGGAAGCCGCCAGGGGCCAAGGCCGCCGACGCCGCCGCCTCGACCCCGCCCTCGCCCGCTTCCCGCCTGGCTTCGGCCCGGGCTTCTGCCGTATGCGCGGCCGTCACCCGCACTGCCATCGCGCCCTCCATGTCGCAACGCGCCGCAGGAAGATGGCGGATTTACGACCGTGTCGTCATAACAACGAGCCGCGCCGGAGCTAGCGAGAGAGAACGACAAGGGTAGGATGCCGGGGCGTGGCCAGGGTAAGTTTGATGGGCAGGTGGGGGAGGGCTTATACCGAAAGACAATGAGGCGGGGCTTCTTATGAAGGCGTGATTACGGTGGAGGGAAATAACCCGCGGGACGGATCCAGAGGAGGACCTTTGGGGTTTGGCTTAGCAGGGAGGGAGCGCGGCCGTTCAAGAGGAACGGAAGGCTGGGGCGGGACCGGGAAAGGCTGGGCTCCGTTCCGAAAGCTGCATGTAGGCTACAGAGCTGAAGTATAGGGGCAAGGTGGACTGGCGGCGCCACCTGGCTAGCCTTGAGAGGGTGCTGCGGCCCTGGGCACCACGCCGGGATCCTAGCCCGACGCCCCGCCCCCGCACATGTCGCAACCTCCCTTGGTGGTTGCCTGGGTCTGGGGAGTAAAACAAGTTTGGGATGGCTCATGCACGGGGTAGCTTCACTAAGCCTTTTATTTTTTTTGTAAATTTTTAAGTTGTGATCAATACACATAACATTTATCATTGTGGAGGTTTAGAACATTCGCAATTTTGTGCAACCATCACCACCATCTAGTTTCTGAACTTTGTTGTCATTCTAAAAGAAAACTTGTACCCATTAGCAGTCACTCCTCATTGTACCCTCATCCCAGCCCCTGGCAACCACTTTCTGTTTCTATGGTTTTACCATTTCTGGACATTTCATAAAAATAGAATTACACATGTGGCCTTTTGCATCTGACTTCTTTTGCTTAGCATTTTTCCAGGTTCATCTGTAGTAGACATGAGCAGAACAAAGACCAGGGTACAATGGGCCAGGTACAGAAGGTCACCAGGGCGGGAATCTCTGGGTGCCTAGCAACAGGCAAAGCTGGGTAAACAAGGACCTTGCCCCCAGGGTAACCTTTCCTCCCCTAGCATATCGCTGATCATGCAGTTTAGAGCCCTTGACTTTTCATATTGCATTTCAGCTCCAGAAAAGCAACAAAACTGGGCAGCTGATCTCAGCACCAGCTGCACTGACTGATGACCCCCTGCTTGGTGCAAACCGATCAGTGGAGACCACGACACTGAAAAGACACACCTGGAAAGCTGATGAGTATGCTATTGGGATGTTCCCCTGGGACCACCCCTAAAATTCCCCTTTGAAGGCCCTTAGGAAGGAGGACCCAGCTCACTCTCCTTCCCGTTTATATGCCCTGCCTTTCCCCTCTTACTCCACTTCCCCTTTGCCTCACACCCAGGCACATTACCTACTGAGCCTATTTTTTCTACCACTCACTTTTTCAAAATAAATGTTCTCTTATAGTTTGAGTCTTGACTGAATTTTTTCCTAGCCAGAACTCAAGTACCAAGGTTTCTGAACCCATTGTGAAGGACAGACAATAGGGCAATAAAACATAAAGAACATATAGCTAAAGTACTGTGAAAACTTGTAGTTAAAAATTTCCTACTTGGGCCCTGGTCAGTTTGGCTCAGCGGTTGGAGCGTTGGCCTGAGGACCAGAGAGTCCCGGATTCGGTTCCCGCTAGAGGAACGTACCAAAAAAATAATAATTTTTTTTAAAATTTCCCATTTGGGCCCTGGCCGGTTTGGCTCAGCGGTTAGAGCATCGGCCTGCGGTCCGGAGAGACCCGGGTTCAGTTCCCTCTAAGGGCATGTACTTCGGTTGCAGTTTGTCCCTGGCCCTGGTTGGTTGTGCGGGTGGCGGCCTCTTGATGTGTCCCTTTCACATCGATGTTTCTCTCTCTCTGTTCCTCTTTCTTCCTCCCACTCTACCTGAACAAAAAATAAAAAAATGTCCTCAGGGGAGGATGATAAAAAAAAATAAAAAATTTCCCTCTTGGTAGACCTTGCCCTGGACCCTAAGAGGATTACAGGAACTAGGTAGGAGGGAAAGAGATAGGCATCAGCCGGAGCTGACCACTATATTGTGCAAATAGAACTGCTTACCCTTCAGACATAATGGCTAACCACAGATATCCATTTATGTACATGTTTGCTTGCTCGCAGACCCTTAGCCCAATTTCTTAACAGGGGCTAAGAAAACTATATAAGCAACCCACCCCCTGAGCTCGGGGCTGCTCTCTCCTCTGCGTAGGATGGGACAGTCGCCGCCCGGCTAATAAAGCTCTCTTAATTTGAACCCAGTTCGGAGTCGGAGTCTGGTCTGCCTCGTTGGTCTAGAACACCATGTCCAGTCTGACTCACACAACATATGGGTACATCATGCCCCCCCCCCACATGCCCTGTTTTTCTCTGGTTTCTGTATTCTATAAAACTTTGTGTCAGGAAAATCTGGGTGGTGGCAAAACAATAACACCAATCAGCCGCCCATGATGTGGCCCACTTAGTGGGACAACTTCACAGGTGGCAGCCAGTGTGGCAGCAAACCTCACTGGTTGGCCATCGCCAGTGTACATGTAACTCTTAATAAACCCATGTCTCTCACATCGATGAGAGAGAACATAGATTGGCTGCCTCCTGCATGCCCCCCACTGGGGATCAGGCCCACAACCTGGGCATGTGCCCTGACTGGGAATCGAACCAGCGACCTCTTGGTGCATGGGTTGACGCTCAACCACTGAGCCACACCGCCGGGCAACATTAGTATATTCTTACAATGGCCCACGTGGTAACCAAAACTAAACAAAAACACTTGAGGAGGAAGCATTCCACAGACATTATGTTGATCCAAAGAAGCAAGACCCAGAAGAGTACACACAGTAAGAGCTTGTTTTTAGGATGGTCTAGAACAGACAAAGGAGGCTATGGCTCCATGCTGTAGAAGTCGAAAAAGAGGTTGGGGGAGGGGTCTCTGCTATTGGCTGGATAGTGATGAGAGGAAACTTTGTGGAGTGATGGAAATGTTCTGAATCTTGACCTGGGTTGTGTTTACACATGTATATAGGTATGTAAAAATTTCATCAAGCTGCACACTTAAGATTTATGCACTTTATTATACATTACACCTCAAAAGATAACAATAACCTAATAATAACGATGATGATTGCGACCAATTAAGGATACTAACCCCACTGCCTTGAAGTGGTTCACTAAACCACTAAAGCCACAGGGAAAGCATTTTTGCAAAGGACTGTAAATGAGAACGTAAGACTTGTTGGGAAGGAACGCCGAGGTAGCTTTCAGGACCGGCCATAATCGGTCTGCACGCTGACACCATGTCCGCAGAACGTCCAGTAGAGAGGACACTACCCAGTGAAGCCGAAGCAAAGTTGAGAACGTAACTGCCTCCCAAAGTGGAGCAGCACCCCATCCTACAGCGCTCCTGCAGAGAGCCCCGCCCGCAAGACGGGAGAGAAGCCAGCCAATCAGTAGCATGCTTGGCCCAGGTTCATTCGATTAAAGATCTCCGTCACCTAGGCTGACCACGCGCCTCCAATGAGAGAGCTCCCATTGAGCTGCCCAATAAGCAGCGGCCTTACGTCCTGCGCCCTCTCTCCGCACCGCAGCGTTTCCGCAGTGAACGCTCCACTCCGAATGCCGGTTGGCTCCCTGCCAGCCAATCATTGGAGCGCCCTTGGCCCTAGAGCCAATGACTGGTCGCTCCCCTGAGCCGGGCCGTGAGGGTTGGCGCTGAGCTCCCGCAACCCGGGCAGGCTGGGGCGGATTGGCGCAGTCAGTGTCCAATGGGCGGTGCGCATGAGGTGGGGGGCCAATGAGCACGGCGGGGGCGGGGCGGGCACTGTGGCGGGCGGCTGTGAGGAGCGGCCGGTGGCGGCCGGTGGCGGCGACGGCGGCGGACGGCCATGGCAGAGTCGGAGACAGGCGGCGATGACGCCCGCTGCGTGAGGCTCAGCGCCGAGCGGGCCCAGGCGCTGCTGGCCGACGTGGACACACTGCTGTTCGACTGCGACGGCGTGCTGTGGCGCGGCGAGACGGCAGTGTCTGGCGCGCCTGAGACCCTAACGGCGTTGCGGGCCCGCGGCAAGCGCCTCGGTTTCATCACCAATAACAGCAGCAAGACCCGTGAGGCCTACGCCGAGAAGCTGCGGCGCCTGGGCTTCGGCGGCCCTGCAGGACCCGGAGCCAGCCCTGAAGTCTTCGGCACGGCCTACTGCACCGCACTCTACCTGCGCCAGCACCTGACTGGCCCTCCGGCTCCCAAGGCCTACGTGCTGGGTAGTGCGGCCCTGGCAGCCGAGCTGGAGGCCGTGGGCGTCGCCTGCGTGGGCGTAGGCCCGGATCCCCTGCACGGCGACGGCCCTGGCGCCTGGTTAGAAGCACCACTCGAGCCCGGTGTGCGCGCCGTTGTCGTGGGCTTCGACCCGCACTTCAGCTACATGAAGCTCACCAAGGCCGTGCGCTACCTGCAGCAGCCCAACTGCCTGCTCGTGGGCACCAACATGGACAACCGGCTCCCCCTCGAGAACGGCTGCTTCATCGCGGGTCCGTGCGTCCCGGGGACGGGAGGTTGGAGGGCAGGCGGCAGGCCCCTCCAGTCCTCTGACCCCGGGCGCTCTACTCCCTTCCCCTCTCCGCCCCGCAGGTACCGGCTGTCTGGTCCGAGCCGTGGAGATGGCCGCCCAGCGCCAGGCCGACATCATAGGGAAGCCTAGCCGCTTTATCTTCGACTGCGTGTCCCAGGAGTACGGCATCAACCCGGAACGCACGGTCATGGTGGGAGATCGCCTGGACACAGACATCCTCCTGGGAGTCACCTGTGGCCTGAAGACCATCCTGACCCTCACTGGAGTCTCCACTCTGGGAGATGTGAAGAGTAATCAGGAAAGTGACTGCATGTCTAAGAGGAAAATGGTCCCTGACTTCTATGTTGACAGCATAGCCGACCTTTTGCCTGCCCTTCAAGGTTAAAGATTTAGTGTCTTTAATCTACAGAATAAAAAAAATTGAAAACCACTTAACCAAATTAATAGGTGGGGCTTAAGCACTTGCTTAACTAGGTGGCTTCAAAGAGTATACTTTGGAGTTAAGCAGAGGCACTAGTTAACTTTGTAAGTAAATGTTGGGGGGGGGCGATTTTGTTACAGATGATTATAATTTAAGATGCACTTTTTAATTTTTTTTTTAGAGAGAGAGGTAAAGAGAAACATAAATTTGTTGTTCTACTTATTTATGCACTCATTGGTTCTTGTATGTGCCCAGACTGGGGTTCGAACCTACAACCTTGGCATATCAGGAGATGCTCTAACCAACTGAGCTACCTGGCCAGGGCCTAAGATACACTTTCAAACTTAGAGGGCATTGTGAGGGTGCTGGGCCTTGGTTGCCATTGGCAAGAGCATCTGTCTAGGATTCAGATAACCTAAGGGACTGAGGTGGGGCTGGTGGTGTCACGTATTTTATTGAAAATTTCATTCAGGGATCAAGCCCCTTTGTAGAGCAAAGGGGAGAAAGGGGCTGATTATTTTGACTGTCAGGAGAAACTTGTACAGACCAACCCATGGCCCCATGGGTGTGGTCATCAGCAGAGCAACTTGCTACTGTATCCCAGCTCACTTGCATGGTGGGAGTGGAGGAGGGGGCTGCCCCCTGGTAGTGTCTCCCTATCCTTGGGGTGTGGGGTGCTGCCCTCACTATCACCACCCCATACTTCCTTAAAAACCACTCTGATGTTGTAATTGAATGTTGTGTTTCAGATGCCCAGGGCTGCTGCTCCTCATACGTAGTTGTGGAGCTCTGTAAACTCAGCCCAGCTAAACCTTGGTTTTTCAAATGTGCATTTAAACACAAGTGACATGGACTGAGCATATTGTTGGCTGAATGGCCAGGAGGACACAGATGCCTTTGCTGAACTTTGGCCTGCTGTGTAGGGAGTTCAAAGCAGTGTTGTTACCAAAAATTATTTTTTTAAACTTTTGAACAACTTTGTCAAGGGGTGGAATTGAATCTTAAGCATGTTAATAGCTGTGCTCCATCTCATAGGGCAAATCCACTGATGATGTCAGATGTCTCCATGCCCTGTAGTGAGCAGCAGAACTAAAGTCATGTGCAGGCCAAGGAATGCCTGTTACCCAGAGTGCCCCTTAGGTGGGGAAGAAACGGGTGTCCCCAACAACAGGAAAAATGGTTTCTACAAAGCATCCAATTTCTTCCTGTCCTCCCGTACCCTTGATTGTGTAGGGGTTAGGTGCCAATGGTCCATAAGACCAACTAGCTTGGCTCTGGAATCCTTTATCAGTGGCCAGCTGGAGGACTGGCAGGGTTCACTGACTGGCCACAGGTTCTTGGTAGAGAGCCCTGGTCTTTTCTGCCTATTCCCTAAGTTGCTGACCTTTGGGAACAGGCCTGATAAGCAGATTCTCCAGCTGCACTTGTAGGGTAGAGCCTGGGAAACTGTTCCTTTAGGCCATCTCCTTCCTGGTGCCTTGCCCTGCACCCAGTGGTGTCTGCCTACAGCCTGTGGCTTCTCTCCTAGTCTCAGAATTACAACAGTCTTTCACTCGTATTCTGAGTTTTCAGCAATAAAGGGTATCCTGAGCCTTTAGCTCCTCCCAGGCCTAGAGTGTCTGGGATTTGGACTCTGCCATGGGGCAACAGCAGGGCAGCTGGTGCCTGTGAGGTTGGTGGTGCTGACGTTGGCTCTGCGAGGTCGGCTCAAGGTGGGTATAGATATTGAGCAGGCCTGTCAGGGCATTGTCACCCACAGCAGGAGCACAGCAGGTGCGGCAACCAGCGACACCTTCCTCTTCTGCGCCCCATCTCTGCTCTTAATGCACTGTGTGAACCCAAATGCATATTAAACTCTCAAACCCATGCTGACTAGTGTTCCTTGCTCTCGCCTTAACAGCAGACTTCACACGGAGGCTGCAGCTGTCTAGCCTTAGTGTAGGTGTAGGGTGGGAGGACGTAGTCGAAGATTATTCTGGGATTTCAATTCCAGAGCTGGAAACTCAACCCCATCTTGGGCTCATTACAAAGGGACAGGTTCTAAAGGGACAGGAAAAGTGAAGCACAAAGCAAAACCAGAGTAGGAAAGGGCTCCTGGTGAAGACACCCATGCTGTGAAAGCTGCCAGTGCCTGGGGAGTCCTGACTGTCGCAATCCACAGTGTCAAGTGACTGGAGATGCAAGCTAGGAGCCAGGGCCATAGCATAGTTCACTTAGAGAAAGCCATGCTGGTCAGGGCAAAGGCTGGTGGACACAAAGCTGACCTAACCATTCCAGGGTGTGAGGTTTAAGTAAGCTAACCTTACTGCAGCAGAGCCTCCTGGAAGCCATCCTAGTTTCAAGCATGTTCTCTGTGGGATGCTATGCAACCCACCCTGTGTTGCAGTGGCAGGGGTGCGTGGGGAGGGAAGTAGGGTGGCGGTACAAAGTCCAATACCAGTCTTTCATAAAACAGGCATTTATTGATGTTTTGCTATGTTCCAAGCCCTGTGCCCAGCCCTAAGTCTGGAGGTAACCCAGAAGACTAAAAACAGGCCTCTTTAGAAAAATCTGCCCCCAACTAGACTGTACAAAGTCACCTTTGCCAGGTCTGGGCTGCCCTCCATGCCCTTCAGCAGGTCTTGATTTTCACAATGGCCATGGTGTCATGCCCTACCAGGCTTGTGCTCTCTGGTTAGCACAGGCCAAGTGTCAGGAGAGCCAGGCACCCCCCTCCCCCACAGGTGGAGGGGAGAGGGCTGTCCTGGCTCAGGTAGCTGGGCTGGGGAGGAAGTAGTAGGGTCAGGAGGGGAGGGGGGCCAGGATGGTTGTTTGGCTTATCAGAGGCTCCTGAGGTTTCCCTGGCTGACTCCAAGGGGTGGCAGACAATCAGTGCATTGTCACCAGGGCTGCATCATGGAGCAGGGGAGCTGCTGTGCAGAGGACTTCAGGCCTGGGCTTGTCAGAGTGAGTGCTTCCCACCACCCAGTGCCCTCTCCTGGGACAAAGATCCAGGGCATGCCCTGAGCAGGGGACAAGAGGGCAGCACCCATCACCCATATCTCCTCAGCCCCTACCTTCCTGAGCCAGCCTGTTCCCTGGGATCTGCTCCAGGTCCCACTGACTACAATGTGCTCCCAGGTAAAGACCAGGGCCTGCCATGGGGGCTGGAGAGCCCTGGGCCTGCTGCTGTTGCTGTTGCTGCTGGCACTGGCCACTGCTGTGGCTGTGGCTGGAGGTCTTCTTGGCTTTGCCCACAGCCCTCCCAAGGTGAGCCTGCTCAGGACCCAAGCAGGGGAAGGGGTATAGATATTAGGAAGAGGGAGGAGAGGCCAGCACATCCAGTCCTCCAGTGAAGCCAGGGCTCAGAGCTGAGCTTATAGGGAGAGGACAAAAGAGTGGAGGGGTCAGAAGCCTTAAAGAAGCAGGGTTAGGAAAAGGGTCGAGAGCTGCTCCAGCATGCCCAGCTGAGCTCTGGCTTCTCACTCAGCCACTACTGCAGATGCTCCATCTGACCCTCCCAAGCCCCAGGGTGTACGAGTTCAACCAAACTGCTCAGGTGGACGAGACCCGGAATGTGGCAACCATCAGGGTAACCCCGGCTCAGAGCAACCACAGCTGGGTGGTGCTGTTCGATGGGCAGAGCGTGAGTTGGCCGGTGGGGAGAGGGGGGTTGCTGCCAAAAGGTGTTCAGGTAGACTTGCCTTACCTGCCTGCGTCCCCAGGGCTATGTCTGTTACCGCCCTGCGGAGCACCGGGCCTGCTTCCTCCATCTGATGGAGCCCAGAGATCGCAAAACCTTGCAGCTTCTGGTGAACACCTCAAGGGTGAGCGGCCTCCGTACTCGCACAGTCAGGCTTCCTGGGCCAAGGGCCAGACAAAGGGTCCTGTGTACAGCCTGGGCTCGGGGTGGGCTGGGGCTCTGGTTTCATTGGAACAGAAGCTCTATCTTCCCTTTGCTGAGGCTGCTGACAAGAGCTGAGGGTGGGGCTGGCATGTCCAGGGATTCAATGGCCCTGCCAAAAGCAGTGCAAGAACCCCTGGCCCATGGCCCACCAGAACCTTCTCTGCAGGCCCAGGGGTCTCACAGCCCCAGCCAGGATACCCACTATGCGCAGGAGCTGCTGGCAGTACTTGGGAGCCGTGAGGTGGACCCTTCCCAGGTGGGGGATTCAGTGCGGCACTTTTGCACAAAGATCCCCATTTACTGGGCCCGTCGAGCAGAGGGTGAGTCGTGGGGGCTATGGGGAGAGGCCTGGACTCCCAAGGACAGTCTGGGAGAGGGAGAGGATCTCTTTGGGGTTCACAGAGGCCCCTCCCCTCCAGGGCCCCGGAGGCAGCGGCTGATCTACCTATGCATCGACATCTGCTTCCCAAGCAACATCTGCGTGTCAGTCTGCTTTTATTATCTCCCAGACTGAACCCCCAGCCTGCCCAACCCCACAACCCAGCCAGCTGGCTGGCCCTGTCATCAGTACCATGAAAATCAGCCACCAGCGGGGGCTAATAAACCCCTCCACCTGGCCATGATGGTGTTCTCTGTGGCCTTGGGACATGTCACTGGCAGGGAGGGGGAAAAGCACTGGCTTGGGGGTGAGCAGCAGTCAGGCTGGCTTGTATCAGCGTCCTGAGCCCTGTCACATCCAGATAAGAAACGGGGGGCTAAAAGAGCCCCCAGGGGAGACCAGCCTGGCCCATCTAGGCTGGCCAAGGTGGCCAGGGTAGATCAGTTATGTCCTAGGCTAGCAGAGGCTACCCTGTGGGGGTTCTCTCTGACTGGACAGCTGAACAGTGACATCTAACCAGTGCCGCCTGATGGCTGCCTGCAAGGGGGCACGGGCTAACCCAACACACTGTCATTGAAGGCCAAGCAGACCACGGCTTTCTGGTGTCCGCCGTATTCTCTCTTGATCTCTCCTGTCTCTACGCACCAGAGCCGGGCCAGGTTGTCAGAGGAAGCTGCAGGGAGGGAGGATATGGGTAGCAGCTCAGGATTTGGCCTCAGGCTGGACCACACTGGAGGCTGGCTCCCAGTAGCAGGGCAGCAGCAGCCATCACTGAGCTAGTGGGGCAGGGTGGCAAGTGGGTGGGACTCACCTGTGACAATGTACTGGGAGTCCCCTGAGAAGGCACAGCCCCACATCCAGCCTCGGGATGACTCGCCAGGGTTGCTGCTCTTGATGCTCAGCTCCGTCATCAGGGAGAAGTTGGACGTCCTCCAAATCTTACACGTCTGGTCAGCCGAGCAGGTGGCGAGGAGCCTAGGGGTGGGTGTGAGGGTGGTGAGGATGTCAACAGCAGCCACTTCAACCCTGTACCCCCTTTCCATCCACCAGTCAGGCTCCAATCCATCAAGCTCCCAGGCCCAGGCAGGCCCCTTCCTCCCCATAGCGATGGAGAGCCCCTGGTCCCCCGGGCCCTGCACACACGTGGAATCTGGGCTGAAGCGGCACTGCAGGGCGTAGCGGGTGTGTGCTGGTATCTTGGTTTTGGGAATGAGCTGTGTCACCTCATCGCCAATGCCCCCTGTCAGATTCCAGACATAGCAGTTCCCCTGCAGGGTAGGAGGAAAGTCATGGTAGGACCAGAGCCTCCAGTCTTGACACATGGGGAAGGATGCTCTAGCAGGTAGACCCAGATCCAGTGGCCACCATCCAACACTGCGGTTGTACACAGGAGATCTGGGGCCAGGGACATGAAAGAAAATGGATTGGGGTGAGAGGAGGTCAGAGGGGAGGGAGGGAGGCCACAGAGGGGGAGACAAGGGAAACTTGGGCCACGAAATGATGGGATGGGACAGACTTGAGAGATTCAAGAGATGGAATCTGCTGATGAGGCTACAGCAGGTAATGAGAGGTGGCACCTTGACTTTGGTGACTGGCTGGAGCTGGAGCACAGGAGGGGGAAGCAGGACTGTGGGATAAGGGGGTGGGGATGGGGGACATCTGGGGAACAAGACTGCCTGCAGGGAATAAGGGAGATAAGGGGCTGGGTGCTGAGCTGGTCTCCCCACTGCACCCACCGCAGGACTCACAGTGCTATTGACAGCTGCCATGTAGCTTGCATCTGGGTCAATGTGGGCAGATGTGATAGAGACCTCGGGCTCAGGGATCAGCTGCTCATTGTGGTCAGTTTTTAAGTCCCAGATGTGGATAGCACCGCTCTGGTCACCCACAATGAGCTCTGCCTGGGGTGCAGGGGAGGTGAGGTAAGACAGAACCCCATCCTCCAAAGCCCCAGGGTTCCCAGCCCTGTGCATATCCCTCACCTGGTTGGGGTGCAGGCATACACAGTTAATGGGTGCATTCACCTGGAAGATCCGCTGACACTGCAGGTTGCGGGACCTTCGGGGTGGGAGACATACACTGCCTGTAGGAGATACTGTTGGTGCCCCACCCAGATGCCCTTTCCCTGGCCATTTATCCTTGTTCCTCTGCTGGTAGGAGCTGCCCTACAGGAAATACTTGGGAGGCTGGGCACTCACCAGGAGCAGCCTGAAGCCAATGATTGACTCAGAAGGGGCATAAAGGCTGGCCCCCTGCCTCAAAGCAGGACTTGCTCTTTGATGCAATTTACTCTCCAGAGCTCCTTGTGGGATCAGGCTGAGGCTGGGCTCATCTTTGTATGGCTTCATCCCTTCCCTAACCTGTTTTCCTCACTGCCCTCAATAAATCACCTACATAGCAAATCCTGTCTCAGCCTCTGCTGAGAGGGAACCCAACCTAAGTCACTCTCTGGCCTGGCCCTCACCCCCATACATCCAGCACCCCCACACATCCAGGCAGCAGGCCCCTCCTGCCTGGCACCCACACCTGAGGTCCCAGATCCGGGCAGTGCAGTCCTCCCCACCCGTGTACATCCAGCGGCCATCCTCATGGAAGCCCACAGACGCGATGTTCTTATTGACCCCGTCATAGCTGATGATGGGGTTGGGGTTATTGGAGTTGAGATCATACATACGGATGTGCTGGTAACCTGTGGGCACAAGCCAAACTGAGGTTTAGCTGTGCTTAATCAACCCACCAGAGGTTAAGGGTCAGGTGGAGGGTACAGGTACCTGCAGCAGCAATCATGCTTCGGTCAGGTGTGATCTCCAGGGCATTCACCTGCTATATCTGTTAAGAAGGATGACCAGCAGAGTTCTGGAGTCAGGGGCCCTCAAGGCCTCCACCATCTGGCTCAGCTGTTGCTGTATCCTCCCCACCCCAGGCCTCTGCCCAGGCTTTATCCCCACCAGAGATCCTGTCCAGCACCACCTTCCCCACCTCCCCAGCAGAGGGAGGATACAGAGTCCTGGTGCTGCACCGTTCGGGTGCAGATCCCACTATGGGCCTGCCAAAACCGCACGGTGTGGTCATAGCCCGCAGTAGCCAAGATGACTGGGTCACTGCCCACAGTGCCTGGGGACGTGTTCATTTTGTGGCTGCTTAGAAGACTCGGCAGGGGTCAAAGGTCAGAGCATCTGGAAAATAAAAAGGTGAGTATACCCTCTATGTCCCAAACCAGTGATTTTCAACCTTTTACATCTCTTGAAACACATAAACTAATTACTAAAATTCTGCAGCACACCAAAAATATATATATATTGCTGATTGCCCTGACCAGTTCAGCTCAGCAGTTAGTGTCGGCTCGTGGACCAGAGAGACCCGGGTTCAGTTCCCACTAAGGGCACGTACCTTGGTTGCAGTTTGTCCCTGACCCCAGTTGGGGTCATGTGGGTGGCAGCCACTTGATGTGTCTCTCTCACATTGATGTTTCTGTCTCTCTCTCCCTTCCTCTCTCTAAAACGTCAATAAAATATATGTGTGTGTATATATATATATATTTTATCCTCACCCGAGGACATTTATTTATTTATTTATTTTGCATTTATCTTCAGATAGAGCGGGAAGGAGAGAGGGGAGAAGAGAGAGAGAGAGAAACATCGATGTGAGAGACACATCGAGTGGTTGCCACCCATGACCCCAACCGGGCCCAGGGATAAACTGCAACCAAGGTATGTGCTCTTAACAGGAACCGAACCTGGGACTCTCTGTTCCGCGGGTCGACGCTCTAATTGCTGAGCCAAACCGGCCAGGGCTGAAAATATATTTTTTAAAAGATAGGTACAATTTTGATTAATTCACATCAGACAGCTATTGTTGTAATTTTTTTTTTTATCCTCACCTGAAGACTTTTTCCATTTTTTGTCCAGATAGAGTGGGAGGGAGAGAGAGAAAGAGAAAGAGAGAAACATCGACATGAAAGGGACACATCAAGTGGCTGCCACCCACATGATCAACCAGGGCCGGGGACAAACCGCAACCGAGGTACACGCCCTTAGCGGAAACCAAGCCCTGGTGTCTCTGGACCGCAGGCCGATGCTCTAACCCCTGAGCCAAACCGGCCAGGGCTGGCTGTTGTCATTAAAAAAAAAATTTTTTTAATCCTCACCTGAGGATATTTTTACATTTATCATCAGATAGAGTGGGAAGGAGGGAGAGAGAAACACTGATGTGAGAGGCACATCGACTGGTTGCCTCCCACAGGGCCCAGGACGAACCAAAACCAAGGTACGTGCCCTTGACCAGAATGGAACCTGTGACTCTGATCCACGGCTGATGCTCTAACTGCTTAGCAACCTGGCCAGGGCTGTTGTCCTTTTTTTTTTTTTTTTTTTATCCTCACCCGAGGACATTTTTCCATTTTTTGTTCAGATAGAGCGAGAGGGAGAGAGAGGAAGAGAGAGAGAGAGAAACATCGATGTGAAGGGACACATCGAGTGGCTGCCACCCGCACGACCAACCAGGGCCGGGGACAAACTGCAACCGAGGTACGTGCCCTTAGCGGGAACCAAACCCGGGTCTCTCTGTACCGCAGGCCGACGCTCCAACCGCTGAGCAAACCGGCCAGGGCTGTTGTCCTTTTTTTAATTTGATTAATCTAAGGGAAAAGAAGTCGGTGCCCCTGACTAAATAATCAGGTATTTAAAGTTTTAAAAATTCTTGCAGCACATCATAGTGCCTTAGCACACAGGTTGAAAATCGCTGTCCTAACCAGATTATAGATCCACTCAGAAAGATAAGTATTATTCCCATTTTAGAGATGAAGAAACAGCCCAGCGGGTGTGGCTCAGTGGTTGAGCGTGACCCATGCACCAAGAGGTCGCCAGTTCAATTCCTGGTCAGGGCACATGCCCAGGTTGTGGGCCAAATCCCCAGTGGGGGGCATGCAGGAGGTAGCCGATCTGTTTTCTCTCATTGATGTTTCTCTCTCTCTCTCCCCACTTCCGTTCTAAAATCAATAAAGAAAAAATATTAAAATAAAAAAAATAGAGATGAAAAAACTGAGGGTCAGAGAGGTTCAGGGACAGCCTTCAAATTCCAAGGCGTGTGCTCCCATCTCAGCCCCAGACTCGCCCAGATGCCACCCCTCGCGCCTCCCGCCTCCCGCAGGGGGCAGTCACGCCCCGGACGCCACTCTGCCGCAGGGACGGGTCGCGCGTGCGCAAGGCGGCAGATGGGCCGATGGGAAAGCCGAGTGCTGCGCCTGCGCATGCGTAGCAGGCCGGTAACTAGACCTTATGCGTGGGGGCGCTCTATTGCGGGACCCTCGCGTTCCTCGGTGCTCCGCCGACTGCCCTGGTTCCATCCCACTGGGCCAGCTTGCTCCGGGCGCACCCTCCCGGCCACACGGTAGCCGCTTTCTAGCCCTCGTTCCGCGACCTCCGTACCGTACAGGCGGCTCTGCGCTCCGTCGCAGTCCAGGACGGCGAGCGGAGCTGGAGTGAGTCGATAGAGTCTGAGGCGGAGCGTAGAATTATCGATGATGGGCCTCTAGGGCGACACCACGGGCGTGAGGAGGTGGATGGGACGAAACCAAAGTCCTGGTGCTGGGGTTCCCTATCTCCCGGGAAGAACGGGCCTTGGGGCTGCCTGGCGGCTCAGGACAGATGAGCAAAGCAGTGGCCCCAGCCTTCACACTCAAGCACCCCACCCTTGTGACACGGCTACTCATTTTCCATGCTTACGTCCCGAGGCCAGGTCGAGCCATCCCTTCCATTCCCTACTCCCCATGCAGGGTAAGATTCCCAAGACCCTTAGGCATTTGAATTTCAGATAAGCAGCAGTAACTTTTTAAAAAATATAAGTATGAAAATGTGTGTGTGTATTAATAAGTATGCCCCCAATATTGCATGAGATAAACTAGAAAGTTATTCGTTGCCTACTTGAAATTCAAATGTAACTAGGCGTCCTGTAGTTTTATTCTCTAAACCTGGTAAACCTAGTCTGGGCACTTACAGGCCTTTCTAGCCCCATCCTGACCTTCCTCCATTCCCCAAACTCAGCCCAGTGATTCCCTCCAAAACTGGGTCCTTTGTACCTTATTTCGATCCAGCCCTCCCCCACTCCAGGCCCCTAACCTCACACTCTTTCACAGAAAAGGAGTCCTTAACACAGGCTCTCCTACTGTTTGTTCCCACAACACTTAAAACAAAGCTGCACCCCCACCTCCTTCCTTATCTGACCCTTTGACCAAGGATACATCCTCTAACCCATCCACCCAGGCCCTGGCTCCCAGGAACCTTCCTTCCTGTACCTTCCCCACATCCTCTCCTTACTTCTTGCCAGACTTTGAACTCCACAAAATAACCCAAAACTCTCCTTCCAGCCAACACTCACTCTAAGAGAGTGTGTCTTCACCACCTTGCTGGCTCCACATCCTCACTTCCCACTACTCACTCCTCTTACTGTCAGGTCCTTAACTCCCAGCTCTCCAGTTAAAATGTCACAGGGTCACTGCCCTTCTCACACTGCCAAACCCAGTCAATACTTTGCTTTCTGGATCTTTTATGTCTGCACAGTGATTGACAGCACTGCTTCTGAAAAGCTCCTGTTGCCTAGTTTCTTGTCCAAGCACTAGTTATTTCTTTTTTTTTTTTTTTGAATCCTCACCCGAGGACATTTTTCAACATTTTGTTGAGATAGAGTGGGAGGAAGAGAGAGAGAGAAACATCAATGTGAAAGGGACACATCGAGTGGCTGCCACCCACACAACCCAACCAGGGCCGGGGCAAACTGCAACCAAGGTACATGCCCTTAGCGGGAACCGAACCCAGGTCTCTCCGGACCACAGGCTGATGTTCTAACCGCTGAGCCAAACCGGCCAGGGCTAGTTATTTCTCTTCTAAAAGCTGGTGCCCTTCAGAGTTACTGTCTCTGCACACCACTCTGTCTCTGGGGGCAAACCACAACCAAGGTATGTGCCCTTGACCAGAATTGAACCCATGACTAATTGGTCTGCAGGTCGATGCTCTGCCGCTGAGCCACACAGGCCAGGGCAGCACCTCCACTTTTTATAGCCAAGACAATTCACCACGGACCTACCCTCTGTGCCAGTGGCCACTTGGATGTTACAACTAGATATGATCCAGGTGCATCCACCACCCACTCTCCCCTGACCTGCCTTCCCACACTACTCTGGTCCCCCTTCAGGCTATCCTGTTATAAGTCTTCAGGGGTTGCCAGGCCAGTGTGGCTCAGTGGATTGAGCAGCATCTCGTAGACTGAGAAGTCCCAGTTCCATTCCAGATTTCCTGTTGAGGCACATGTCTGGGTTGCTGGCTCGATCCCCAATAGGGGATGTGCAGGAAGCGGCCAATTGGTGTTTCTCTCTCACATCAATGTTTCTGTCTCTCCCTTCTTCTGTCCCTAAAAAATCAATAAAAAACTTTTTTAAAGAAGAAAAGAAGTCTTCAGGGGTTTCTGTCACCCTCCAGACTACTGGGCCTGGCCTCTACAGACTCTGCAGCTTTCTCCCTCTCTCTTCTCCATAGGCCACTTGCCCCATGCTCTATCTAGCCAGAGTAGATGATTTGCCACCACACACTTTTTCTGAACCCTTCCCCATACCTAGAATGCTTTCCCCTCCTACCTCTTTGCCTATAGAACTCCTGGTTTTCACACCTTTCAAAGCATTTTGAGTGCTTATTCTCTGTGGGGAATTATGCTATTTTTGTTTTTATTGAGGTGAAGTTCACATAATAGGAAATTAGCCATTTCTTTTTTTTTAATACTCACTTGAAGATATTTTTCTATTTATCTTCAGATAGAGTGGGAAGGAGAGAGAGGGAGAGAAAGGGAGAGAGAGAGAACATTGACGTGAGAGGGACACATCAACTGGTTGCCTCCCCCATAATCCCCACACAGGGCCTAGGACAAACTGCAACTGAGGTACATGCCCTTGCCTTGAATCGAACCCAAGACTCATTGGTCTGTGGGCCGATGCTCTGCCACTGAGCCAAACTGGCCATGACTGAAATTAGCCATTTTCAAAATTTGTGGCATTTAGTACATTCATAGTGTTATGCAGCCTCCACCTCTATCTAGTTCCAGAACATTTTCACCACCCCAAAGGAAAACCCCATACCCATTATTCAGTCGTTCCTCATTTCCCCTCCCATCTCAAACCCCGAGCTCCTTGCAAGCACTAATCTACTTTCTGTATCTATGGATTTGCCTATTATGGATATTTAAAACAATTTTTTTTTTATTGATTTTTAGAGAGGAAGAAAGAGGAAGAGAGAGATGGAAACATCGATGAGAGAGAACGTCTATTGGCTGCCTCCTGCATACCCTCATTGGGGATTTGGCCCACAACCTGGGCATGTGCCCTGACAAGGAATCGAACCGGCGACCCTTGGTATATGGGTCGTTGCTCAACCACTGAGCCACACCAGCCAGGCCTATTCTGGATAGTCAAAAAAAATTTTTTTATTCCAATTTCCCCCTTTAAGCATCAGCTTGTTCTCAGTCTGTTTCTGTTTTGTTTATTCATTTGTTTTATTTTTTTAGATTCAACATATAAGGGAAATCATAGGGTATTTGTCTTTCTCTATCAGACTTATTTCATTTAGCATAATACGCTCTAGGTCCAACCATCTTATTGCAAATGCAAGTTTCATTATTTTTATGGCTGAATAATATTCCATGTGTATATATACCACATCTTCTTTATCTATTTATCTATTGATGGGTATCTAGGTTATTTCCATGTCTTGGCTATTACTAGTAATGCTGCAGTGAACATAAGAGTGCATTATCTTTTCAACTTAGTGTTTTTGTTTTCTTCAGATAATACCCAGAAGTGGAATTTCTGGGTCATATGGTAGCTCTATTTTTAATTTATTAAGGAATCTTCACACTGTTTTCCATAGTGGCTGCACTAGTTTACAGTCCCACCAGCAGTGTACAAGGGTTCCCTTTTCTCCACATGCTCTCCAGCATTTACTGATGATAGCCATTCTGGCAGGTGTGAGGTGATATCATTGTGATTTTTAATTTCCCTGATCATTAGTGATATTGAGCATCTTTTTGTATGTCTGTTGGCCATCTGTATGTCCTGTTGGAAGAAATGTTTATTCAGGTCCTCTGCCCATTTTTTTTTTAATCCTCACCCGAGAATATATATTTTTTAATATGTTTTTATTGATTTTTTTAGAGAAGAAGGGAGAGAGAGATAGAAACATCAATGTAAAGAGAAACACCAATCGATCGGTTGCTTCCTGTCCCTCACTGGAATCAAGCCCGCAACTAGGGTATGTACCCTGACCAGGAATTGAACCGGGACCTCTCAGTCTATGGTTGACACTCAGTCCACTGAGCCAACCAGCCTGGCTGGATATTTCCTCTAAATGGAATTATACAATATATGGCTTTTTGTGTCTTGCTTCTTTCAAGTTCTCAAGGTTCATCCAGTTATAACAAATATTAGTACTTCATTCCTTTTCATGGCCAAATAATTTTCCATTGTGTACATAGACCACATTTTGTTTATTCATTCAGTTTGAGTTGTTTCCACTTTTTAGCTATTTGAATGATACTGCTATGAAAATTCCTGTACAAGTATCATTTTGGGAACATGTTTTCATTTCTCTGTATACCTAGGAGTAGAATTGCTGGGTCACATGGTAGCAGTTTCTTTTTGAGGATCCACCAAACTGCTGAGCATTTTACCTACATTATGCATCCGGTTTTCACAATGTCTCTGCCAAAGACAAACAACCTCCATTTTGGAAACAAGAATACTGAGGCTCAGAGATGGACAGTCATGTGTCTAAGGGCACACAACTAGACCAGGATAGAACCCATCCTGCTGGGCTTAGCTCTTCCCTGGTCTCGCCCTTTCTGGCTGAGTTGACCATTCTCCATGCAGCCCCTGCATTTAGTATGTCCTCCTCATCTTCCTCTTCTAAGTATAGGAGCTATCCTACTCCTACAGGGCAGCTGCAGAGGCTCGTTTGGGAGTGGTAGATGAATATGCAGGCTCCAAAGGCTGAAAGAGGAAAAGTGCTGTGAACCCCAGCACCTGAAGGATGTCCAGAGAAACTGGCAAAGGAACCTGACAGCAGGAGAGAGGGGTGAGACTGAGGGAAGATGGGAAGACTTGGCCAGGTGTCTGTGGGGTTCCACCTTGGGTCCAGGGGACAGGCACCAAGCCATTTGCCTTTTCTGTGGGGACTATGGGTGGAGTGTGGCCGCTACACATGTTCAGTGCCTAAGGGTAACTGGCAGACCAGGACATTCTACCTGCCCAGCCTGAGCAGCTCCAGAGTCTCTGCTGGGCAGAAAGGGGGACATGGATGTGAACCACCACTATGTACCAACCACCAGCTGAGTGCTTACAGAGGTGGCATCTAGGAGAGTGATAGAAACTATGGCAGCTAACATATGCTGCATGCTCCCAGCAGCCCATGGGGAGG